TACTTGTGCCCCTTTCTTATTTTGCTCACTTATGCCAAACTTGATTTGGACTATTTTTAAAATCTTAAAAATTATTGATACTGTTACGGTGTACAGTGTTTTTCTTTTATTTTTTTTTCCCTTTAGAAGACAATTTCTTTTTTTTTTCTGTTACTTAAGGTTTATTTCCCATTTCCGAAAACAGTTTCTATAAGGGGAATTTGTGGTGGTATTAATCGCGTTCCTCGAAAGTTTTAGTTTTATGCCTTGGGGAAGCCTTTATAATGTATATACCTATTTTTAAGTGAATATTTCTTTTTATGTTTTATTTGATTTGCTCATGTTTTGTACATTTACAAAACTGAGTATTTTGTAAATAAAAATTGAAAATTGAAAATTGAGTTCAATAAAATCTTTAAGCCTTTTTTAACCGTGTGAAACTAGAAAATACCTTTGTTTCCCCAATCATATAGCATTATCGTGCGTTCCCAAATTAATTAAATTATTCTTACTTTTAAGACCTGCAATTAATTGTATGAGCGAACTTCATTCTTGTTCGTACAATTAGTTTTAGAATAAAATTTTTTGTTAATTTTCCCTAAGACTTGTGTGGGAAAACCTAATTTTATAATATATTTTTTTGGTTATTTGTTTCGTGTTACGTATAAATGCTAAGCAATTTTTGTTGTTTTTGGAGGCATACCGATTAATTATAAAAAGTGATAAAAAATTTCTTACTCTAAACATTACAAACGTTTATTCCTTACTTTAATGATCAATTACCACCAAAACAGTATATGCAACCACTTAATGGTGTAACATTAGAATTACATTTTACAGACAGACATTTTTTTTTATGTTCCCAAGCAAAGTTGCTTTAAAAATCCAATTAATTTGGTTGCCCAGATTTCAATTTAATTGGCGAAGATTTGTGGGGCGAAAGGCCTCACGGTTTCAGCGTAACAGTTTCAACACTTGTCTTTGTAGGACTGTTATTTTAACAATTAAAAAATGACTACCCCATAGACTAAAACCGTCCTGGTTTAGCTCCCAAATGTATTAGCTTGTTTTGAATTGTGAATCGGGGCAACCCAGGTTCGAAACCGAAGCCTAAGGAACTTTCCATAGTGATTGATCAGCGAAAATAAAGTTTGATACGGTCATTCGCACTGATATCCTCTGCAAAACTCAGTTGCAATTTCCTGCACAAGTGAAGGCAACTAGTACTGGTAAACTGCGTGACAAGAAACGGGTAATTCAATGTGGCTTACTGCCATTCGGAGTGAAAACTACCAATCACCACCAACCACCTTATGACTAATTTTATGAAAATAAGCGGTTCAGCTGATTAGGGAAATGGAGTCTATATATAGATTTATGATAAAATTGACATAATGCCAGGGGATTTTTTTAAACATTTTTCCTTTGGTGTCATTTACCACATTGTATTTATAACGTGAATGAAAAGAAATAGTGATAGTGGCAAAGTACAAGATTGCACCTTTTTTTAAGATTTAAAAAAGAAGACAGTGTTCGATGAAAGTGAAAACAATGTGTGATTTCACATTGACCATGTTTCAAAGTAAAATAAATGTACATGTAGTAAGTTGAAGTAAGTAATTAGTTTCTTTTAAGCGATATGTCAGTATGAAACGTGACATTTTAAGAACGAATCGATTTGATATTACTACGATAATTTGTATCGTTATTGTCTCCGGTTCGATATAATATCAGATCGATATCCTAGCAACCTGTGAACTGTAAAATTGATTTTTGGATTTGTTTTGAATTTTTTTCTCATAGATTAATTTTATTTCAAGGTATCCCATCTGAGTAAAATAAATTTTTTTTAAACCTATGACTAAAATTTTTACATGGGGGGAATATTGGTATGTGGCAAATTTCTGGGCTGAATTTTAAAAAGAAATTTTAAAAGGGCCCTTTTAAATAGCCCGATGTGTCTAATATATTGAAGGTTATAAAACTATATAGGTTTCACTGTCTCCTCATATTTCATTTGTAAAATGCACATAAAACGTTCCGTTTGCTATGTCGTTACAACATAATTTTCTACATAAAACGGTTATTTGTTTACTGTATGATATACTTTGTTATACTAGTATTTTTCACATTTTTAACTGAGGGAGAGCTTTATACTTGTATATAAAAGAAAAGAAAAAATACCACGGCATAGCCTATTTTCAAAACATAAAGTCCTTAAACATTTACATTGAAGAAAGCAGTCTAATACATTATCACATGATTTGTCACATTCCTGGAACTAGGGATCTAGGGATTTGATTACTGCGTTGAATGTTTAATTATTTCTCCGGCCATTTAATTTGAATAGTCAGTATATAACCTTGACATAGTCTGATTGACGTAGTTATAGAAGCGTTTGACATAGCTTTCTTTTATGTTACATGATATATACATAATTATATAACCTAACTTGTTTATTTTAATGGGTGAATGAATGTTATTTTCTTAACATAAAAGGGGGTTCTTTTGCATTTCGTTGCATTTCTCTTAAACATTGATCCTAGTGTGAAATATGTTATAAATCAGTTGTCAGACCGTGTATTGTACTGAGTCTACGTGCATTGTACAGAGTTTACGTGTGTTGTACTAAGTCTACGTGTATTGTACTGAGTCTACGTGTATTTTACTGAGTCTACGTGCATTGCACTGAGTCTACTTGTATTGTACTGAGTCTACGTGTATTGTACTGAGTTTACGTGTATTGTACTGAGTCTACTTGTATTGCACAGAGTCTACGTGTATATATATGACAATTTACTTTAGATGTACTTTTGTCCCTGGACATAATATAGAACTTTATGTAATGACCAAGTTCAGTCGTATAGATGAAAACATCAGCCATCCGAATACATTCAACATGTTTCATAGCTCGCGTTATTTTTACTAAACGTTTTTAGACAATTTAATCAGAACAGAACAGAACAGAAATTTTATTTCGTAACGTATACAATACAGTATCTTGTTACATTACATATATCAAATATTATAAATAGATAAACACATGATATAATTCAAAGATTTACAGTATATTGGAGAATGAACATTTATTGCTGCGAAAAAAAATGATTTTGTATAAAATAAATGTATATCAGAATAATCTCTTTTTTAATATCAGAATAATCTCATTTAAATATAAAAATTACTAGCGAAATCTAAACGTTTACAATATCTATGAAAATAATAACAACATTTTTAACATTACATTTATGTATAACCTAAGCTTATCAACATATCTTTTCTTTACTATTTGCAAAATATATAAATTTACATAAATTTAATAATATAGACTTTTCACATGACTGAAGTAATTCTATGAATTTAAACATGCTAGGTTTTTTATAATAATATCTTTTAATGAATTTAGTGCGTATTTCCTGGTACAAATTACAAACAAGTATAAAATGAAATTCGTCTTCAATATCTTGTGTATTACAAAGTTGACATATGCGCTCATGTCTTTCAATTCTGTTTCTACCATATCTACTAGATTCTTATCTATGCGCAGATATTCTGAGACGGGTTAATTGTTGTCTTGATTTCATACACTTTACCTAGGTCTTCAAAATAAAAAACATCATTAGTTAACATTTCAAATAAGTCTACATTTTCAATACTCGCAATAGGCGAGTCATCAAACCACATAAAAACTCCACATAAATATATATCAGTCATTGTCTTAAAAACTCACTGTCCAGTTTCATCCATATAATTGTGTCACAATGGTTTCTTACAATAGTTACTCCTTTTTAATATTGTTTTTTTTACATTATATAACAATTCCACCGCTGTTTCTTTTAGCCCTTTTTATGTTTAAATTTTCTATTAGAAATTAAAGCATGTATAAACCATTAATTTCAATATTAGAATTTTCATCAGTCCAGGATTCAGTAAGAATACATATATCATTTTCCGAAATTTTAGAAATAAAGTCTTTATTTTTTAATTTAGCGTCACTTAAACCATCTTGCAATTCAATGCTAAGACTTTCAGTTCACTCTCCGGTAATTCCTAGGCTGACTTGACTGGTTTACCATCGACGAACAGCGTGTCGTAGGCAATCCATGCTGTTTTGTTTTCCTCTCGGGCTTTCTTCAGTTTAGGAAATAAGCTGCGTCGTTTTTGTACAACTTCTTGGGGAAACTGTTCATGTAAAAAATAGGGTATTTTTTCGAGCAGCTTTCTTTTACTTCGGACGAACTCCCGATCTTTAAAATATGTAAATTTGCAAACAATTTTGCGATTACAAAACGATCTTTCGTCATGCCCTTGAACACTCATTCTGTGGGCACGCTCAATTTGTAGTGACTTAACATATTCCTCAGCCATGTTTAACTTTTCTTTCAGGTGATTTCGAAGTATACGTTCCGTTTCTTCGGGTTTTTCGTTTTTCTCTTCTTTAATTCCGCCAAAGATTAAATTGTTTCTCATTGATTGTGATTTTAAATATACAACTTCATCTTTCATTTTAATGTTCTCATTTAAAAGTTTTTCGATTTGATCATCCTTATCGACTACGGCGAACTCAACATTTTGTACTCTTTCATCAATTTTCATAACTTTTTCATCATTACTTTTAGTACTGTCGTGCACATGAAGCCAAATTTTTTTCAACTCATTTTCAAAACTGTCTACTTTCTTCTCTAATGCTTCTAATGACTGTAACTTTACATCCATGTTTTCAATTTTTGCATCAATTTTCTTCAAATAACATAAAATGTCAGCATTAGTTGGGTTTAAGTTAATTTCAGCCTCCATTTTTCTAGATTGAAAGTTTTTGTCTGAAGTTGTTATGGACTCATCAGTACCAGGTGATTGGTCTCTTTCATTTAGCGACAATAAGTGATCGTCTTCAAATACCGGTATTGGTGTAGATAATGTGTCATCAAATAATACAGAGTTTGTAATATTCAAAACTTCACTTACTGAAATATTGTTTTCATTAGATCATTTAATCACAATCTTCTCTCCTATCATTTCAGTTGTTAGGATGCGCCATCTTGGGTATTGGAATATGGGTGCGAGTTGATGAAAACTTTGGGAAATATGTCAACAACAGTAACCACTTTGACCTCCTGTACACCGGTGCCTACATTTTTATTGTCGTCGGCATTCTGATTATGGTCGTAGGCTTCCTAGGATGTTGCGGCGCCATTAGAGAAAACCAGTGCATGCTGGGATTAGTAAGTATCACATGGTTTATGAGGAAAAGTAGTGCTCCACCGACTTAGCATAAATTAATTTGTGATGTTTTCTTTTGTTTGGTGGAAATTGAACATCTGAAGCGCTAGAAACGCAGATCTTTGCGTTTTCACGTTATTTTTATTCAAACTTCCGCGTGAAATTTTGAAGAAAAAGGAAAATATAGAAGCATGCAGAGATAAAAGTATAAGTGTCGGTACTTGATAACACAAGTGTTAAATCATCACAGTTTATAAGGAAACCATTGAATACTTGGAATAATTTTCTTCCTGTTCCGACATAAAGCTGCATTTTCAGTTAAAAGTTTCCTTATCGTGTTACATTCTTTAAAAATGCATGCCTCTAGATGAGCCAAACTATTTCAAGAAAATCAAACTTGAGAAAAATGTAGTACTTCAAAGATTTAAAGGACAGTTAAACGTTCAAAATTCAAGAAATAATTTACATGTTATGTTCGATTAATGACTAATTTTGCCATACGTATCACTATATTTCGGCCGAAAGGACCGTTGTGCATATTACGACCTGTTTTCTGCAGTTTACGTGAAATGTAAATGCCATTTGCAATATGTAAATTACTTTCTTTGTTCTCTTTACTATATTTTATTTTCATAAACATTTTTAAAAAAATCATTAAGATAGCAAGAATCTGGAGTCATGCAGTTTTAAAGAAAAAATCTCTGAACCGAAAGCCCTTTGTGTTTACTGCTTTATTTACCTGATTGCTTTTACAATTAAATTTTCGTAATTTATTTTGATAAAGGCACACTACATTCGTTGATAAAAGGCCAAAACATCCCGTTTCTAAGCTCATCTGGTCAGGCAGTTTGTGTTTTCTTTCGGGAAAACATGTCGTACATGTTCCATAGTAATCAGAAATTTGATTGAAATGTGTTTTTATAAATAAGCTTTAAGTTGGTCGATTCCAGAATGAAGTGGAAAATACCCTTATCTGTTAAAAAAGATAAAAATGTGCATTTGAGAGATCCTGTTATCAAAATGTATTAGCAGATTTAATCTGTTACCTGCAAGATTGAAATATCAGCTCATTATAGACGTTTTGTACAAATAATGCAGGCGATTTTCTCTGTAATTTAAATAGTGGATGTCCATTTATCTAATGTTTATAAGGAAAATAAACAAGAAAAGCTCAGTGCAGCCTTAGGAAAAGCTGATATACTGCTATGTTTTGGCAAATTTTCAGCAACGGTGCACAGCAAATATAAACAATAATGTACCACATATAAATATTTGTATACATTAATGTCATATATTTTTTCTTTTCAGTTTTTCGCCTTGCTTTTCATTATTTTCGTCATTCTGCTGGGAGCTGGTATTTGGGCCGTTGTAGCTCGAGACGAGGTAATTGTCTGATATCTTTATATGAATTCCGAGGTGGAATCCTAACTTTTTATCAAAATATGAACGAAACGAAAATTAAGGACAACACCAGACTGTATGTAAGCGGTCTGGCAACATTGACTGCGGCAGTAAGGTGTTTCAAAAAGTTAAATGTGTGATTTTCTACATGATTTTTTAAAAATAATGTTCGAAAGCCGCTTGCTTCATGGAGACATTGGAATATACATGTAAATTTTAAGATGCATTCCATAACGTAGCCTAAAATGCGTTAACATATTTTGCACTCTGTCCATTCTAATAGTTTGTTCAGTCACCTAATATTTTATACTATGATTCACTCCACAAAATTCTGCAAACAATTTAACTAAATATAAGTATGTCCTTATGAAGTACATCTTTATGTGTGCGATTGACTCTTATTTTTACTTTGCGGGTAGACAACTCCGTCTGTATTGATAGTATAATCTTTCGTTGTTATCTTTCTTGAGCAGGATCAGTCAAGCGCGCATTATAAGAGGTGCAAAGTGGGGTTTAAAAATCATTGAACCTGTTTGTCTTTTAGCTGTTTCTCGTTTTATTTCGGAACTGTCCGACTAGTTGGAACTAGTAAAACATTTCTTCTTTGCTTTGTAAAAAACTAATACTGAAATATCCATTTAGGGGCCTTCTCTTTCTAGTTTTGAATTGTCTTTATACATCGTTTTAAAAGAAGGCATCGTTATATGCAATGTATTTTAACTGACTTTGTTATTTTGTTGTTTTAGGTGGAAGGTATTGTTAATAAATCTCTGAATGATGGTGTGAAAGGATACTTTAATGAAAAATCTCCTGAAAGAGAATTCATGGATATTGTTCAAAATGATGTATGTACTTAATACATTTTTTTCTTAATTATATTATATAAATATAAAGTTCACATAGCCTTATTGTCGTGTGAGCGCTAGTTATTGTAATATGGGTTAATTCATATGGCATGCAATTGGGTCCGAATTACTTTTAAAAGCTTAATCATTTTAAGACGGCAAAAATTCCAGGAAAAAATGCGCCAACTGTGCATTAATGTAGAGAAACAAATTCTTGGACGAAGAAAAGCTTAATCATCTTAAGACTGCAAACATTCTAGGGATAGTGCACCTACTATTCATTTATATAGAGAGACAAATTCTGGAATGAAGAAGCAGATATCAAAAAGCGAAGTATCAATGGTTGGGTCGTAAAGTCTTAAACTTTACAACACTAAATATCTAAAATGGTCGAGTCCATCTTTCATCCTGGACACATCCATTCATCGTTTATAGGGAAGGTTGCATTGTAAGAACTAATTGACAAGCGACCAGTGCAGACCATGATCAGAGAGCTGGGTGTGCCAGTGATCTTGGTATGCAGTGACTATGCACAGGTCACATGGGTAGAATCATTAAATTTAATTAATTAACCAGATGGTCTCATGTCGCATTTATCCAGTTTGACTCTGGGAGATTAGTTGTTTTGCCACTGGCTAACTTTTAGTGTTTTGCATGAAGAAATAGGACAGAGAGACATGCACTTTAAACTACATGATACAACTACAAGTGCCGAAACGTTCGCAAAACCATCGATTGAACATACGAGTACTCAAGTATTACTCATTTTAGCTTTTGGAGGATAGTGCAAGATACAGATTCAGAAAAATGCCCCAATGACAGAAGCTTCTCCTTGTTTTTAGCATGCCAAGTGTTTATTAAAGCACTCATACACGGACCTCTCCCCTGAAAGACTGTCCAGTACTTTTAAGTTTATCAGTCGTGGAATCGAACCCATATTGTTTAGAATACAAGTCTCATGCTCTAACCAATTGAGCTATGTGGGCTGGATAAAATAAATATTCTTAATTTTTTTTTCTTTTATGTCATTTGAAGACTCCTTATAACCGTTATTTGCCGAAGTATTTTTCAATATTATTTTCAATATAAAAATGTTCAGCAAAAACAAATAAAAAAACAGGCAGATGTTTGTTTTCTCTGTATACTAAGAGCTTATAGTAATGCACAGTCTTTTTTATATGTAATATAGTCCCTGACAAACTGGAATACAACACAATATTCCTTCAGTAGTCGCCTTATAATAAATAAAAAGTGATTTTTTTTATATTCTCGCTTTTAGTTCAAGTGTTGCGGAGCAACAAAGGGCGGTGATGACTACGGGGCGGACAAGGTTGGCATGGTGGAAGCTTGTCAGAAATATACAGAGGTAAATATGAGCCGTGTCATGACAAAACCAACATAATGGTTTTGCGACCAGCATGGATCCAGACCAGCCTGCGCATCCGCGCAGTCTGATCAGGATCCATGCTGTTCGCTATCAGTCTCTCTACTTGTTATAGAGTTTGTAAGCGAACAGCATGGATCCTGATCAGACTGCGCGGACGCGCAGGCTGGTCTGGATCCATGCTGGTCGCAAACGCACTATGTTGGTTTTGTCATGACACGGCTCATATATGTACAAGAATTGATAAAACGTGGTAACATATAAATATTAATTTTATCAGTTTTATTATGTTACCGAAACTCCTGTTTGATAAACAGGAAGTCCTGCTTGATAAACAGTCGTGGCTGCATAACTTAATTATTGTCTAAAAAATCAAGTACCTGAATAAACAGTTTTGAATTAAAAGCCTATTAATGTTTGCTTTTTTATTATTATTTCAGCCATGTAATAAACAGTTGTTTGAGTTTGTAAAGGAGAATTTGGTCATAATTGCTGGTGTATCTATTGGTATTGCAGTTATTCTGGTAAGCGTTACTAATTCCATTTATTATTTTTTTACACCATTTCTGTTCTCTTCTTCAATGATCTGTTAGTCACTTAGAAAAAACAACGTGATGTCGCCGTTGAATTGTAAAATTATGTAAAATCGTGTTATTTATAAGGTTAAGACCTTATAGGGATAATGCCTTTATTGGCTTTGATACTGTAATTTTAGAGTTTAAAAAGGATCAAAGGAATAATTACTCTTATGGTTTATTTATGGAAAAAATTGTGCATAAAAATAACTCCAGTTGAAGTAAAGCGATGATGTACAGTCAGTTAAAGAATCTGTTTTATGAAACAGTATTCCTAAGTTGTGACTAGTTACCTCCCCTTGTGATTCGTTTAGGATGACCGTACATCTTTTATAAGATAATAACAAAGATTTATAGCCTTTTAGAATTTGCGTTTATGATGAACGTTCCTCATTACATAAATGATAAGATGATAATAAAGATGTATGCATAACGTTTAGAGTGGTTGTGGACTAATGAATCAGGTGTTATAGTATTTATTGTAATGAATGTGTACATCTGTGATGGGGGTTTTACTGTATTCATTTGTATTGTAGATACTGGGCATGATCTTCTCAATGATTTTATGCTGCGCTCTACGTGATGCTCAGATTGTAAGTACATGTAGAAGTTTTATGTTATATAAGCACGTGCTAACTTACTAAATACCGTATTCCGCTATGTACCGGATAAGGCGCTTTCAGAATGAATGCTAAAATCTCGCTTTTTCATCCAATGGATTGGACTTAAATAACGTCGTATTCATCTCTTCACACCGATTTATATACAATAACGAATGAAAAATGTGAGAATTGGCAAAAAGCGAAAAAAAATTCTACATTGTGATCATGATTTCTGCAAGCGTCTATATGTATATAACATTGTGAATATTTTAATGTTATAATTGAAATTAAAATATTTTATATTTTGCAGACTGGCGAGGAACACCTCTGTCAATTTAGTATATTTTTCCTGTTTAGATAAATAGGGAAGCTTAACTAATTCACAAGGTGTAATGTAATTTTGGCAATAAGTGTGTTTCTTTTCCTGCACTTTTGTTCAATAACAGCTGCTTTTAACATAATTTCCAGCTTATATTATTAACAAATGTTTACTAATTTACAATGTGTTATGTTTGTTTTCATGTGCTTTTAGTCAATAGAAGCTGTTTTTTTTGATAATTTTCAAAATTAATTTATGTCATTAACGAATAAAATATATAAGTGGGAAAAAAAACTTTTCATCAACATTTTGAAAATAGGGGTAAAAAAGTTTGTATTTGAACACGTGGCGAATCGTTACTGTGGCGAATCGTTATATTACCCTATAAATACTGCTGCAACACTGCAGTGAGTTAAATCAGTTAATGTCTTCGGCGGCCTGGTCGATTGGTAAACGCGATGGGCAAGTAATCTAAGGATTGATGGCCTTATGTTTGGATTGATGGCCTTATGTTTGGATTGATGGCCTTATGGGTTAAACCCCCGTCAGGAAAAGGCCGAAAATCTTAGACAAGATTTGTTTACACTCATTGCTTGATAGTACTTATTGGTTCCAAAAACGGATTCGAAAGTGTGTCTGTGAGCTTATAGTTTTCAAAATTAATTCTGTATAAAGTAATTATGTCTGTCTTTTAGAGCTAGAACCAGGCCAGCCTGGTTAACCACCCAAGCAGCCTGATCAAACCATATAACTGTTGACTGTTTTAATTTTACAATTTTGATAGTTCATTTTAAATCACGAACACTTTTGTTCAAAATTGAAAACATGACAATTTCATTCGACACATTAAGAAGATTAAATCATTATTAATCATTATAGCCTCTTGAATTAACAGTTACCTCACTTATTTCCTAAATGGACTTGCCCATCTTTCAGTCCGGACAAAACCATTCATCAGTTGAAGGGAAAATTTCTTAACTAGCACTGACTGGATAGTGAACAGTGCAGACCATGAACAGACGGCTAGTCTAGATCTGAACAGTTTGGATTGAATGATTCAGTCGCCGCCAATAGTCTTAAGAAGGCCAAAGGGCCAAGCTAGCTCGCCGCCAATAGTCGTAAGAAGGCCAAAGGGCCAAGCTAGCTCGCCGCCAATAGTCGTAAGAAGGCCAAAGGGCCGAGCTAGCTCGCCGCCAATAGTCTTAAGAAGGCCAAAGGGCCAAGCTAGCTCGCCGCCAATAGTCGTAAGGAGGCCAAAGGGCCAAGCTAGCTCGCCGCCAATAGTCTTAAGAAGGCCAAAGGGCCAAGCTATCTCTTTTTATACATATAAATTTCAGATAGAATAAGGTGTATTAAGTGATTTTAATTTTGTTCTTTGAGTAATAATCATTTATTGTATTTTTTTCTTTTACAGGATTAGATAGTGACATCAAAAAACTTCCGAAGGAAATGAGAAAAGTATCGTTGTCATCTTGAAACAATGCGATGAAAGGAAATCAGGAAGACCTTCCAAACATATGTGATACTTTTATAAAACTGTGAAGGGTCGACAGATCATTAGGACCATCACCTGGAATTCTAAAAATAGAAATCAGGGGAAGACAATATAACTTGTTCAAAAACGTACCAAGATTTTAAAATGCCTTGTTATTTTTGTATACGATTTGAAAAGAATTTAAAAAAAAATAGTAGGAAAATTTATACCATATTGTAGCAAGCAATGGAAGTTTAATTTTTGCTAACATTTGAATAAATATGAAAGAAAGATACTTTATTTTACATGATGAGGAGAAAGTATGATTTAAGCCGACCTCATGTTTTTGAGACTTTAAGTTTAGTTATATTATAAGATATGCTTTATTCATTGTAATATTCTCGCATTCATTACCCCGGCTGTATATTTTGTTTTATATTATGCACTATGTATGTTTGCTTCTTTATCTTTAGTGATTTTATTATGGCAAATACAGTACCGTATTTACCTAATTAAGCGCGCCTATCAGCGGTCTTGTTCAGATGCTGTTCAAATGTTGTTTTTTTAAGAACATAGAAGATTGTGATTTTAAGAAATGTGAACGACTCAAAAATTTTGTAATACTTTTTCAGTGCTTACAAAAACGAGCTTTAGGACTTAAATAATTAAGAGCTTAATGTAAACATTTTCGCGTGCCGTGTTGCGTTCTTTTTTCTGACGGCAGCTATACTGAACTTTTATGCATCACCTTACATGTTTTTAGATTTTTTCTCTCTTTTTTTAACTCGTCTGTTTCGAAGATATTGATTGCTGCGGCACCGTCGTCGTTGAAGTCGCCGTTGTCGACCTGCATAACATTCCTGTAGTCCTTTATTCAAACATTTTAAAAGATAACAAAAGATAACAACATGAAACTTGGAATGATTGTTTATCAGTTGAAAGACAAGGGGAATAATTTTGAAGTCAATATTTTTGGGTTATGCCCCTTTCAACTTTTAATTTTCAAAAGACGAGTGTTAACACCACATGCGGTGTTCTTGTTTAATTGTTAAATGTTTTGTTTCATTTCTGACTCAACTGTTAAATTCTGTTGAAACTAGTCCTGCTGTACGCTTAGCCAATTCAGTTTTGTATTTCAAAATTGAAAATTTTGATTTTTCATTGCAGACGACAATTTTGATGAATGTTATAAATGTTTCGCCGTACACTTGACTCGTCGAGTGAATTTTCGAGTGAACATCGGAACTAGACAATTTTAAATGAGATAGATTTATTCACAGACATAACCTTTCGCAAATATTATAAATACCAAACATGCCCTTTACAAACATGTTACCTGCATCTCAGCTGTCGCACCTGCATTTTTTCCATTCACTTAGCATTAGTGATTCAAATTAGGTTTCACACCACTATTGAGTTTCATGACACAGTCATGGTCTTTATTTTAAAAATTGTATATATTTTCTTACCCCATTTCTTGCAAAAATAGCTTGTAGATTCCGTTTTAATCGTTTAAAAACATTTTTGTTCACCATTTGTATTTGCTTTCACAATTCACAAAATCAGGATATTTTCGGGCAAATTTTAAAGACAATTATAAATATGCTTTATTTAATTTCAGTCACAAATTTAAGAAGTAATCATTCAAATTCTACGGATAAAAAAAATATATCTATGATACTTATATTGAATCACGTGGTGCTTTATTCTTTATTTTTTAATATATTTTTTTGGCTTTATGGGTGCGTGTTTTATTTTTATATGTTTTTTTGGATACCTTTTATATTCGCCTGATTGAATGAGTCATCACAAATAATGTACATGTATACTCATTAAAGTTACAAGTGTATATTTTCATCTCATTAATATGTATATATAACATTAAATTATATTTGCATATATGTATATATAACTGTGACTTATATTTGCATATATGTAAATATAACAAGTGAATTATATTTGCATATTTGTATTTTTAGCATAAATATTGATAAACTTTGAAAAGTTTTTTTTTACTTTTATTATAAGGTTGCAATGTTATATGTTATAGAGTTTAGATATGTGTTTTGTAGCTTTGTTGTTTAATGTTTTAATGTAAACTAATATTCTGATAGTACAGTTCCAAAATAACTAACCTTACACCGATAATTTCTTGATGGAATATCTGCGTCAAACATACCGGTAAAAATTCAGGAACCATAAGATTTAAAATTAACTCAATGTTTCGGTTTAATGTAAAAGTATAAATAAGTAGACAAAACTATTGGCAAAAAGTCTTTTTAACTTCAGGAGGAAAAAATTGGTAAAATTCAAAGAAATAACATAATTATATGTTGCAATCAGAAAGAAGAATAGGAGATAAATGGGTACACCAAAGTTTGCAATCGTGTTTTTAAATTATCTCTGAAAGTTTAACCCACCCACCCAAAAGCGAATATAAATTCAAATAAATTAAGTGTTTCACTTACCAGATGACAGGATTTTCGTTGCTCTATGTTGTATTGGCGCTTTTATGATTGTATAAGACAGCTCGGAGATACATATTACATTAATATAAAATCTCTGACAAAATGGAAGTGGCTAAATATACTGATTTTAAGAGCTTATTATGTAACATTTAAAAATATTATTGATATATTTTATTCAAATGAAACAGGCTGTCTAGTTTAGGAACAAATAAAGAACAAACTGTAAAGAACAAATATTATTTGGGGAATTAGTCGCAAACTGGACAAAAATAAACTGCGCATGCGTTATGTTCTTATCCGGAAGTTACGTTTCCCCTAGCAAAATGCTTTCTTTTTTTACATTTTGACGAAAGTAACATGAGAGCGTAGCCCTATAAACTACTTTTAGAGACCGTTCGAGAAAGTTTAGACGAAATTTATACGTGTAAAAGTTGTTTTAAATTTTTTTAAGCATTTCCATCTAGATATGACTACTTTGATAACAAATTGATGAGTTGATTTTTTCGTGATCTAGCATTATTCATTTTATTTTATTTTTAATAAAGGCCTATATTCTTGCAAATGATAGTGAATTTAAAAGATCTATTAAATTTTGAAATGTTAGAGTGCGTAGTTAGTTGCCTTTGTATATGATCATAATATTATTATTGTAATTTTTATATATGTAATTTTATATATGTGTGTTTTCTGTATTTTACGGCAATAAATGTTCTATAATAGATTTTAGTTTCTTATAATGTAAAATCCATGCATGGAACTTTTAAAAAAAATCCTTAAAATGTCTAATTGTTTGAACTTGTGCGCGCTCGTGCGTACATTGCAGTCTTAATTACCAAGTCAATGATTTATGTTTTCATTGTGACTTATTGTGATAATGATGAAACCGAATATTGAAAATATGTATAGTTAAGTGTACGCTGCGCTTGTTTGAGAGAAGATCCAGTATTGTAATATTGAGGAAATGGCAGCTCCAGCTGACAGAGTTGGAGGGACTGTATATATAGTCAAAACGATACTGTGGAGGGTTTATAATTAATTTCCACCTGTAGTAGTAGAAGATCTCATGGACCGTCCCTGCATTGTTGAGGATATCAGCGTGCACCGCTGTCTCTTGTCTTCACTTATGTCCACAGACTGATAGTATCATTTTACTAACTTGTTGCTACTAGTTATAACCGCCTCCGTGGTCGAGGGGTAAGAGTCAATGACTTCTTATCCAGTTACCTCTCTGGCGTGGGTTCGATCCCCGGGAGATGCTTTGGTAGTTTAGCGCGTAGGAAGGTAGTCTAGTACTGGTGTAACTCTCCAGAAACGATGGTAAGGAAACTACCCGCCTATATGACTGAAATACTGTTGGGAAAAGGCGTAAAATAAATCAAACAAACAAACAAACAAACAGCAACTAGTTATTCTTCAAGTTGTGCTTGATATCTTGCGCAGCCAAAGAAACAACAAAGATAAAAAGTCATATCATTTATTATATACACATTTGAAATACAAAAAGTTAAAGCTTGTAAAATATTGACTACAAAATGCTAAATAAATATTAATGTACAGAAAATATACACTGGTATAAAATGATGTATTATTTTACACTGTGAATGATATTTAGATGTTTGAAGCTTATTATATAACCGGTTTAGTTTTTTCCTGTGTAATTACAATAACGAATAAAAACACATGACCTCATATTTTAGGCACATACGATTATGACATTTTCCATGAGTTTGTCAGATCAAAATGCACTTTGAAAGCCAGTCCTCTGCAATATTTGGCAGTTTTAATTGTCTATATGTACATGTTTATATACACAGAGTGCGTGCTTTCAGAGAGCACACTTTCATCTGACATCCTACTCCCCTCGCCCCCTTTTTGTAGTATTTAAAACATACGTAAAATACATAGCAAACTCCATAATTAAATTTACAGGTTAATTATATAATACATTCATTAGTTCTTTATCAATGCTGCCTTTCTTTAAAAGATGACAAGCTGTACTTTACTTATCACGTTTATACAATGAAACAAGAACTTGTTCTGTAACTATCCGTAACCATCCGTAATTCCAAACTCTAATTTCTATACATTTCTGTCCAAAGTCTTTCCGTTGCTTTTCTCGAAAATGGTTTTTATCAAAGTTCGGTTTTCTCAAGGCTACTGTTACAAAATCCCGCCGTTCATCTAGACGAAATCATGAGTAGATTGATGTACGTAGAAGCTGTAAAGAATTTAATGAAAAATACAGCAAATGAAAGTACAATGTATAAGCAAAACAGGAGTATCCAATCTAAATATTAATTCATTCATTTCTTACAACTATTGAAGATCAAAAATAGAAATTTACGTAAAATGTCTAATTTTAAAATTTCAAATTTGATTCAGGGTAAGTGTAAAGGGTAGACTACAGACCGGGTGTACAGTTCAAACCCAAATATGTTTGTGTAAAGACACTTCGTTTTCCAAACATTAGTTATAACCGTTGCTGAGTGACAGGAATTTTGGTTGTTACTAAAGGGGTGCTGGAGGGAGTTTATTTAATATTTAGAAGTCTAGGAAGAAATGATACTTTTGCTATAAAGATGTTCTTGTTAAATAAAGGGCCGCTTTACAGAGGTTACATTGTAATTGTGAAATGTTAGTTCAAGTATCAAGACCCACTGACACAAAGTGACCACAATGCTAGTGTGGTTGTTTAAATTTATTAATAGGAGTATATCAGGCACTGTACATGCTTTATAATTGTCAGGCACACGACACAGGTAGATCCATCGGCCTTTAAAGACTGACTGAATAGTTTCCTCACATAAACTAATCAAAGCTTTCTTGCAAGTTTGAAACCCACAGCGTTGATTTGAAATCAGCGGCCTTAACCATTCGACAAAGGAGGATGCCAATACTGTCTATTCTGTAATAGGAATGGTGGAAGTAGTGGGAGCAGCTCGTAGGAAACTGGTGGGAAAGTAGTAGAGGCAGGCAACCAGCGCCTCGTATTGTATTTAGAGACAGACGGAGACGCAATGGAAAAGCTAGAGATGGCTCCTGGCCGAACCTGATTAGGTTTCTTCAATTTACGATGCCTTACCTCTTGTAAGTACTTCCGATGGTCCTCGTCTGACATAGCTGGTAAATTCTGTGCCGCCCTGGAGTGTCGATCTATTGTTAAAAGATTAAAGTATTTTATTGATAAAAAACGAAAGATTTAGAAAAACTTTTGAAGGACAGAACAATTTGAACTTAATTTACCTTTAGCCTGCTAAATAGTGTTTTCAAACAGCCTTGTACCAGAGCAGAAACTGAACTCGGTTTCTCTTCAAGTAAAAAAAACTGTTTGATAGTCACCCTTTAATTGAATAAAATTAGAATATTAAGCAGACGACAAAAAAGCAGACGACATTTCTAGCACACAGCTACATTACCAGCAACCTGTCAGATAAGGTTAACAAAAATTGATATTCATTCATATTTGATTAAAATCAGCTCCTAAATAACGCTACGTATTAGGAATAACTTAAGTAGATCTGAACTTTTATATTTCCAATTGTTTAAAAAGACAACCTTTAAACAGGAATACAACTCCTGAATTGTCCATTATTTACATGTATCTTTATCTGGGAATATACTTGATTAATGAAAACAAGGGTTTACACATGTGGCAAGAAATAATTATAGGAAAGAAAATGTAAAGGATCCCGTACGATCGGGAAATTCTTAATTACAAAATAAAACCTTGTTTCAACTGAATCTTTAAGTAATAAATACTTAATAAATCATTGGAATTATTTTAGTGGTTACTAATTATATTGTTAATTGTCAAACTTTGAAACTTTCTCAGCTGTTAATATAATTACATATTATAAAAGGGAACTGATGTTACAGATAAATTATAAACATTTAAAAAAAAACAAATCAGGACATGGGTATTATTAAATCAAAGTTAATTGAATTATTGTGAAAATTAATAGCAGAAGATACCAAACTGGACTTTAGTACACGTCAAATTAGGCTGGTAGTTTTATTGATAATTCAAAGTTTATTTGACATTATAGATGGGCCTTTTTTAAACAAAGGCATAGTGTAAACATAAAACTTAGAAACAGTACGATAGAATTGTGACAAACATTTCTGCGAATAACATGAGTATGAAAAAAAGCTTACAAATCGTGCAGCTATGGCGCAAATCAAATGTGAAGTGCAGTTGTTTAAAGAGAAATATTCATCCTCTGGTCCTTGAAAGTAGTTCTACTTTAGATGACAGTAAGCGTTATTTTTCTTATTCCAAGAACTATATAAGTCAAATAATTAGTTAAATTAAAGTAAATGATGGCGTTGAACAGAGAAGTGTAAACAACAGACCTTCCTTTTCCCTGAATTTACAGTAAGTGTTTTCAATGGTTAAACAAATATATAAAAAAATCTTGATTAAACGTCGGAAAATCTACGACGAAAAATAACGCTTATTCGTTGTAAACTCTGCTTATGTACTCAAAGTGGAACTACTTCAATAGTGCATTACCTCCAAACACCCGAAATAGATACGTTCCTTTGTAAGATTAAAGTACAGTATATTTAAAGCCTAAACAAGAATTGGTGATCGATTATAAGTAATCTACAAATGTAACAAGCTGAAGATGAAAGCATCATAACCTGTGTGTCACAAGGGATCGATTGTTAGTTAGTTTAGTTAATAATAATTCATTTTAGCTCTATTGTGTATTGAAACAATCTCGAATCCGTTCCTGGAACTAACCAGTACTAGGCAATGAGGGTAAAGTTCCTTGCGCATGGAAACAACGGCTTACCCCCTGACGGGGTTTAAATACACTCGGCCAGGGATCGACTGTTAACCAAGTAAGATATTTAAATGTTTAGTACTGTGTATGACTGGCCAGTAAAAAGAGTCAAAAGCAAGATATAGGTGATAAGAAGCGAAAATGTTTGTTTAAAGTTACCTATTAATGCTACAATTTCTGTCAATATAAATCAAAATCTCTATAACATCATTTTCCATAAGTTTCTCACCAATGAAAATTAAAGTTTGTGTACAAAAATTTGTAACATTCATAAACATTAACTATGACAATTGACAAGAAACAAAAACGACATGTTTTCTACAAAGGTGAACCCTACTCTAACATAATCATATAGTTCGTATCAATAAGACCTTTGACGAGTATCACATTCTTTATCATTACGTGATTATGTGATTATTTGTCCAATCAGCATCAAAAGATTATCACAACGTACATAAACTTAGTGTGCTATTTTCTAAAGAACAAATCAATATGCAAAGAATTCTTTAAAAATCTCTTTGCTATTACTTAACTATTACAGGGCGAAATTCATTATAGTCAGTGTGAAAAAGCCAGTGTTATTTAACCTGCTACTAATAGGTCCAGTTGCATAAAAACTGCACTGGACAGGTCAAGTTGATACGACCTACATAATTATAAATATAAACTTATATCTATATGCATTGCAATATCAACCTTTATTAGACGTAGTGATTCCTGAGAAATATAAAATAACAGTTAAATAAAAAATATCGTATACAGGAATTTCATATTACACGATTTCTAAGAATTTTTATATGTATTATTTATTCGGAATGAAATAATATGGCTGGCTATACATGTAAGTACATTTACCAAACAGTCTCTTTCAAAGCGACCTTACTAAGTAAGTTTCTAAGTAAATAAATGCTTAATTTAAAGGGCTACACATTTGGTTTCCCAATCTTCCATGTGGGCATATCTAACAAGATGTTAAGCTGATTACTTTGCGTTGTATCTCAATTGAATGATATCGCCAGGCCCAAAACAACTTGCAGACCCTTTTCCGGCAAACCTTGGATAAGAACCTCGAACACTATAGTATGAATACACAGAACGGGCACGGTACGTAATTCTAACCTACACTACAAAATTTAAAATAACTGGTAAGTAAATGCCTGGATTTGTTGAGTTTGTTTATTCCATGATATCGTGTAACAGTTGGCTTAAAGTTTTATACAGTTAAAAATACAGTGTACATTATTAATGTTCTAATACACCTGTTCATGATATTACGGTTTTGTAATGGCTATTCTTGCATATCAGACTGGCGTTTCCGTTAAGGCCTCAACAGACGGTAGGATTTTGAAGTACAACACCAATTAAAACTATGATGTACAGACAAATCTTTATGTGTGAAGGCTACTATTTCTTGATTTCGGAAACCTTATGTCTAGATGTAAGGGATAGGACATGTTCTATTTTGAAAATCTTGTCGTAGCGATTTTTATAGACCTCCAACAATGACAAGTAACAGATAACCAAATTATCTCCTGATAATGAGTGTAATGAATGAAATTCCAGAACAATTGCTAAAAGGTAAACATAGTAGTAAGATGGGGTAAAAATGATGTTGAAAAACTCTTCAGGAGACCCAAAGTTGTGTTATGTTCGAATCCCAAATTATTCCGAAAATGATTGTCAAGGTATTGAATTGTTCTCTAATTAGGGGAGGGGAGATAGTTTGTAGGCGGCCAGATAGCTTAGTCAGCAGAGCCGCAGTACGGTATTCCGAGGGTCCCAGGTTTGAGTCTCTGTCAGGCTTCATATTAAAAAAATGGAGATGTTTTAATCATTACTCATGGCGAAAAAAGTATTTAGTGAGTAAAGGTATGTAAAGGATCAATGTAAAGGGATCCTTTTTAGGGGAAACCTCAGATGATTCTTACAGTGTAGATTTACCGTCTGAATGCAAGTGTTGTATAGCTTTGAAAATTGTACATCTTAACTCTAATTAGTGCTGTACAACTAAATCCTACCGTCTGTTGAGGCCTTTAGTTTTACCCATGATGGAAATTTCATCTGGCATGGGGGGTTCCAGATGAGTCGCGTGCTGTACAATGGCACGATAAAGATGACGTCATTTTACCGTTATGAATGATTTTGTAATTCATACGCTGTTGAATGAAAGTAGTTACGGTTGTAATGATATAAATTTTCATTGAAAATAAAGATAAAGAATTTAAAATATAATGGAATATGGTAGGATATGCAAAAAAAAATATCTGACATATGTTTGCGGTTCGGATCGGAATATCCGTCCCTCGGTCACCCGCCCATGGGCGGTAACTCGGCAAGCCTCGTTACCGCCCAATGGGCGGGTCACCTCGGGACGGATATTCCGATCCGAACCGCAAAATATGACAGATATTATTATTCTAGAATTGATTGGTTTTGATTATCAGACATATTTTTTCAATAATAATACTACTGAAATGGACTATATCTTCCGATGTCAAATAGATATATTCGGATATTTATACAAAGATAACATCCTATCAAAAGTCACGTGGTAGAACTTATATCTGGGATGATGCTTGATAACTGGCGAGGCTTTCCAAATGACCCCCTTTACTATTTTTAATGGAATACTCCAAGTTCTATGGTCAAGGTCACGTTGAAACGGACTATACCGTAAAAAAACGTTGAAGAGAATAATACTTACTGTGTGCTACATGGAGTTTAATGATGGAATTCATAAACCCTTCCAGATGTATAAAATCCTTAGCTGCAAATCTGAGAACCAAGGCCTCCATTATTTTATTACTGACTGAAAATCCTAGAAATAAAGTATAATAACGTGAAATAATAAATTCACAGAACTAGGTAATAGTATATGAAATGCGATATGTAATCGCAAAAACATAAGATGAACATTTCTTATATAAGATGCCAAAATGATAAACAAATTATATGAATCTAGTTCTGAAACATTTGAGAAGCGCATCTAAAAAGGGTAATATACTGTATAGCTTTAATCCATAGTATGTCTTCCGTGCGTACACATATTTTTAAGCTAAAAGAATTTTTTTCTCCAAAGTTTAAATACATGTAGTGTAATAATGTTGTACATTTGGGGTGCTTTTCATAAAGAATCATAGGACCGATTTTAGTTGCAAACTTGAGATAAACGCACCCCTGTTGTTTAATCACTTCTATAGATTTCGCTCTGATTTCTCAAGAAAAAGGTCAGCAAGTCAAAATGGATAAAAGATCACGACATATCGATCAAAGGTAAAAAGTTGCAATGCAAGTTACAAGAAATGACCAAATAACAACCGTGCAATCTCTACAGAGCGACAATCTTTAGATCAATTACCTCTTTACAACAACCGTATAACTTCCTAACAAGTAACACTTCACAATACCTAACAATGATAATCTACTTTGTGGAGAAACAACCACACGTTTTGTCTCCCAAAAGGTATTGCTCTGTTGCTCCGCAAAGGTTGTACATGTGTAATTAATTATATGTTGTTCTGATATTTTATCCATACTATAATTATGTTTCCAAAATTAAAATTTTCCTTCATTGTACACGACATTATAGCAAAACACAAATGTATATAAAGATAAGTGAACAAATAATACATACCTGCTATTCTAAATGCATTTCTTAATGAGTATGAATCCATGACAGAACCATTTCCTACACTAAATTTCAAGAATATACTCTGGAAGAAAAGAACGGAAAATAACGAGCAATGCCGAAAATAAACGAGTTCTCTTAAAGCAGAATATATCTTATTTCCAATCAGAGATTTACATAACACATGTAATGAACCATCATTTTCAAATATACAAAATAAAATAAGTTATAGACGGTAAGTTTTCATCCATCAGAAGAAAAAATACGAAAATAAAAAAAAAGTTTTATAAAAATTAAAAAAGAAATATTTTCACAAGAAGTTTTCCTTTACCATTTAAATGGAGACATAAACTGTGTACATACCTGCCAAAATGAAAGTTTCTGCACCAGTGACAAGAATTCTTCGAAATTAAGTCGACCATTCATATCTTTCTGAACAGAGGTCAAGGTCAATGCATGTAGTAATCTTATTTATATATTCAGAACGTAGAAAGCAACACAGTTAATCAGACGTAATATGGTCACATCATTACATTTTATTCGCGCTGCAATACTGTGCAAACACGCTATGACGGACATTTCAGACTTTTCGCAGCAATTCGTAAAAGCATCATGTCTGTTTTTTTCTTTATTGGTGCTTTGGCATACATGTAACAAAAATACGAATTTACCCGTAATCTGCGTTTTTGAATGCATTTCCTTATTGTAACAGGTTATCTTAATTAAAATCGTAAGAACGTTAGATATGTATTATAGTAGTTTATCTTAATTAAAATCGTAAGAACGTTAGATATGTATTATAGTAGTTTATATTTTGAAAGTTTCTCATTTTGTTTTAGGTCATGCAAAGTTGCAAATCTGCAGTTTTGACATTATTGTTCAGGTTTTACTTTTTACTATTAAGGATACATCTTCGATGGTAACTGCAGCCTTGCTCGTCTCCGGGGACAAAAACAACCGTTTTATATGCATCTCTGAAAATACATGCAAGCAATGTGTCACTTACATAAATGAATACACGTTAGAAGAATAAATATTACATCGTCTTAAAATAATCACACTATTCTTTCATATACAGACATTGATTGAGGTGTGTCCATTGCTGAATGAGAGAAATACAGGTTCCCTTATAATTAAGGATGTACAACTCCTACATTTCTCAAAGTATTTCAACCAAATTGTTTACAGTAAAATTACAAAGTTTCCCGATGAGTCTTGCACTTTGCTTTGAGATTGGTCAATTTTTAGCAAAATCATGGTCTCTGTAATGATTTATATGTGTTATGATGGCGGAAAACCTGGTTTTGTGTCAGTTTCCTGACATTTATTCTCAACTGAGGGGGGAAACATCATCATGATCAAATAAATACTCTTAAAATATACCAGTACATGATTTGTTGCACAATTTGACAAAAAAATAACAACTGAATAATTTTAATTGTTATACCATCTTTCTCTGGTTCACAACAAAGTATCATTGAAGCACCGCTCTGTGGTTTAAACGACAATATTTGTCTTAACCCGTAACCGTCCACTTCTTCGTACTGGAATGAAAGAACATTTCGTGATTACTTCATATCTGTTCTCATATCATTGAAAGAACCCAAAGAAACAAAATGGGCGGAAAGAAATACATGAAGTAGTAAAAAAGAAATAAAGCTGGCAATACGAAAGGATATATGCAAACAAAAAATAAAGTTTATATTTGCCAAGAATAAACAAAAACATCTCTGCTTAAGAAAAAGATATCCTGTTTATTCGAAATTGTAGTAGGTAAAAAATAAAACTCCAGTTATTATGAATCATTTTGTAAATAAATCTAAATATTATAACTTTTAGATACCGAAAAATATAAACAGTTCTTATAAACTTACTCTGTTGCAGAACATGCTGAATCTTTTTCTCAAAACATACAAAGTTTCCGGATCTAACTTTTGGTCTATCTGGATAAAACAACAGAGTGAAGCATTATGTTTAATTTTTTTTTTTTTGAAAAACAAAACAAAAACACCGATTGCCTAAGTATTAAATCCAATAAATGCATACCATGTTTTACTAAAACATACAAATTTTAGCTTTTCTTTTCGAATTGAGTGCTGCAAATTTCTTAAATTGAAGATCATTATTAGCAATGCAAAATTTAGAATACGTTTCATCAAAAGTGAGCATTTAATTCAATATGTAAAACGTTTCTTTATCTTGTACATTACCATGGATTGTAACTTACCTGTGGAGAGAAATTTGCCGTATCTATATCATCCAGCTCCCTGAAATATATCATATTTGATAATGTATATCCTTGAAGAAATGATGACTATTCATATACAGCAATTTTGTCGAAATAGTTCGTGCGAATCCTTCACGTTTCATCCGACGAAACAAAGTTATATATGAATGTTCAAGTGATAAATATCTTGCTCTGCTAATTTTTCATTAACAAAAATGAAAATGAAACGATATGTTTGTGAAAGAAAAAAAAAAGATACCAAATTCTAAAGGTTTTAATGTGGACAAGGAAAATAGGAATTCTATTTATATAGATGCCGCTACGATCTATTTACGAATAAGGGCACATGACATTAATACGCAAAAGAGCCCTCAGTTTTGCTCGTGTTCGATTACCAACATACCTTACAACAATATCCCGATTGTCACATAATATTCTGAGACAAAATTTTCCTTCCACTCCGACTTTTCCAGTAACCGGAACTATAACATATGACCCGGCCGGTAATGTTAAGAATCGAACATTTTCTCTCTCTGCTCGAACCCCTGTGGAAGTGATCTGTTTGGCTTGTACGAAATGACCCATACCAAGTCGACTTGTCTGGCCAGGTGGAGCCTATATGTAATTTAAGGTGACATGATGACAGCAATGATGATAAATCAGCATATCAAGTAATCTCTATCGCAACTTTTCGGCCAATTCCAATAGCCGAGATGTTCCGACTGTCAAATAACTAAGCTTGTGCAATTTCAAACTTGTTCAAATGGAAATCAAATGTGCTGTAGTAACATTGCCTCTGATCAAAGGTCAAGTCATCTATTTTGCTTAAAGGCACATTATGCCTCAGATATGATTAGATATTTACTTCAAACATGAGTTTTATTACGTTTAAATAATGATTTTAGAGCATGTTAGATGCTTGTTACCTTAAGAAAATAGCGCTACATGTAAATATTATGCAATAAAAGTAGAAAAAAATATGAACAAAATAGTATTTTGACTTCCATACAGAATACTAAAAGACTATTAACGTACTTATTGCCAAAAAGCAACAGTAGAAGAAGACAATGAGTAAGTTGTTGGAAACTATTATAGAATACCAAAAAATAAACTGATTTTGAGAAATAAAAATGAAAGCATTTCTGGGGCATAAAGGGCCTTTAACAATGTTTATTTCACCAGTATTATCAATCATAATATTTTAAAACTTTTTCTTCTTTATACAAAATGTATGTAGATACGTTATAAAGGAAACTAAAACTACAAAACATATACACAACATATCATCGTGTTTTGAATGCGTCAACTAGAACCGGAAGTGATACGCCTTTGCCACCAGTATAAAGACAGGCCAGTGCAGACTGGCCAGGCTCTATACTGCTGGCTGGCAAACTTTAAGTTTTCATATGAATACCCCATATTGATAACATAAAACGGGAAGGGAGAGAATTGAAGTAATATTTTGGCATTGTATATTGAAACTTCTCTCCCTTTCCTTTTAAGTTTAATGTGGCCATACCACGTGACATTTCGGGTACGGAACACGCCGATTTTTCACCCGATTCAGGTATGTTTTTTATTCATAACTTATTTATTACTCAACCGATTTTGATGAGATAAGGCGCAGAGTACCCATAATTATATCAGTTATCCACGGTATATCAAAATTCTGAAAACCCCTGAATGGTTTTTGAGAACATTCGAGTACAGTTTTCTTTTCATAGCCTGGGCCGAGGGGAACGGTACACACTCATTTGGTATAACAGGCGATTTCTAGCAAGTCATATGTTTTTGACACTATTTCATAGAAAAATACATGTTAAATCTGATATATTTACTAGGTCCAATGTATCGAGTGAATGCAGTGATGTTTTAGCATATTTTCATAAAGTGATGTTGAAATGATACGGAACACACTGTTATTTCAAAAGATACGGTACACACACAATTTCTGTCTTTGAAACAATTCTAAAATAAAATATATAAAAAAAATAATTTAAATTATAATATGAGTGATTTTTTTCATAGTTATACATTTTATTAATTTAAACGAGAACCCTGGGACCTGTTTTGCAAAGTATCATTATGCCTACAGTTTGATGTAATCAGGATTATTCAAAAAATAAAAAAGAACATTTTGAGAGTACGTTGCGCAAAATTCGATTTTATATGTTGAGCAATTAATATTTGGCTATAAAATGTTAAAATTTTAGGGAGGGATACGGAAGACATTCAAAATTTTGTTTTGTTTTGATTTTCATTTGAAACAGTTAGGTATATTCTTTTGGATTATAAAACGAATTGTGAAATTCATGGACATCTGTTATGTGCGATTATTATTTCATTTAATTTGTTTGTTCGAATATATAAATGACTGTCTAAACGTAGTATGAATATATAAACAAACAAGAAGTAGGAGTAAGTTGGAAATATATGTTCCCTGCAAAATGTTGTTTAAATAATCGAATTTGGAGGAAAAACGCTGGTTTTGATGTAAGTGGATTTTTTTAAATCACGGAAAGTTTAAAGTTTTTTTCGGCCACATGATATTTGGTATGAATCATCTGCCAGGGTCTCAAACTAACTGCATGTATCTAAATTATCAAATTATCTACATATGGACCAATATATTTCGCAGTTTAACGTGCAATCAAAATTAATAATTTGATAATTTGAAGAACCCATATGGGAACAAGGTCTGTTATATAACGTAACGTAGTTTATACAAGGTAACCTTGTTACATATACATGTAAGGATATACATGTTAGGAAATTTGGTAAAAAGATGCCTATCTTGGACTTTAATTTCAAGATGCATTTAACAGTTGAGTTCATGGATATGTGTGCTTGCGTGTTTGTGTTAAAAATAAAATGATATTTTAATAATATCCATTTTGTCAATCAAATGCTATGGATTTTGGAGGCTGCGTTCTGTTTTATATACTACATGAAGTAGGTACGAGACCACAAGTGACTTCGATGTTTCGATTTTTTATGTGAGAAAGTTTTCTTACTACCGTACAGAATGTCGGTCGTTTTATATGCCCGTTCGTTCCTTTATTTATACCCAAAGGGGCACTTGTAAAACTTGAAAGTCGCCACATGATAATGTCAGTTTTATGAGCCGTGAAACCAAACCAAAAACGACCTAATTACATGAATTAAAAGTTATTTTTAAAGCTTCATGCCTTTAAACATTATAAATTTAAGCAATGGCGACTACATTTTTATTTGTTTGGGTCGTTAGAACAAACAAATAATGGTAGCGAAATTTCAGGCTCGGATATGCTTATTTGCAAAATAAGAAAGTAGTCCGAACCCCTGGAAGCGGTTACTTACCTTTATATGTACTCTAACGCTGAAAAAATAAGGGGTATCACTGTATTAAGATTGTCAAATGACGGGCGCATTAATTTTCAAGCCTTCTCGGGAGAAGAAAAAGTAGTTCCCGATTGGTCAAAGATTTCAAATATTGTGTAATTCTTTACAGATATACATGTAATATTAAGCTCCATGATTATTTACATCAGTGTCAAACGAAATTAATAAGGGTTACAAACCCTAATTTAGAATGATATGGTTTTCTTCAGGCTGTTATCTTATAACTTTCCCCGTGGTCGAGGGGTTACACGCTCGTTAGGAAGAGAGATGTCCTGAGTTCAAATCCAAGTTAAGGCAACTCATGTTTTTTTTTTTTTTTTTTTTTTTTTTTTTTTTTTTTTTTTTTTACATATCAGTGTTGCAATAAGCATTATAGCCAATTGACTACAGTTATAACACTAGAATTAACATTGGTGGCACTATACAAAAACAAATTGGTTTACAATCTCACAGCCTTCACCTTTCTGACATTCTGAGACCCAAACAAATTCAGCGCCTTCTGTGATTTGATTTAATTAAACATGACCATGATATTGCAAAATTGTTCCTAATGACTTGCTTATTATTAACAAAATATAAATATATATAAATTGTTATCAAGTAATGATACTTTTCAGCGATTTAGGTCATGACCTTGTTTTATTTTTTCAGGATGAAGCAAAAAGACATATCTTACTTCACTTAAATTTAAAGAAATAAAAAAACAACAATAAACAACAATAAACACAGCATTTTATAACAACATTCTTTCTATACAGCGCAACTACCTGATTCTGTGAAGATCGAAGTGTTTAACATACCCTAGGTGATTTTAAATAGGACAATTACATAGAGGTTGTAAATGTTAAGCGTGATCTCTTGAAATATAGTGCACAAATACATATAAACATTAAAAGACATTGCAAAACACGTCCCTGGGTTCTCGTTTAAATTAATAAAATGTATAACTATGAAAAAAAATCACTCACATTATAATTGAAATTAAATTTTAATATATTTTATTTTAGAATTATTACAAAGACAGAAATTGTGTGTGTACCGTATCTTTTGAAATAACAGTGTGTTCCGTACCAATTCAACATAACTTTATGAAAATATAATAAACATCACTGCATTCACTCGATACATTGGACATATAGAGGATATTGAATGAGTGTAAGTTCAATACTGAATTTATTGCACGAGTTGAATAAAATTATATCATGCGAGCCTCTGGCGAGCATAATATTATTTTATTCAACGAGTGCAATAAATTCAGTAATGAACTTACACGAATTTAATATTCTATTTATCACATACCCAATAAAGAGACCGTTTAAAGTGAAATAAGAGTTATTTTCCGTTGACGCGCCTATAGTAGAACGCTAACATTTAGCGCGTCTTTTAACTATGTTTGCATAACGCTAATGACGTCACGTCAAAATATATGCACGGCCGTGCAATACCATATTTACGGAGTCGCAAAATCGGCACGGGTGTGTGATAAAGTGAATATATCAGATTTAACATGTATTTTTCTATGAAATAGTGTGAAAAAACATATGACTTGCTAGAAATTGCTTGTTTTGACAAATGAGTGTGTACCGTTCCCCTCGGCCCAGGCTATGAAAAGAAAACTGTACTCGAATGTTCTCAAAAACCATTCAGGGGTTTTCAGAATTTTGATATACCGTGGATAGCATATATAATTACGGGTACTCTGCGCCTTATCTGATCAAAATCGGTTGAGTAATAAATAAGTTGTGAATAAAAAACATACCTGAATCGGATGAAAAATCGGCGTGTTCCGTACCCGAAAAGTCACGTGGTATGGCCACATTGCTATAGAAGCCATTGTTATACAACGTCATGTGTATTTAGAATATTAAAATGTATTCATCAAAATAAAATACAATATATAAATCGTATAAATTAATATGTGGTAAAATTCTTGGTTTGATTTTCTTATTTTCTGCCTTTCAACTTACCTCAAAAACAATGCAGCCGCACGGCACAAATTCTCTGACTTCACCAAAAAGACGGTATTTTTGCATTAATGAGAGCACAACTCCCGTAGATTTCTTCAGCTCCAGATAAAACTGATTGTTGCAGCTCATAAGTTCTACAAATTGGAAGGTGAAATTGAAGTGGCTGTAGATAATCAGGTGCAGTCAACGTCACATTCCGTTATAGAACTAACAGGGGAGGTAACCAGTGTCACGACTTTGGCAAACTCCTTGCAGCGGTTACTTCCCTTATTAATGTTGTTATTTTATAAAAATTGATAAATAAAAAAATAAAAACGTTTTACTGCAAGGACTTTTTGTGTCATGGGTCAAGTCAATATGTTTGATTTATTTCTTACATTTCAGTTGTATTGTCTGTGGTTATTTTGAAGATTTGTTTATGTAGAAAAAGCCTACACTAACCGCATAGTAAATTTAAAAATTAAAGTAATAAACCGGTATTTGTTTGTTGTTGAACAATGTCATGCAAAACAAATCATTCTTTGGAGCAATATGACCCATACAATTATTGGCCAATCTCCTGGAAAATATCACCTTTTCAATATATTTTGTACACAGTAATATACTGCAAATACGAACTAGCTTACTTTATTTTTATAGTTTAGGCCTCGTTAAAGCCCTTTATTGCGACATTCTTCCCTCACTGTCTACATGACAATTCTGAGACATGGATATTAAAGCAAAACTATTTTCGGATATTGTATAATAGATGTCCAGTGTACGTTACCCAATTTATATTGCTAACCATATGAATGCTGTATTTATAGAGATGTCTGACATTCGATCTCATGTACCTGTACAGTAATCGTTTATTTATTATATAAATATTATAAATATAGACATGCATATAGTGTTAACGGAAGTAAGTGAAATGTGAAGATATAATTCACGTACGGGAATGAATGCCTCCGCCTGCATTGTAACCACGCCTCCACTGCCGATGAGCCTCGACCGATTTCCATGGCAACCGATGTTTGAGTTTCGGTTCCAAGTTCCATGCCTCGGGGGGTAGGTGGCACAGCTCTAAATTTGTAAAAACTCTTGCGAAATCTGCGTATGGCATCCTGAATAAAAGTCAAACCGTTCAATTTCTGACAGATATATAGATCACATGTTTTTATTATAAAATATAGCTTGAGCAGTAAAGCGGCAAAAATCATAAACTTTGGGATCGTGCATAAAAATAATATAATAATAAACGACAACTATCATAATAATGTACTCTAATTCTTTGTTGGTACCATTAGATTCACGAAAAGTATTTTATGAAGCGAAATTATCATATCGATCTTTTCGAGACGTATTTTAACCCAGTGACGTCAAGTGAGGTAGCCAGAGTCATATATATTTCGATAATTTAAAAGTACACTGAATACCCCATTATGCAGAAATATCGTAAAACCAAAATTGTTTGAGAACAAGCCAAACAATGAAAGGAATATCTTTTTGTTACTCACCAGAATTCATTATCTTTCAACTGACCATAACCTAGCTTTGCTTTCATACCTGGTGATAAAGCGTCCCAAAGACTTGACCTGATTTGAAATAAATAAAAACACCATTAGATATCAATACACATATGACTATATAATATTTGAGATATGATACACTGAAGTATATTTTAATGGTATCTTAAAACATTCGAGTAACTTTAGATTTTTGTCGTTACCGTAAAGTGTATGCTCATGGATATTTAGGACCAGAGAAAAATATTTAAAACATTTTCGAACCATTTCAGTTGCTTAATTGAGTAACACGGGCTCATGTTTAATAGAACAACAACAAAAAATAAAGATATAAAAAAGTTTTCATCTGACAAAACATCGTAGAAATTTCATAAACATTGTCACTCTTAATTTAAAATCGTTGAGTTCATTTGTCTTTGCTCTCGGTCATTAAGATGCTTATTGAGTTTGTGTTGGACATAGAAGTGTAGCATGTCACTACCTTTGATGAATGTGTTACCATTTAAATAAACATCTTGGGATGAACGTAAGGAGTTTTATTGCCTACAAAAATCAATTAGTGGAACGTTTTTGGTAAGTTATAAATTGTTGCCAAAGTTGGATGTCTACATTATTGTTTTTGTACTTTACATGTCTTAGTGCTTTATTGTTCACTTTATGCCCACGCATTTTGTAACATATTTATTTTAAAGCAACACTAACCTAGCGTTCCATGGTCCTGTATATTTAGATGTCCCCCATGGATTTCTCAGTCGTACCAATATTGCACTACTGCCTTGAAATGGAACCTGCAATATATACAACTTATGAAAGCAACTTTTTTTTCGTTTCAAAATGATTAACTTAAAATCAGTTAATCTTTCTATAAAAAAATGAGTTTCCTTGATATTTATCGTATACACAAAGCAATACCTGTATGAATGGGGTAGAAATTATTTGCACAATCCATGAAATTATATGTACAACTCAATTCCGGGTACTTATCCAAAATGGCTACTAATGCTTAATGTACTTCTTGGAAATAACTGGCGTGAATATTTTCGTTTGTTAATTTGCGACACATTGGACAGGGTTAACATATTTCAACCTTTCTTTTGGTTAATATATTTCACCCTTTCTTTTAATTATAAATGGTTTTATGCATTTATGTAATCGGATTCAACACAAATATGTTGCAAACTCAGAACTATGAACAACAGAATTAATGTAGAAAAACTAATACATTCTATGAAACACTATTCTTACAAAAGATACATCTAAATACTTTGAAATGATGACGATGTTCAAAGTCTGACATTTAATTGTTCTATGGTATATATATTTACAAAATTAGTGTAAAAATAAGTTTGAAGATAAGTTTAACCCTTTGAAAGATTTTAGTTATACGCATATTCCTCCTAAAATTTCAAACAAATGGTTTTATCGCTCTGTTTTCCATGGATATATTTAAGAAGCAACAGTAATCTGTATATTATAAAAATATCACAATTATCCAGTTGTGTGGAGATTGTTGTTTATCCAACCAGAAATACTTGTAAATGAAATAAAAAATAATTTATTTTATACATTACAATTGCAACTTACTTCAGCATATCCAGTTACTGAATAAGCTCTTCCGGCCACCAAGCCATTTGAGAAGCTACCTTGCGAAACACCTTGACCCTTGAAATAAGAAACAAAGTACATTGTCCCTACAAATTCTATAAAGTATTTAATCATTTTATTAACAGGGCTAGCTGTAAACATATTATATTATTCATAGTAATGCATGTATAAAGGAAAAGAAGAAAGATACATTCCTTGTAATTAAGTAGAATGTATCGATTTGGTCATGATTTGAACTTCATTGCCATTTACAAGTGCGTGTCATTATCACATAGAGAATAGCAAACATCGTCCCATGACGCTCCCCGGCCAACCACAAGCAGTATGCTTTTATTCAAGAAATACTATACTATTGGGCTAAAATGTTGAGTAAAATGTTTCTGCAAACATGGAAATTCAAGTTAAGACCAAAAGGAACGAATTGTTTGATGCCGCTCTTTCTTTTTTTTCTTGTTTTATTTAATAGATTGACGAATACTAGATTAAGAGTTCTTATGCTAACTATTTTATTATATTAATATATAAAAGTTTTTCAGAGTATATTGAGTTTTTTTAATGAAAATGTAGCGTAGTATTTTATCATAATCAGTGTATAGCGATATGCATTGCAACATTGTTGCAGCATTGATATCCTGTATCGCAATATACTGTAGTACGGGTTGTACCCCTAATACATAGTCACTTACTTTCTGGTACAGGCAAAAGAACGCATGATTTATTTTATGATAATGTTTGTGAGCAGTTGAGCTAACAATGATTAGTAAAGGCGAGGCTGCATTTTCCACCGGAAATACCTTTTTCAGTAAGATTTTATGTTCTATCTTGCTATAACAAGGACATAATTGAGCCGCGTCATGACAAAACCAACATAATGAGTTAACGACCACCATGGATCCAGACCAGCCTGCGCATCCGCGCAGTCTGATCAGGATCCTTGCTGTTTGCTTACAAACTCTATAACAAGTAGAGAAACTGATAGCAAACATCATGGATCCTGATAAGACTGCGCGGATGCGCAGGCTGGTCTGGATCCATGCTGGTCGCAAACCCATTATGTTGGTTTTGTCATGACGCGGTTCATATATTTATTAACATTAAGTACATACCGCTATCGTGGCTGCTATGAGAGTTGTTCGAGCCATTGAAAAGTCGATTATTTTCTGCAGGAGGTTTAAGTTGTCTCGGAAAATAAAAGTGTCAACAATACCGCCCGTTAAGTCCTGAAGTGCCCAGTTTACCATTGAACCCTGTATGGCAGCATACGATCCGTACATCCTATAAAGTACACAATAGGGAAAGTACACTGTTACATAAAAGTGCATGTTAAAATAACTAGTTTATACCTTTAAACAGCGAGGGTCCGAGCATTGTTTTAAATTGCGTCTCGGCGTAATGCAAAAATACAAAACGATAATCTGACCTTTAAGTTTTGCGAAATCACTAGAGATGTCGGGCCGCTACACAAAAGTTAACAATAAACCTAAACGGGTATATGTAGACAACAGGGTGAAGATTTTCTTTCATATATTTGCAGGAGAAAACAACATGCTTACATCAGAAATATTAGGAAAATAATTTTAATCGAAATGCAGTGTATACGTTACAACAGAAAACCAATACTGAAAAAGGAAAGTAAAACGGATTATTAACTATAATTGTATCTTTGCGCTTAAAATTGCCTGATGTTAGTTATAAAGTAGGTTGAAAGCTGCTATGTTAGATTAATTTTCATTGGCTTAATAAAGTTTGTTACTTAACTCAGTAGCGGTTGAAAGGTATTAAGCCAGGGTTTAAAAGTTGGATAATTTGGATGAATACGGAGTTTAACGTTATTTCTAGATATTGCTTTATTCAGAATATCCAACTAGCATAAAACCAACTCGCCGTGACAAGCGAGCAAAATTATTACTGTCATTCCCTTTATATCTCGAAGCAGTAACGATCTTAACTAAGATAATCTATTAAACTTTTACTTACTTTGCATATGCTTTTTCCAGTAGTGGTACCCAGAATTCATTGGGGTCCATACTTGATGTGAATAGTATTCGCCCTTTAGAAGAAAACAAAATAATGTTTCAATCAAATGGAATTCATTTCAGTATGAAATCATACATAAATCTTAAAGAGATATTTACAGATAGCACAAAGTAATAATTAAGAATTAGTGTCTTTATTTTACTTAATAGAGACATACTTGACAAAGCCTTTCCATTGTATTTATACAGTTTGATAGATATTGTACAATTTCAAGAATCCATCTTTTCTTCTCTTTCTAACTACATTCCACGCACGATATAGGCTTTTAAAACGAACAAATATTTACCATTATACGTAGGTAAACGATCGTCTATAACAATTTCTATCCACTCTGCATATCTCCAAAATCGAAAACGAAATATTCCCCCGTATTTTTCGTCGAAAGCTTGGTCTTCCGGGATACATTTTTGAATCAACGCTGGAGCCAATGTTAAACAGGAGAACGCTGGTACCAACCACGTGTCACCATAGTTTCCGGGTATGATATCGAAGGTTCCTGGATTCTTAGAAATGAAACTCGGCCGCTTTGAAATTTCCTGCATAAAGATCGACTGATGATATATATTTGCATAATCGTTAACATTTGCTCAACCGTACACTTTACATTTATTTAATTATTTCAAAATATTTATGCAACTTTAAACGGAAGTAGATAGCCCTAAAGACATTTACATTTGAGAACTATCTTAGAATGACAAGAACTATCCTTTACATTTTATTCTAAAATGGCCAATGAGATTCCCAGATTTCATTTTGTAATTTTAAAATGATCAATGAAAACTCTTCTTATATTCAAAAAAATATTGGAATCATTCTAATCATTATCTCCCTTTACAAAGTTAATAAGTGATAACACCTTTAATGTAAATCCTGATAGTGGTTCTAGTACATGCAAAAAAGACCTATCACCGAAGCTTACTTGATTTTTGACGAAATATTTTATCATTTTTATGTCGTTGCAGACTAAACGGCTAAAATGATTTACCGGAAAAAAAACTATTGCACTCATAAATAGCTATAATTTGCCTAAAGCAGCACGCCGCCAGATTCATTCTAATTTTCATGAAAAATTTGAAAATGTATTTGAATGTGCATTATTGTGAAGTAACCAAAAGGAAGCAATTTACACTGTATCAATGGCACTTACAAACCATGTAAATTACCAAAAAGTGGTCAAAATATGCAAAAATAGCCTTTAATGCGTTAGTAACGTAGTAGAAATATAGTTGTAAATACTGAAAAATCAGTCATTAATCGCACATAACATGTACAATATTACTAGTACATTTTTCTCAAGTTTGATTTGACTGAACTATTTTGAATCATTTGGAGGCATGTTGCTTTAAGGAAAATGCTTACATGAGGTCGTTTCCACTCAATGAAGTCTGATGTAGAGTTATATCTTATTTGCAAGGATGTATCGTGTGCTGGAAATGCTGGATCCTCGTACAAAACCCTCCTGTAAGAGCATTATAGATTTGAGCCGTGCCATGACAAAACCAACGTAATGCGTTTGCGACCAGCATGGATCCAGACCAGCCTGCGCATCCGCGCAGTCTGATCAGGATCCATGCTGTTCGCTATCAGTTTCTCTACTTGTTATTTAGTTTGTAAGCGAACAGCATGGATCCTGATCAGACTGTGCGGATGCGCATGCTGGTCTGATCCACTGTGGTCGCAAACGCATTATGTTGGTTTTGTCATGGCAAGGCTCATTTATAATTAATGCAACTGAGAAGAGAGAGAAAACAAAACGAAATTAAGTAATTAGGGACATGTTTTTGATACAATGAAAACAGGACACTCATACAAATTAGGTACAGGGTCTTTTATTTCAAGTGTTTACAAGTTGATACATCCACTGTGTCAAGTTTTTTCTACATGAATGTTGCAATTTCCCGTAAAGAGTGTTACATGTTACATTTATAGTTTTGTATTTTCGCACATGAATGTATTGTGATTCTAAAACACGCGTGTTTTTTTTTCGTGTGTGAAAATATTACAGTTTTGCCATGAAATCAAAACGAGTGGCCGGGATCTTGATAGTTTTGTTATTCACAACCCATTGTTGTTCTAAAGTGAGAAATACACGTCTCGTTGGAAGAGTTAATATTTTGGAACGGAGGCTAAACCAAGAAAGTAATGCAAGAAGTCATGATGTTGCATCAATCTTCACCAAAATAGACGAACTTCACAGACAATTCAACGAATCTTTTGATCTCCTACAAGCCGACAACGGTGATGAAATGTCTCATAGTATTGGCGGTAACAAACAACTGCAATATGTCACTCCTGACGTTGTCAAAGAGCTTGAGAACAGAATAACTAAACTTTATCGCGGTTTTAAAGACGAAAAACGAATAAATGCTAAAATGCGAGACATCTTGCCAGAACTGAGAGCGCAACATGTAGATTTCAATGATAAATTGTTTGATGTCAAAAGTGAATTAAACCTCCTAGAGACACAGCTTGATGTTTTTAAAAGAAAATAAAATGCTACGAGAAATGTTTGACAAAAGGATCAGCTAAATAAAAAGGTCAAAACACAACTTTACACTTCCTGTAAAGATGCCCTTGATAATGGTGCAAGAACCAGTGGTGTTTATAGGCTGCTTATGAAAACAGCTTGGCGAACGATTCAAGTTTATTGTGATCAAACGACTAGCGGGGGCGGTTGGATGGTTTTCCAACGGAGGGTTGATGGATCAGAAAATTTTGATCGCGATTGGAGTGATTACAAAGAAGGATTCGGAAATTTGGAAAAGGAGTTTTGGCTTGGTAATGAATTAGTTCATGAAATAACTTCAAGTAAAAAGCATGAGCTACTTATTGAAATTAAGGATTTTTTTGGACGCTCAGTTTATGTCAATTACGGCACTTTCCAAATTTATTCTGAAAGTAATAGTTATATGATCAAAGTGAATGAATTTTCGGGAGAAAATGATTATCGAAATTTTATTAGTAATAAATTTAAATTTGGTACAAGAGACAAACAACACTATAGTTCCTGTGCTATATCGTCGGAGTCCGGTTGGTGGTATTATCCGTTGGAATGCAATGCCTTTCCAAATATGAACATACATTTTAACTTAACTGTGAAAGGTAGGGATGGAACATTTGGAAGATTCAAGTTCAGATATGGTTGGGAAATTGTCGCAGCTGTTGAAATGAAGATACGCGAAAAGGACATCTAGCTAAAATTCTGATTAACTCATAAACATTTTTTTCTAATACACAACGATCTTTTACCCCGGCCACCGAAGCGCCTGCAAAATACAGACGTCCTACCGTGCACCAATCTTACCTATTTTTTTCTGCTGGCTATGGAACTATTGATACCCTTACTGAAGAGTTGCTCAGTGCTTGTTAACGTTAGTTTCCGCTGTAAGTTATAATTTTACTGTCACGCCTAAAGTGAATTAAATTTATTATATCGAAAGAAACAATACTAACAAGTCTTGGTATGCCTTAAAGCTATATTGCAGTAGAAATAGAAATAAAACATAATTTGTAAATGCATATGCTTTCCTCTTTATTGCCGCCAAAGAATCAGCATTATATAACAAGAGCTACCCGTGAGACAGCGCGCTCAACTATTCTCAGAGCTTGGCAGTTAGAAATCCGGCACAATTCTGTAAAAAAGGTAACTCAGAGTTATGGAACCTGTACCCATGATGAACGATTATCACCGAGATTAAGTTCGTGAAGTTTCAACCTATTCCCTTTAGTAGTTTTGAAAATACCAACTTGTCACAAAAACCTAACCTAAGTGTGACGCAGACGACTGGGTGAGTATAGTAGCTCTCCGGTTCTTCGAACATTCGAGGTTCTCCTGATTTGGCAGTTTTCTATTTTTCAATTTCCTAATAATGAATACGACAGTTAAAGAGTTACAAGTTGGACTCGCTAGCACACTTAAGGAAGGCGATTGGGACTCTCCATTAATAGAATATGAACATTTTCATCGGCAAGGCTCCTACAAACAGATGATGTACTATGCACGGTGGCAAAAACTTTTTAAATAAAGATGCCATGGTGAAAAACTTTTTCATAAATCGTATGCGCATGAATATGCATTTATTTTGGATATGCATTAATTTGCTGAAAACATCTTGTTTAATTGTTATTGTGCTTGTGTGTATTTTTTTTTTTTTTTTTTTTTTTTTTTTTTTTTTTTGGTTATTAGGATAGATTCCACTTTATTATTGATGTGCAATACGTTTGTTGTAGCATCCCTCATAGACAGTACTTGACGTCCATCCCTTAGTTATTACACAGCAAAATGATACAATTTTTAAACGAAATATGTGAGTGTTGAAAAACACATTCTGTTAATAAAAACACATTTGCTATCAACTAATAAAATTTAATATTACCCAAGTGTTTTATGATCACTGACACGTATTTGGAAATGTCAAATCAATGTTACATAATTATGATACTCAAAGAAATTACCTTGCTAGTGCTCGCTCCCTTAGTGTGTCGTACTGGTTGACCTTGTTGCCGGAACTGATGATAGATTGGTATGACCGGTTTAAGGTGTGATTTAAAGATTTGAAACTGTCTGACCGACCAACAGAACGTCTGGGCGTGCTCATCTTGGAATCCATGAGTCGTTTCTACTGGAGGACTCTGTTGAAGTACCGATATATTTATACATAATGAATACTCAAGCAAATATCAAGTGAAAACACAAGTTTCAGTCATATGCACTTGGTTTTGGGATGGAAGCCCTTTTGAGAGGTTTGTAGAACTCAAATTTGATTGAATGTAACGAATTTTGAACGTAGATGTCTCGATTCTAAAACCTCTAAAACCGTCATTTTTCCAATGTTACTAATTAATATGTTCCATTCAATCAAATTTGAGTTCTACAAATCTCTCAAAAGAGAATTTATCCCGAAACCAAGTGCCTATATGGTTTATGTATAAGATGTATAAACAAATATTATATTATATTGGAAATAGTAGTTCAGCATGTATAAGGTCCTAATTTATGGTGGCTGATTTACACCATGTCGTTTACTCGCATTTCGCAAAAAATGCGAAAACAAAATGACACGACAAGTTCCAAATTTGTTGTATCTTTATTGTGTCTTTGCAGTTTCGTAGAGAAAATGAAAATGCATTAATGCAAAAACACAAAAGTACGACAACTCTGTCGTGTGTTCGCATGTTTTCATTTTCGCATTTTTGCGTTTTGGCTTTTTCGCATTGTTGCATATTTGCGTCCCGGTAACAAGTACAAGCGCACATCAGTATAAAAGGAAACGAGAGCGTGCGAAATATGATAACATATAATTTTTGATAAAATGCTTAATATATCATTCAAACCATTAATCAACAGTGGCATGCGTAACCGTAATGCGGAGATGCAAAAAAGCAACAATGCAAAAAAAAAAACGAATTGAAAAACAATGCAAAAATGCGAACGAAGAAGCTAAAATTCAAAAACGTTTATAAGAGGCGACAACATGCAGTTCGGCCAATTTTGTCGTCCTCTCCCATTTTCGTCTCAAGAATGCAAAAATTCGAAAAATAAGTATAGTATACAAGTATTCAGTCTTGTTGAATATGAAAAGCGGCTCCAATTTCTTACGTTTTATTGCTGTATAACTATTTTACTGGACAATAAAAGGTCCATTATGCCTCGGAAGTGCTGTCATTTTTATCTATCAAAAGATGTTAGTTTAAAACATAATGTAAGCTCGATTGTGAAACAAGTTCTTGCGATTTATAATTATCAATTTCGAGTCAGCGTCCTGGAACCAACCAGTACTGCTGTCATATGAAGAAACATGGTCATGACATGATTAGGGCTCGAACCCATGATCCCATGGTTGAGATGCAGACATCTAAACCTTATTTATGAACTATCTTTCGCATCGTTAGTTCTGTAATTACATGTATAGTGAATTAGTATTTTGTATGGAGGTCAAACTACTACTTTGTTTACATTTTATTACCATAACGACACAAAACTGTATGTTTAGCGCTTTTCATTGTCAGTTGTAAAGCATCTAACATGCTCTTAATCCATTATTTAAACATTATTAAACCAATATTTGACATTTCTAAAGAATTAAAACATATGGATTTTTGGAAAGCACAGTGTGCCTTTCACTTTGTGGAAATACATGTATTAATATCCAGCTTTCTCATTTATATTATAATTATTGGGAAAATTTTTATATAAAAACGTCCAAATCTATAGTGGCTGGAAACGTTTTAATACAGTGAAGTGATTACTTTATGAATCTTTTTACTTCCAAAACAATTTGTGTTATGCATTTATCAATAAATCGATGTGTCTATTTTCGTGCTTTAACAATCAAAGAATCTCAAAAGTAGAACAATATGCCTTGTACCAGTACAAATGTTTAATAAAATTTCTTTCAAAACGAAATTAGTCATACAATATTCTACTTTATTTTGAATGACAGTGAGCGAATAAATGGGTCATTTGTTTTCAATGTCATTAGCATACTTGTTATTTTTTGTTTGAAATGATTTTTTTTAAATAAATTCTTTGAGATATTGTTTAAACGCATAAATACATTGTCGAGTGTACTTCTAAATGTCAGGCAGTGCATTTTGATATATTAGATCCATTCTGACTGATATTTCAAAAAGATTGCATTAAGGTTGCATCCAAAATCAATAACTGTCACGAAAATAATGTAAAATCTTAATTGGTTGTAAGAAAAAAACAGCCAGTAGATGAATGACACATTTGTGTATAAAATACATACGGAATATTATGTTGTAGTAGCTTTCTGAGGCTTTGTATTTTGCTACGAGCAGCGTTGGAAAATTGATATCTCGCGAGACCGTAGCAAGTCTCAAACACCTACAAATATCTAGTTAAAGTAATGTTTAACCTTGTCTAAAACTAGAAAAATAAATAACCAAAATAGCTGAAGTAAATCTTTAAGAAACGCTTTAAGAAAACTGGTATCCGCACCAACACTGGTCAGAAATTTTCATCAGATTTCTCTTTACACTGGTATATAACATTTATAGTTAAGGAAACAGGAAAAAGTAGACATAAGTACTAATTTGTGAAAGACTAAAGTATAATTTAAATGAATTGATGTGTAATCTATTACGACGAATCGTTTCATAAATCCCTTGAAATATAGAAACTTAACCTTGCCATTGCCTTACTTACTTTTTTGTTTCCCATTAAGCAATAAATTAGATTCATTACGTGTTTTACATTTTCCTGCCTTAAATTTCGAGTATTTCGACCTTACTGTACACATTTGAAAAGATTGTGTGTCATAAAATGTCAAACTTAAATAAAATTTGTCGATGATACCTAAATAAAGTATTGCACTTAAACTGTACTTAAGAATCTGTCTATATACTTATGGACGATGCTTAAATATAGTGCTGACCTTAAATCGTACTTAGTATACTTTGTATATAGATGGATCCTAAATCTAGTCTTGAATTTAAATTGTTCTTATGACACTATGTAAATAAAAGATTCCTAATTCAAGTGTTCAACTTGAATTGTACTTAAGATACTATGCATATAGATTATGCCTAAATCAAATGCTGAACTCACATTGTACTTAAAATACTATGTAAATAAAAGATTCCTAAATCAAGTGTTGAACTCAAATTGTACTTAAAATACTATGCATATAGATTATACCTTAATTAAGCGTACGTGAGATACTATGCATATAAATGATGCCGAAATCAAGTGTTGAACTTACATTGTACTTAAGATACTATGTACATAAAAGGTGCCTAAATCTAGTGTTGAACTTATTATAAATTATACTTACGATTCGATTGAATATACAAATGATATAAATCCTATATGTGAAATTAATCAAATTCTTTATTTTGCTATGTCATTTATATAAAACATGCCAAACGTAACGGGAATTTCTTATATACTTTATATATATTCACATATAAAACAGATACAGAAGTCAAAATATGTCAAAATATATACTATATATCCACTGTTTTACACATCCCAAATTATTTTTTCTTAACGATCCTTCATCATGTTTCATGTGTTGTTAACAATTTAATTTCGATGATTAATCAGGGCTGTGCGAAAACTCGTTCGGTGATTTACAACCCTCAAAACATTAATGGCAGAGATTTGTATCTTAAAAAGAAAAAAACTTAAGATCTATAGATAAATGTAATCAAGCGTTAAACACTGATTATTCGAAGGTTAATGGGTTAAATTTCAATTTAGACGTAACAATGTATTTTTAAGTAATTTATTTTGCTTACTAAGTGTGAAGATTCCCATCTTAAAATTTATAATGAAACCATTTGGGTGTACACTAATTTGCTATACAATAAATACCTAAGTGAATACACCCTTTCTACTAATACAAGTTCTCTAACCAACTCGTAAGATCTCTGACCGTTTGACACATATTGTTATTATAGTAAAAACAGATAGATATCTTTTACGATAAGCTTAAAGTGGTCTTAAATATGAAAGTTCAGATTTATTAATAGTAATGATATACATCGTTTTTGTTTTATTTTATTGTTTTTGTTGTTGTTGTTGTTGTTTGTTTTTTTGTTTTTTTGTTGTTTTTTTTTTTTTTTTTGGGGGGGGGGTGTTTTTTGGGGGGATGGGGAGGGGGTGGGGTGGGGTTGTTGATGTTTTTTTTTTTTTTTTTTTTTTTTTTTTTTCCCGCCGTGTTGTCCAAATTATGTAAATGGATATAATTAAAATTTGACATAATGCAAATGCGTGAAATTGCTTTATTTGACGGTATATATGAAAATGTATCGTGTTCACGTGGTAATCATTTGCAGGTTTTAGATATGGAACATCTGTCTGTGTGACGTTGAAGTACATGCGCACTAAAACCTGCGCATTTACTATTCCCGAATACACTTGCTGTGAGATTTTAACCTCTTTGGACAAAAATGAAAAAGAATGAAGTTACAATAGTTTTTGTGCCTTCGATAATGCAAGATATTTGCTAATTGGAAAGGAGTATATTTCAGAACATTAGATCCAATATTAACCTTAAATATGTTTACTAACAGCTGTTGTTTGATGGTTTCTGTTGGTCTCCCAAAGAATTGATACAAATTTGATAGCATTATACATAGTAACATCTGCCCCCCTGGTGACAAATACATCCATATACACAATTTAATATCTTGTGAAAATAACTTATTGAAAACGATATCTTTAATATCTGAGCACAAACATAATGTATACACTCATACATTTACTATATAAATATATACGGAGACAGAACAACACAGGATTTTTTATGGTATGTTGCTCAAACGTGAAGACATTTGTCTTGTGTAATGGAGCGAAATATTAACACTTTGTCATGTTCATATAAGCAACATTTAATAAAACTTCAGCTGTCCTCTTATGTTGAAAAAAATACATTTTAACCCAATTTCCTCAATACATTTCTTTTGCTCGCATCGCATAATTTGATATACTACTGCAATTAAATATATGTCAAAGTACCTTGTTAAAGTATATAGATGTTTCAATTTTTGTACTAATTGTACTTAATTTATAACCGTGCTAGTACAATGCACATGTTATAGATCTGCATAAGATAAAGAGTTCCAAAATTCATAATGTGCGAAAGAGATTTTAGAAGTTACATTTTAAAATCAACTTATTTTACAGCAGCATGCCTCCAGATTCATGCTAATTTTCATGAAAATATTGGGAAAAAAAATCAAAAAGTAAAATATTGTGAAATGAACAAAGAAAGTAATTTATAAATGGCAAACGGCACTTACAATCCACGTAATTTACCCCCCCCCCCCCCCAAAAAAAAAAAGCCGAAACATGCAAACATAACCCACAATGCGTTAGTCACGCCATAGAAATATCGCGATAAATAACGAAAAATCAGTCATTAATCGTACAAAACTTGAAAATTATTACTTGAATGTTGAATCGCTTTGCTTTTCTTAAAATCTTAGTGCATTTTTCACAAGTTTGATTTTGATTTTCAAGGAAGGCGATTGGGACTCTCCATTAATACCTCAATTCTTCGCAGAACGTGAACGTTTTCACGGAAAAGATCATACACACCGATGATGTACTTACTATGGACGGTGGCAAAAACTTTTTAAATAAAGATGCCATGGTGAAAAACGTTTTCATAAATCGTATGCGCATGAATATGCGCATGAATCGTATATGCATTGTTTTGATATGAATTAATTTGCTGACAACAAATCTTAAAATCTTAGTGCATTTTTCACAAGTTTGATTTTTAATATAATGGCTCATCTGGAGGCGTGCAGCTTTTTAGACATTTCATGCAATAAATGTACAGTCTAAATAGCGAACAGTGCAGATCATGCTCAGATGGCGGCATGGATAATCTTGGTCTGCACGGGTCATATTGCCACCACTAGGCTAATAGTTAATTCTAACATTTCTAAACCCGCCGGAAGTTTTGTAAACCTTCTCTTCTGTTCTGTCTAAAGATGGCGTAATATGTGACCGAGTTGAACAAAAGCGTCATAACTTTACATCATAAATCAGTTGACGTTTTTTAACATAAAAATCAGGATAGGAAAGCTTAGCTTTTATACCCTCCTAACTTTAATAGAGGTTTAGGATACCTCTATATTAATCGTATAATCTTGGATTATCCGAAACACTTCTTTTTACGTTGCGTTCCTTATTATCTTTATAAACATTCAATATATAACCTGTTTTAAGTTCATACTTTAAAAATGTTAATTTTATGGTCAATACTTTAGTACAATCAGTTTCGTCAGGTGTTGACAAAACTTAATTCATTCCATTCATTTAATTTTAGGGAGATAATGTCCGCACCTTTGATAATTATTTCAGATAGCATAAAATATATATAATAGCTGAAAGATTTACCAATAAGCATATCGTTTTATCTTAGTTTGTGATTTGTAAGAGAAATAGATGCACGCAAACGTAACAACTTTGGCAACTTCGTGTAAAAACACCCATGTGAAACTGCAACATTGCATTTATTAACTTAATCAATGTGTCATATAATTTTTTCCTCCATTTTGTGTCTTTTTTTCTCTTTTATTTTTCTTTTCGACATTTTGGTATAATATCTGTAAACTGCCAGAAGACACACGTAAGCTTTCGTAACTTCTGCCCAATCCCAAAATGTATTGTGTAATTATTGTTCATCAAAAACGTAAATGTAAGGTTTATTTAAAATAACAAAATGAAATGAAAGTTGTCAGTTTGTTTGCCCGCCTTATACAGGCTGATTAAACACAACAGTTTTAAATCATATCGATATTTATATTCTCGATAGTTTTCAAAACTATACTACGTGTAGTTTAAACAGATATTTCTGACCTTACGAACAGGCACCTGGGAAAAAATGCAAGCAAGTCGCGTTCGGTTTTTCTTGTTGTTTTTTTTTTTCAAATCATCTGAAAGAGTCATATTTGAAATATAACAAAAATAAAAAGTTCTGTTTGCTCAAAATTTTCAACGGTTTTAATAAAAAAAATATTTTTTACATTTTGATTCATTTAATTTGCTGCAAACTTTATAAATAGCATTTATTAACAATACTATGGTACCTTCGATCTTTTATAATATTCACTGATTTTTGTTAGCATTACGTGGAAAGCTTACTTACCTTTCAGATGAAGACGACAAAACACTAAATATCCAGTAAAAAGCAACAACACTAAATGTCCAGGAAAAATAAACACGAAAAGTTTTCAAAAATGAACCGCTAGAATTTCACAGAAAATAAAAAAAAAATAAAGTTCTACGAAAAAAAGCACACGCCTTTTTCATTGAAAAGTAAACATATGATATGCGTCATTGTACTGGAAAAATCGAAAATAGCTAAGCTCAATTTTTGTCAACTGCATTTCATTTTATCACATTCTTACTACAATAAATACTGGATAAAGATTTATGCAAAGTGGTTTAACATGATATACAAGGTCTTAAATAGTATATCCATTCAATTAGATTTCCTATACAAAAGGGCATACTAATAATAGAAATAATTACCCGACTATTTTGTGAATTAAATAGACCTTAAACTACACATATCAAGTAGCAATTTAGCATTTTAATACATTTCTGATTGTACGTATGCAAGTGTTAAACCGAGAATATTTATACAACTATCATGGTTTTTCTCTATGAAGTGTTGAATTCTTTCATTAATAATTTAAAATGTTTCCACTATCTCGTCTCTTATTCCACATACGGTGTTTGAACTTCAAAAAAGGCAATTATTTTATAATATTTTGTGTCCAAAAGCCTTAGACATGCATTAGAAATTATTACATATATTATCTTGGGCATTTATAAAGGAAAAACATTATACAAATATGTACTCCAAATTAAATTGAAAATCGTATTTTTATGCTGTTATAAGCTCATTTTAAACGCTTCTTTTATTCAGTCCCGTCATGTTAATAACCCTCAGAGTTCCTTTAACATAGCACAGCTTAAAAAGCATAAGTTATTAGGATTTTGTACAAAGATGTGACGTTTTTAACATGGAACTAAAGTACTAATGTACATTTTTTGGTTATATTAAAAGCATTATTTTCCCGGAATATGAATTAATTCTCACATAAAAATTCAACTATAACTGTGTTTCCATAATTTATACGCCACTTCATCATTATTCCATTTTCGTTAAAAAAAATATAAAGATGAGAGAAAATGCTAAACAGTTACTATTTCTTTGTGTCTCAGTAAAATGCGTCTACATTTGACATAATTAATTAATAAGTGACTCGTACAGAAAATCATGTACGACGGCATTCGGCGGAAGAATTTTGCTCCTATCTATATACCGTCATGATTGTTCTGCCTCAGCTATATCAGTCTCACTTCAAAAACGTCACATATTTTATAATTTCATACAAATGTAATTCTAAGATTTTGCCTTACAATGTAAATCTACAAAGGAAAAACTTGGGAATCCGGCTTATCCCTAAGCTGGAAAAAATGTTACTTTTTGTCCCAGCCCTAAGTCTCTTTCCGTTGCTTCTACATGACATAAGAGTACGCTTTGGAAACAAATCAGTATCGGCATACTTCACTTTTTGAAAGTGCGATTCAACTAGTAAAAGTATTGCCGCTCTAATAATCTGTTAATGTCTCCATTGTTAGTCACAAGTTTCCAAAATTAAAATTTCGTGCATGTTGGGTTTGGGAAACTGTTGATAAGTTGTTACCTTTTTTAAGGCATGCAAAGTCTAACTTCGGACATCATTTATAAATATCTCGATAATTCGGATAAAAACCTTAACCACTTTAATATAGAAATCTGTGTTTTATAAAGTAAAACAGACAGATGTAAATTTAATTTACCTGATAAACGAAAATTAAACTCTTATTTTCATCCAGGTATATATATGTCTAGCAATCCATGTTTAAAATATTAAATAAGAAACACACAAGCACACAAGAAAGATAGAAACCGTTTTAGATCATTTATGATAAATTTAAATTTACAATAAACTGTTTATTCCATTACCCTATTTCACACACAACTTCTTTTGTTCACCAGACTTCAGCTCTTAGCCATTTCAATAATTGCAAAAAAAGTGTCCCTCAACATACAGTGTGTAAATTGTATTGTGCGCCATCTTTGTCGGTTTTTTTTTATTTATAACACTCTAGATCTATACAATGTCACCAAACTTTTGACATTCGTCAATATAATCAATTTCAATATGGGAACAATTAAAACGTTGAAGTAGTCATTGTTTATTGAGAGATATATAACAATGGGAGCACTGTCAAGATAATAAGCAATTTAGTTTTGATTAATATTTATTTACTGGCATTATAATTAATAAAACTCTGCTGAACCTGTGCTATAAATGTGTCCAGCTTTGACTTTGGATCAGTCCATTCAAAGTTTAAGGGATTACAATATCAAAATAGATAGTTGAGCTACCCACAGGTGCTCGTCCAGTCTTGGTGCCCATATAAAAACAATTGACGTTAAAACAAAAAAAAAAATAAAATAAAAAAAACAAAAAACATCAAAATAACTATTTCATTTAAACTTGGGCACTCCAAATTGTTTAAATTTTGTAAAACAACAGTGTTTGTCGGCCATTTTGTCGAAAACGAAAGTACAAAACATACACCGTACTGTTTCGCTGTTCTGGTCCCCTACGACTACGTTCGCTGAACAATAGACAACATTAACCAATAAATTAATGGTTACCGTTGTCTACTGTTCTGCGCACGTAGTCGTAGGAAACCAGGAGAGCGGACCAGTACGATGTAGGTTTTGTACTTTCGTTTTCGACAAAATGGCCGACCATCAACGGAATTTTGCAAGATTTTGACAAATTGGAGTGTCCGAGTTTAAATGTAAGTTATTTAAGATTGTATGTAAGGTAGAAGAAGAATGTTAACAATTTTCTAAATGCATGATGTGTAAAGAGTAACAAAATAGCTTGTATTGTTACAGAACTTGACATTGTGGTTGTTCCACAGCGTGTCCTAGCTAGTAAAGCTCCATAGCGTTACGGCGACTAGGTGACCTTTTCCTACGTAGTAATGGTATATAGGAAAAAAAAATTCCAAATTTTTTTTTCTTACACTCAACCCAAAATAGTTATTTTGATGTTTTTTTTTTTTTGTTTGTTTGTTTGTTTTTTTTTTTTGTTTTTTTTTTTTGTTTTTTTTTTTGTTTTTTTTTTTTTTTTAACTTCAATTTTTTTATATGGGCACCAAGACTGGACAAGCACCTGTGGATCTACCATCAGTATACAGCTTAGGTATGCAAGATGACCTGACCCTCAATTCGGTCCCAGCAGAGTGAGACAAAGTGTTAAATTTGGTAAAGAGTCTGGTACAGCGTATAGTTTGATGAACAGTTTCTGAAGATTGAAGAAAAGTTTATCTAGTGTCATGGGTCTAGGATGTTGGGCGAAGATAAGCGGTGTGTAGCGGTCGTTTAAATGTCGCATTGTCTTAATAGTAGCCGGTTCTCGTGTGAAGTTATTTCCAAGATGACAGTATTTAAATATAGTTTTGCAAACTTTTGGAAAAATTTTATCAAACAAAAAATCATGATTAGACCTGAGACCATGCGATATAATCGAGAAGGTCTCATATGAAAAAGTGATGTATTTGTTTTGTGTAGCTATCTAACAGCAAAGCTAGATGAACAACTGAAAGTTTGGAAAACAGATGCACTGTATTTAACACACAACATTCGTTTATTGTTACAGAAATATGTCGATATAATCCACTGATTCTACACAGTTACATGCTGGATAAGATGATCCGGAGCCCTTTGTCTCCACTCATTCCAAGAGCCCTGAAACGAAACAAAACTTAAATAAATGTAATTATTGAAAAAAAGTATTGCGTAAATCATACCGGGTATTTTACCGTATGTTGTTCAGCTGAAAACACAGAATAATATGCCAAAAAGACGTGAGAAAGCAGCCTGGCAATGAAAGTTAACTTTTAAAGTGATGTATTAGCTTTTTAGAACCTAAAAAAAAAAGAAAAGTACATTATGCGATTCTCCGCAATAAATGAAATACTCTACTTTGTCATGATATTATTTCATACAATAGGAAGAACATCTTTTTTTCAAACGCTACGAAAAAGAATATTCTGTTAAAAGGAAATATTCTTACGTAATATACAGGTATGTCTAGACCAAGGATATGAGCCGCCCCGGCGACAATGGTCGCCGTCATCCCGCTGTTACAGTAGGTTACCATTGGTGAAGTGAGATTTACACCTCTGTCCTCAAAAACTGAAATACAATAATTCTGATGTTACAATATGTCTGCAGTATGTGTTGTTCATCATTTTTTCCAGAGAACCAGAGCAAGATTGAAAAATATACATATAGTATAAATAAGCACTATTTATTTATACTATATAGGAGGAGGTTTTTCAATATTATCGTTAATATTCGTTATTTGATAGAATTTCAAGTTCAAGTTGTGAATTTATGTAATATCATGTGTTATTTAATCAAATATAGAAGGTCCAAAATAGGTTTAGACAAAAGTACATATTTCTAAGTCTAATTTATTTGAGGCTACATCTAGTTCGCCACTATTGCTATTACAATCTCAAATCGACCTGTTTATAGCGGCATTGATATAAGACATCCGCTTCGAAAACTCCATTCTATGAAATGTTCGTTTACTCTACATGAAATTCCTAATCAAAACAATTTGAAACAGCTTTTTGTGGTTATCAAAAGTAAACATCAGACGGTTAATTAACTCGCGTTCATTCCAGCGTTTGTTTAACAAAATTGACAGCACCCAACATAAACAAATTTGAAACGAATGACCTCGCTTGTATTTGATAACTATATACAAATGAGATGCATTTGCAATATTTGCTGCTTGTATTGAAAAGAAACGGGGAGCGGGTGGTGTGATAATAAATCAAACATATTTCAACACCACTTCAAATATAAATAAAAATTGAAGCCAAAGCAGCAAAATTCAGTACACTTTCTTACTCGTTTTTATTTCTGTCTTATTTTTCATTGTGCCATCTCCATTAATCAATGTTGCAAAGTAAACGATCTTGGCCCCCGGAATAATACCGCTGCCACGTCTATCTGAAAAGAGAAAAAAAGACTTGTCCTTGGAAACAGACAAATGCGTCCTAAGCTGTGCCCAGTAAAGGTACCATGACCATTGACTTAACGGAAGCATGGTGACTATAAAAGGGGTGTTCCAAGAATAAAGAAACATAAACATGTATTTTCATCAACTCTGTATGCTTAATCGTTTTTTTTTTCAAAGCATCCAATGACAAATATATGACCAGACAAAACAGTCAATGTTCTACTTTGACATTCAAGGATAACCTACACTATTCAAGCTATCAATCTGACTTGTGCACGTGACATGTCTTCTTAATGTGCATAATGTACCTCTATATAATAATGACGGAATGGATGACTAGTAACAACCATCGACGTACTTTTATGAAATTTTTACCATATAAATCTCAGTGTGACCTTGGTCTTTAAACTACAAGATGTTCTGGGTCATTTCACATTGTTTCAAACTACTACATAAGCGAAGTTTTGTTTTTGTTGTTGTTGTTTTTTCTAATGAATGACAAAGATATGACTGCTAAACTGGCTCTTATTCACTTTCACCATGCTATCTAAATATTAAATCTTATATGTGCGTATACTTGTTTCAAAATCAATCCATGAATTACAAATGTATGTTCAAAAGAAGACAATGTATACACAATCATATATTTTTACGTACAAGTGTGACCTTGACCTTTAAGCTAGAGGCCTGGTTCTTACTTCCAACAGGTTGCCTTCATGTCCAACACGTTTATGCCTGGTTATTCTAAATTAAACGAACATCGGAACTGTTGACCTGACACTGCCTTCAATGACATTTTTATAAAAAGAAATGACCATAACCTTTGACCTAAACATTTGGTTCTTGCATGCGGCACATCGCCCATACATGCTTCACATTAATGCATCATTTCAAAATCCATTGAACAATAAAAATGTGTTACAAAACCTGTATAAAAAGAAATGATCGTGCAACTATGCACATCAGCTGGTTCGTACCACTGTCACAGTACATCCTTCATTGAATAACATGTTTTGGGAAAGAAAATGAAATTCATTAAACAACAGCTCTTTGTCAGAAGAATAAAGACTTGCTAAAAAGTATTAAAAAGTTATATATGTTATCAGTTAAATCACATACTTCCAGATACGGAAGATGGTGACCTTGCATCAATGGGCTGTTCGTTCTTTGAAGCAACATTTGCAACCATGTCTTCATATGTCCGTATAAGAGATAGGTCCAACTCTGTCTTGAAATTTGAACGCTGAAGGAACAAAAAATTAAAATAAGTTATTACAAGTACCAAAACAAGAATCATTATTTTAATGTACGATTACAGTTTGTACGACAGAGTGAAAAAGAGGTACAAATGTTAGAAGTTTCCTATAGAAACAATCATTTAATATGGTACACCTACTTTAATCTGAAAAGAATGTTTCCTTATTTGTTTAACAATAATAAAAGTATTTTCCTCACTGTCTATTAAATTAACTTCAACTTAGCCACGCCAATTTAGCAGTTGTCAACTGTGCTGTGTGACAGCTGTAAAAGTTGGCACATAATTCACTTCAGTGTTGTACTTTTCTGGTCCTTTGGGATTATTGGTTACAACAATTTTAAGTGTTGAGAGATGTTGCACTTTTCATTATCCCTCATTAACAGACTCAATAAAACCGAGTCTGAAACTTTCATGAAATTTAGTTGTGATTAATGCTTCTGAAAGATCACATTTTATCCAGATTTTTATTGTATAAGTAAATATACATGTGAACATACTTCTACACGAGGGATGTTTGCTGTAGTATTGTATCCATCAGCTATCCACTTTTGGTAACCACCGTCCAGAACAGATACTTTCTTGTGTCCAAACAGCTGAAATAATCCGAAGGCAGACATGTTTGTTTGGGTTTAAACACATTTATCTAAGCTCGAGGGCGAAACAAGTTCTTGCAACTTATATTAATCATTTTCTAGTCTGCTTCCTGGAACCAACCAGTACTGGATTCATATGAAGAATTATGGCTCGAACCCATCACTAGGTTGAGAGGCAGACACCTTAACCACTAGGGAATGAAGAATGGTCGGCAGGATTCAATCCATTATAAAATATCTTATTTTGTAAAATAGTACTGACGATATGCATCCATTGGAAAATAATTTGATTTCGTACTTTTTAAACAGTTGAAGGGTTTGTCATGTACATGTATAATGAAAATTTTATACCCGGAAAGTCCACCACGCTCTAAAGGCTTGGGCAATGCTTCTTTGGGTATAGACTATCACATGAGTTTCTGGCCATACCCCTAAGGATTGGATATAATCCGTAAAACATTTCAATTCCGGCAGATTTCTCGGTATTTCCGCCGTGCTAGTGACGCATTTATCCAAGTCAAAGTAGACTGCTTGAGGAATATGTCCACTGAAATCCAGAAAACACTTTGTACGGGACGTTATTAGACTTATATACACATAAATATGTGACTTACTGTTCATATACAGACTAACCGAGCATTTCAACTGCTTATATATAGATACTTGCTACAGTAAATATAAATATTTTGAGGGTATGATGTTAGTTGGTCCAGTTCATCATTTACGCTGGTTAAACTGGCTTATCATACATACAGATATTTTTAAGGAGTATAGTGAGGGAAGTAAATTAGAATCACCTTATTAAAACCGTAAGTTTTTCAATATCATGTTGTCCTTTAGGCACTATATTATTTATGTTATAGTCTAAAAGTCAATATTGTCATTTCTTTACCAAACATATAAGTAGTGTCTGACTGCTTGTAGCAGTTCTCTAGAAAAACTTGTTGCAGAAGAAGGAAAACAATATAAAAATATTAAAAATGAATATTTCACAGTATTATACAAACATTATACAATAACTATAATAAAATATTGACGAAATAATATTATTTTTAAAACGAAAGTTTTCTCAAGCACTTCTGGAACTTTAAACTTAAATAAGATATTTCTTTTCACGCATGAACTCAATTTCTCAAACTGACATAATTTGATGTCTCTCTCCGTTAGGAATTATCATTTGTTTTATTGTGGAATTGTAAAGAAAGATTATATATCATTATGGTTGCCTTTGTGTTTTTTATTGGCTGCACATACTACTCTCCATTTAAGACGGGTGTACAATATTTCAAGTCGGAGCTGTATTAATTTGAATTACTCACCCTTTATATACCCCAGCTTGATTAAAATTAAATTTTGAATTACTCACCTTGTATATTCCAGTGGGTAGTTGTTTGCTTGATTGAAATTAAACGATGTTTCGATTATTCTGACTTTCCTTGAAGGTGTTGGATATTTGTTGATGTATTCATTCAATGCCTGAGTTGTGACTATTGTAGGTATCCTTGGACTATAAAATCAATAATTTGCCATTAAATATTATTAAGTTGTAATAGGTTTTTAACCTAGGCATACTGATATCAATTAAAAAATAAACAAAGCATAGAACTGTGAAATCATTTGATTTCATTGGCATACAATCTCGCGCTAATGGTATAAAAAGTAAATTCACGTGGTCTTCAATTCGTGCAGTTCCGATTTCCAAAAAGGAAAAAATCTCTAATTACCAATTTCATTTGTTTTCGTGAAACCATAGACAGAGCGAAGACATCAAATAATTGTACAGGACAGTGTCGCCTATCTCGCGTAGATATGTATCAGTCAGCGCGGTATAATAAATAACTATGTAACCAGTAAGTTTCCTTACAAGGGATATTTTATACAATGTAGTTAGTTATATACAGTGCTTAATGCATAAATGGGAAGCTACGCCTTAGGCCTCATAGATAGATATATTTTTACTCCTCTACAAGGGGCAAACATGTGTTTAATAATTGATATTTTAAAGTTGCATGCCCCCATGCAGATGAGTAAAATATACTTCAAGAAAAGCAAACTTCAGAAAAATAATTGAAATTTTAAGAAAAGCCAAAGCTAGGATTCAAGAGTCAAGAATTCTTATTACATTGTAAATGCCGATTTCAATGTGTAAATTAATTTCTTGGTTCACTTCACAATATTTTACTTTTAAACACATTTTCAGAATTTGAATTTGGAGGCATGCATCTTTAAAGCATATTGGGTTATATTGGATGCTTTATTCTGGAAAAAAAGCAGTGCTGGATGTTAAATAATTTCTAAAACATAAACAAAGTGGTATTTTGACTTTCATGCAAAATACTCAATCACTGTTACTATAAATTGTATACAAATTGCCGAAAAGCAAATGATGGTAACGAGTATTTTTATTTCAGAAATCGTAACAGAATACAAAAATTAAAACGTTCGTAATAAATCAGAAATAGCATTTTTGGGACTTAATGGGCCTTTAATTTAATCAATGAACTGTCTACGTTACCCTCTCAGTGTCAACTTCGTCAATATTTGATATTTCTCAATGCTGTCATTGCAACAAAATGGCATACTTTTCACGTTGTCAAAATATATTGACGTGGCAAATGCTGGATTCTGAGATATATTTGTTCGCTTATACACAAAATAGCACAATAAATCATCGCAAAATACAATTAGTTGGACGAACTTTACACAATAAACAGTAAAATTTAATGTCGTTTCTTTTGTTTTTTATATACACATACAATGATTATCAAACGTAAAAAAACTAATAAAATACATTCTCAATATCATTAATAGATCTATAATTATGATACATTTGTGAAAATTTTATAAAAGTAACTAATAACTGGGTCGTTTGTGACATTCGGTATGTTTTATGTCTTTAATAAATTGAAATTAGTAATTTCCTACCTTTGAAGAGGTCGATTACTGTTTGCTACAGGAAGTATATCCGATATTAAAACATAGATAGCTATAAAAATCATAGGGTTTGATGTAAGATACAAAAACATGTTGTCTTTTTAAAAGAAAAATACACTTCGGAGGCAAGAGGTACATATAAATACCTTAACTTATAATTCATGTCTTAATTAAAGTCACGGAGCTAGATTATACACATTATAAATCTTTGTAAAAGTTAATTTAGTATAATTTGTTAACGGTGACGTATCGTTTGTTATTTAAAGCGACATTCGTGATGGTGTAGTAAACAATGTTAACCCGTTACACATACATGTATACAGATCTTTATTATATAAAACAATGATGAATCATATTGAGATGAAGGCATCGTAACAGATGTTTTAATAAGTAGAACGTTGTAAAATCAAAGTACCGAAAGCACTGACGAAATGAGATGTCGAATATTGCTTTATACATTTTAGTTCTCATACTTTCCGATTTCACCTTCATTTTGGCCTACCTTTCACGCGGCGCTTCTGGTCTAATCAGGGGAAATAAATAATACATGGATTATTTTTATTTTGGCCAGAGATTCGTGCGCTTTTGATTAAAAGGTACAATAGTCTATTAAGTTCAACTGAGCACAGTCATGGTACGCTTTTAAGATCGTCATTTAGGATTTGTACACATCTGTTTTAAATGACATCTCCACTGTATATATACATACACATTTTCACATGGGCAAATTTGTTAAAACTTGCCTAAGACCTTCCTGTCAAAGTTATTAACAAGTGTATCGTTCTGTACATTGCCTATCACAAAAGCTAAAAATAGAACTTAAAAGCACAATCTTTAATAAAGCAATTAAGCCTTAAAGTTTGGATATTTGATGTGTAGCGTTGTCTTAATTCATGTCTTACACCAGAGGTATGTTGGTTCAAATCATGACCCTGTGACCAAAATTGACCCTGCTTGAAGTTAACTTCACTTATTAAACTCATTTAGGAAAAATAACACTATTAATTTAAATCTTCTATATTCTATAACTGCATTAAATATAATGCTGTGATATTGTATAGCGGACCACTAAATATTAAGCTTAACCCTAGCTGGGGTCAAAATTAGCTAGCTCTGGTGGGAGGGGATTTGATTTTAGTAAAACTGCTTGACCTAGAGCTTCAATATGTTGTTGGTAGCATTTTATACTAGTGCACTACTACAAAATTTGTTAAAGTCATAAAATTTAACATTTATTAAAAAATGACCCTAGTCCCAGGGGTTACTTGATTTTACAAAGCCTCATTTAGGAAAGGTACTTAGGTAGACATACAGTCTACAATGGTAAATATACCCCATATCACGTAATGTTTCTGACGTATTTTACTCGATTAAATTTAGAATTGTGAACTGGTCAAATTTTCTTACACGTGTTAGTAATCAAGCAAACCATCGATTGAAACGAGGAAAAGAAAATGAATTTCTAAAACACGAATTTCTAGAAACTTTTCTTTTGAGACAGGTTTTTTACTAGGTTATATACTTATTTCTATGTTTTAACTTCGACTTACATTATTTGTTTACTTGCATTCTATCTATTTTATTCGGTAAATGTTGTATAATTTATGGAATGTGTTTTCGCGATGCATGTTATCAGTTTTCTTGACCTAATTCGTAAAAATCGTTGATAAACGTTCTTCAAAGTTGACAATTCAGAACAATTGTTTTCTTGGTGTTCGTTGTTATTTGGTTATGAAATATTAGTATGATGTTTATCCTTTAATTATCGGATGAAATCAACTGTAATAGGGTTCTGTCATGGTGCAGCTCAAATGTGAATAAAATTTCATTAAAGTTTAAACAAAGTAAAATATATCATAACCAATTATGAAAAATGTAGGGTAAATTCATAGAAAATGTATCAATCTTAATTAAATTGCAAGAAGTCAATTTATTTTTTTTGTGTGTTTTAACAGATTAAGAAGCATTTATCACTCAAAATGGGTCGTTCACGATCAAGATCCAGATCACATACTAGGTCAAGGTCACGAAGTCGGGGAAGAAGGCGTAGCCGCAGTTACAGCAGAAGTAGAAGTCGCAGTTCTTCACCAGATTCATACAGGTAAGGTGACCCAATATTGATTTGTGTATGGATATGAAGCAAGGCTTTTCTGTCATAAAAACAACAGCCTTTGCAAAACCATGCAGAAGTTGGTAACTGGAAAAAAAATATTGTAAAAAACCTATTATATATTTCTTATACACAAATTCTGTCATACATCTTACTATTCTTAGTCACTACTGGCCAAAAGGTTACCAGACCAGTTTGAAATTTGCGAAACACATCGTGGGTAACCGGTCCATTTTTTCAATACCACTTTTTACACTTTTAGACAAAGTCTTGCTTACAACAGGGTTCATGTTGCTGATCTTGGGTTAGATCCTAGCAAGAGGGAAATTGAGAAGGCATTTGAGAAGTTTGGACCACTGATAGAAGTGTGGGTAGCCAGGAATCCACCATGCTTTGCTTTTGTTGTCTACAAGTATAAAGAAGATGCTGACAATGCCATCAGGGAAATGGATGGACAGTAAGTGTAAATTTAAGTTAAACTGGCTTGACTTTTCCCTTAATTGTGAATTGGTCTGGTAACATGAAAATTATAAAAAAAAAAGCGTCCTTCTGATATTGAAAATTGATTTCTTTTTCTAAAATTATGAATTTATGAATGTATCACTATAATCAATATGTATAATATGCACATGAAAATTATTATTTTTAAAAATAATATTTCACATTTATAATTGTTTGTCTAAATAACCAGACACTTGCTTTTGTATCAGTCTGACTGAAGTTTGGTTCTACTTAAAAGTTATTGCTGGCATCAATATCTGACTGCGTCCATATTTGTTTCACCTTCATTGTGATTCGAATTTCCCCGAGAAAGCTATTTTTAGCCATGGGTAAGATTGTTTGGCCAGTTTGACTGCTGGTTATATGGACAATGCCATGTTTGTTCTTGCAATCATAAAACTAACCTACTCAGTATTGGTTTTCCAGTGGTAAAAAAGAAAAAAAGAAACTGCATCTTTTTAAAAATTGTGAAAGCTTGCCAATGATTGGCACACAGAAAGGTGACCTCCTATAGATGCTTGTCAGATCCTTATGCATAGCTTTAATTAGGAGCTGATTTTAATCTGTGATATATAATCACAATGCATTCAAACATAAAAAATACAACTACACAACAGTAGATTGAGCATGTAAGCATCATAATATGAAACAATATGTAAAAAGACATGATTTTAAACTCTGAGCTATATGTAGCAAAATTTGTCTGGGTGAGAAAAATTTAGCAGCCTGGCTAGGACTCGAACCTGGGACCCCCAGAACACAGTTTTGAGGCTCTACTGACTGAGGTATCTGGTTGCTTACACATCTTCTCCCCTAAATAGTGAACAGTTCAAGCCAGCGAGACCGTTAATATATGATCTAAACTTTAGTTTTAAGACTTTTGGCTTATAGTCTGTGCTGAATATAAAACTATTAATACATGGCTTGAACAGAGTATAAAACTGTTTGCACATGTTCTGGGTGAAGTATAAATCTATTTTAATATATTTTGTTATAATTATGAAACTTTATTTTGGCAAAACAAACAATTATTAAATGTTTCTGTTATATATTTCAGGGTTTTGTCAGGTGGAAGAATCAGATGTTCATATGCTAGGCCACGTGTGCGAGGTGGTGGACCAAGACGGCGCGGCGGTTTTGATGCAAGTCTTAGATGTTACCAGTGTGGTGAGAGGGGTCATTTTTCACGAGATTGTGATGAGATCTGGAGACAGAGACGAAGAAATCGAGAACGTAGACGCAGGTACGGCACACATGTTTACTGTTGAGAATTTTAAGCATTATGTGTTTAGAATATCTTTGATGAAATACAAACTGTGTAGGGGAGTGATTATTTTTAGTTTCTAGTATTTCATAGTATATTTCAGTTTTATGTGTATGTATTAGTAATGTTCCTAGAGAAGTAAACATTTGTAGTTGAATTTAAAAAAGTTGGTACTCAGACAGGTTTTGTCACTCTGAAAAACTAAGAGTGAGATTTAAACAAGTAACTTCAAAAAACCCAGTGAATGAATATTGATACTCCACAAGTCCGAATGATGTATTGCTAGCATAAGGATTGTCACCAAGATTGACAGATTTTATTTCTATGTTTTAATCTATTTCTTTTACAGGTTTTTTATTTTTTTATTTCCATTTTTCATGACTAAAAGTTGTTGTAATTCTTTTAAATGGTTCCAGGTGTCACTGTTTACCTCAAACCTTTCTATTTTTTTCTCAACTTAAATCTTTTTTATTTATGTAAATGCACTTGTGTAAGTTCTTAATTGGGGTATACAATGGTAAATATCCAAGCATCCAAACCCCCTTACCATTTCTGCATGCTCATTTAAATAGAAAGTCCCAACATTTCATGTTGAAGGAGTTGAAGGCAAACTGTTTCAAAGTTGTTGCTTTTATTATATATGAACAAAAATGTGCTGTATAATGATATAATTCAAATTTTAACCAGTTGTAATTGATTTGGACATATTGAATTCTATCCGCTCTAACCTCTTTTAACTTTATGCCATTAGTGTGTGCCAAGCTTTCCTGACAATGCAGTTTGATCAGGTATTCATAATGCTGGATGCAATATTCTAATTCAGTTTCAATTCTTAGCTCAACTATTGGAAGAATGGGGAGAGCTATTGTACTCATCTATGCATCGGTGTCAACATATGGCTTATGTCACACAGTAAAAATGCCAGGGAAATCAAAAATGGATCAGTTCATGTAATTAGTCTTACTGTCAAGCATAACTGAAAAGATAAAGGCTTAAAACTTTGAAATTCTTTGCCTTCAAGGACATGTTTCAAGGGTATCTGATAAATAACTTTCTTGGTAATGATCCAATATTGTCTCAAAGATTGCTCATCAATTTTCATTGATTTTAATTTTATCAAATGTAAATTGATGTTAACTTTATAGAAAAAAACATCCTTTTCTCATGGAAATACGGATTGAAAAAGCAATGAAATAAGAGAATGAACTTAGTTAAGCTATTTTCACAGCAGTAGATTATTATAAGATACAGCTGCAAATGTGTAAAAGTGTAGGTAAACATTTTACATCTATGAGCTAATGCATGAAATATAAGAAACATTTAATAACTTACCATGCTAAATGCATATGAATTTTAAATAGACTTGTCCATTTTTCAGTCTGAACAAAATCATTTATGTCATTTAGGAGAAAAATTCAAAATATGTATTGACTAAATAGCAAACAGTGCAGACCATTATCAGACAGCACACAGATGTACCAGCTGATATTGGTCTGCACTGGTTGCATGGATAGATTCAGTAAACATTGTGCAGGCAAAGGATAGAAAACCTGTTTCATATATCACATATCTTTATACAAGTTGACATGTTTGATATTAAGTGTACATAAGGCTCTAAATTCAAGTGATTAAATAATAAGAATCAGTAAAGCTAAACTACATTGTAGGTGACAAAATTGTTTGAATATTTCCATTTTGTAAAAAGTCATAATTGTTCCAAAAAAAAATCAATTGGTTTATCTTGGCACTTAAAAACCAAAGTGCTTAAATTAACACAGGTATATAAATTATATAGGACTGGGACTTAAAATGTTATCGTAAGACCAAGGATAGAAAAATAATGAAAGTTGTTATAGATTCCCAATTTATGGCTTTTTGTAAAAAATATATTACTGTTAATACATATGAATGCATATTATCATATGAAAAAGGTAAATGTTAATTAGGTTTGTTAAATTTTCCCAATTTCTTAGGGTTACTACTCTTGAATTTAATAAATCAAAAGGCCTGGGTTGTTGCTAAAAAAGAGTTCAAAAAATCACTGACGGCAACAAAATCTAAAAGAAAACTAAAGAAAAAAATAACTGAATATTTTTATTACTCCGCTATAATTGTTTTCATCAGGCTTGTGGTTTATGGTTCTATAAATGAAAAGATTGGTATGGTGTGTGGTGGGAATGTTTGTATTGCCATCCCTGATTGGTTGGTTGGTTGTCTGATGGAATGAGAGCCAATGAAATGAGGGCTTTTATCAATGGATATGGCATTGTGGGAGATTTTGTCAGCCAGATGTTGATTGGCTGTAAGTGATATGTTTGAATTATAGTGGAAGATGTCTTTGAGGTATGTATTTTAAAAAAACAAAAGAAGGAATATTTGAAAAAAAGTAGTGTCCACTAAGAATTCAAAGATTTGAGGAAGGAATTATCATCACACACTCATACATACAAACTGTGCATGTACATGTATATATATAGATGTTATAAAACTTTGTGAAGTTAAAGGTAAGTATTAATAGTGGTATTGTTTATATAATTACACGCAGACATATAGTATTACATTTCTTTATGCAGATTCCCAAATTATACAGTCTGCAAAATATTGCATTTAGTATTTGCTTGGGGACATTTAATATTACTCCAACTTCTGAATTACAGTTTCTATTGGGGTTTTTTTTTCTAAACATTTGTTATTGTTTTTCTTCTTTAAGTAACCCGATAAAGTGTCATTTAGTACAAATGTAAAAATTTGTATCAGACTGGATGTTTCCTCTGCAAAGTGCTAAGTGTGTTATTTTTCAAACTGATAGAAATGTTAGCTATTTGTTGAAGGATATAATAATTATGGGAGTCATATAACTGAAGATATTATCCTAATTAATGCTATTTAAAATGCTAGGATATGTGACTGGAAATGGAATAATAAGAACTTCTATATAATATCATATATAAATGTTAGGTTCTTTGCAATTGAATTTGAAAGAGCCTGTATTAATATATTAACATTTAAAGTAAAATGTCTCCAAAAAATGAAGTGGAAGGTTTTAATGTACATCTATAGTATAGTAATTAATCAAAAGGATCATGTAACTATTACTTATGTTTTGACTTTTCTTGTTTATATGTATATTTTGTGTTTAAATTATACATTGGCTACATATGTTTTGTTTTGCATTTTTATATTTTAAAATATATAATATGTTGTTTTTGCATAATTGTAGCAAATATTTTATTTATTCTATGCAACCTATAGCAAAGCCATAATATATTTTTTTTATTTGTCTGTGATTTTTTTGTTATGAGTCTTTGGTTATGTGTATTTATTTATTTTTGTTAAATACCCATAAAAAACTAGATGTAGAGTCATTGTGTATGTAGTAGGCTAGTCCACCCTGTTCCAAGTTGATCACCAAAAGTTACCCCCCCCCCACCTCTTTTATTCACTGCAACAGACTGGCTTATTTGATTAATTGAATGACAAGTGTTCTCAGCTTCACTATTTTAAAACTTGGTATAACATTGGTATGTTCTGTTCATCCTAGCTGTGACCAAAGTTTTTGTTTAGAATTCTTGGTTATTTTTTGTCTTGAAACAAGTCTTCAGGAACATAATTGTATATCAGTCTGTGTTCAAGATTCATATTCATAACTCACGATTTTAGAAAATTTGTAATGGAAGTTTTATTTGTAAATCAGGCTAGCTGCCATTGACTTCACACAAATCATGTTAATATGATATGTCTTGATCAAAACCCTTTAAACATTTTTCTAATCCCTTTACAGGCTTGTTCTCTGAAAGCAAGTGAGCATACTGTCTAAGTTAATTTTACATTTTTAGACCCCTTTAAGTATTAATGATGGAAAAGTTGTGCCTATACTACCAATGCGTGGTCAGTTTAGATTGCATTCTGACCAGACTATATGCTGTTGACTGGTTTAGTGAATTTAAATCTGTTAAAACATCAAAAGGTTAGGGTCATGTCCATTTCACTAGAAGAACAAGAGTAAAAATGTTCTGTGGTTTTCTCACTTAATTGGGAATAGACCTTGGCCTCTTGATTTTGGGAAAACTTATCACTAAATTTGCTAATTTGGAAATAGAAAAGCTGATGGAAAACTGCATTATTTTGAAGAAAATATCCAGGAAGAAGAGACCTTTACAAGGCCTTTGTTAATATGAGGTGAAACATCACTTTTGATGTCTTATATGATTTAACCTAGTAGAAATAATGCTTAACTTATAATGTCATGCATGTTATCATTTTGTTCCCAAATATAAGGCTCACGCCTCAGCTTGCCGGATTCGTAAGTGACTAGCCTTTGCCAGAAGTATAGAGCCAGGCCAGGGTGCACATTCTGGCAAACTGACCAGGCTTTGTATTGTTGGTAGTAAAGTTTTTGTAAAGTAGTGAATGTTTAAATCTATTAAGGAACAATGAAAACTGCATGCTCCTTTTCAATTTATGTTATTTTTCATTTTCCTGCTTCTATGCTGGCATCACAGTTCATTTTGCATTTTGTTTCACTTATTTTTTTTATTTTTTTTTCCAGTCTATTTGCTAAATTATGTCTTTATTTTCTTTGCTTGTAATTTAGACATTTTTTTAACAGGGAAAGATTACAAGGTTGTGACTTGAAATATGTTAGGGAAGAAGTTTTACTTAAAAAATGTACATGTGTGTAATAAATTAAATTGATATGGTAAGGTCATGCATGTGAATAATTAACAAATTTTGTATATAGCAAAATATTAAAAAGAGTTGAATATGAACAGAATCACATAAAGGGGCTATAACTTATATTCTTATATTTTCCTTAGCCCACTAAAATCAACTAGCTTAATATTAGCGTGGGAAAATTTTTTGCCTTAATTACATAAGAAGAAAAAATCCAGGATTTTTTTTTGAAATCTGTGTATGTATTTAAGAATGTTTTGAATAAATTTTTGAATTTGAAAATTGAAATATGAAACAAAACTCTTATTAGATGTTCTAATGATTGCTTAATTAGATCAGGTTAAAATTTAGGGAAAATAGTCAATAGTGATAATTTGTGATATGTAGCAGGTCTAGCTCTGACAGAAGCCTTGGACTTTATTCTACTTCACTTAATTGGTATGAAATATGGAATTGATTTTAATGCTGTAAATATAGAAAAATAGTCATGCTTTATGAATTGCATGGACAATTGCCTCAAGGGAAATTTGGCCCAGTTCTAACCAAGATTTAAATTCTTTTCTTTTTTTAAATTTGATATATTTCATAAGCTGAAAAAATCCATTCCAATGATTGTAAACGTGATAAGATTTGACAAAAAATTGGTCCAGAGATATAATTTACAGATGTAACATCTTGCAATATGTTATTATGTTCCAATCTTTACTCTTCTACTTCACTTAATTGGTAAGGATTTCTTTTTTTACTAAAGAGTGGGTGGGGGTAACCTTTGAGCCTTTACAAACTTTGCCAAATAAACTGTGATGTCTTGGGATAATGCTTTATATGCTTCTTCCTTTAACAAGTAGGCTTACTGTAGTGTCAATGAATTATCCAGTGATGATAGTCTCTCTTGATTGTTTCAAAGTAGAACCTGTTTGTTTGACCTTGACCTTTACAAGTACAAAACCAGGTCAGACTTTTGTTCTGGATAATGTCATTGTAGACAGTAATTAAGATTGACCTAGAAAAATTTGAAAACTTCTAGTACTGATAGAGTATTGTATTTATTTGATTAGTCCAAGAAGAAGTTACTCAAGGTCACGCTCCAGGGAAAGGGAAAGGAGAAGATCGAGGACACGATCAAGGGAAAGGCGTAGGTCAAAGTCCAGGTCAAGGAGTAGAGAAAGGAAGAGGAAAACAAGCAGGAGAGACAGCCGAAGCAGGTATTGAAAATTTGTCTTACTGTGTGAACTTGAATATATTTCATTTTTAGCTCGACTTTTCTATGAAAAGGGGAGCTATCCTACTCGCCCCGGCGTCGGCGTTGGCGTCACACCTTGGTTAAGTTTTTCGTACCACCCCACTTTATTTCAGAAGTATTACAAGTATGGCTTTGAAACTTACCATACTTGTTCACCATCATAACCTCCATCTACAGACAAGAGTACATAACTCTGTCAAGGTTTTTGACAGAATTATGGCCCTTTTTTGACTTAGAAAGTGTATTGAGCTTGGTTAAGTTTTTTGTACCACCTCACTTTATTTCAAAACCATTGGAGGTATTGCTTTGAAACTGACCATACTTGTTTACCATCACGACCTTCATCAACAGACAAGAGGACATAACTCTGTCAAGGTTTTTGACAGAATTATGCCCCTTTTTGACTTAGAAAATACATTGAATATGGGTAAAATCCACTTATTGCCTTAACCCTTTGAGATATTGCTTTGAAACTTTTAATGCTATTTCACATCATTACCCCCATCTGTACGCAAGAGAAGGTAACTCTGTCAAGGATTTGTTTTTAAAAATTAAGGCCTTTTATCGACTTAGAATCTTGGTTAAGTTTTTAGTACCAGTCCACTTTTTGACTGAACTGTTTGAGATATTAATTTGAAAGTTGGAATACTTCTTTACCATCATGGTCCCAAAACATGGGCAGGAGAAGGTAATTCTGTTAAGGATTTTATTTGAATTATGGCCCTTTTTGACTTAGAAACTCAGTTAAGATTTTCATTCTTGTCCACTTGTTGACTTAACCATTTGAGATATTACTTTGGAAGTTGGAGTTCTTATGTGCCATCATGAGACCTATCTGTAAGCAAGAGAAGATAACTCTGTGAAAATGTTTCTTGATTTGTACTTAGAAATTCCTAGTTAAAGTCTTGTGTGCCCTTAACTGTCAAAGTTTTGTTTTATAGGCAAGCACTAAAAAAGTCGAGCGCGCTGTCCTTCTGACAGCTCTTGTACTTGTTCTCGTAACTTTAAGACAAAAATTAAACACTGTTATACAATAAAGATTAAATATGTAAAAAGCTAAGTACTAAAAGTTTTATGCACATGAATATGTAGATATGGTAACCATTTTCCTTAAGTATTGTTTCATAATTCATTGCTTTTCCTTGATACTTGATTAATTCATGTATTGGTACAAAATGTATTTGTTTTTTTTTTCTTTCACATTTTGAGTACCTATATATGCGTTTACTGTTTATCATTAATGAATCCATTTTCACAGAAGTCGGTCAAGGAGTCGATCCAAGTCTAGAAGAGCGCATTCGTCCTCCAAATCCCCAAGACGAGAACGTGAAGAGAAATCAAAGTCGAAATCAAAAAGTCCGGAGCAAAACGGTAACGATTCACCGGATAGAGTTGATGATCCAAGGCTAGAAGTGAAAGAGGAAGTGGAATGAAGCGAAGAAAAAAAACTTTTATTTGAATGATGGGAAATTTGATAAACTGATGTACGAATAGTACTGTAAAAGACAGAATACTATTTTTGGTTAAAAACGGCTATGTTTGCATGTTTTGGACCTTTTTAAAAGAAAAACAAATTATTTTTGGCTAAAATTGAATGGCAAGAAATGAGTGAAATAAACAGATGCTGTGAACATATTAGAAATTCAAGAAACTGAGATTAATGTATTGATTTTAAACGCAATCGGTGAATAACTTACACATGGTAACATGAAATGTTCATTATTTGAATGTTTCAAAGTCTGATATTTTTATGAATTTATGTAAAAGTATTGTTGTAGATGTGATATTAGTGTATGAAAGAAATTCGTTTAGAATAAGAATTGTTATTTGTGAATCATAGAGGTCACATGCCTAGAGCTCGGTGTAAAATATTCTTGTCTATTGAGTGAATGGACAACTTGATTTTAGTTTAGTTATAACAGGAGATGTTTGTTGTGACATTTTTATGCACCCAGAGTGATTTAACTTGATTATTTGAGTTCATTTTATTGCAACCAAGATGCCAGTTTTAAAAATATCATTTTGAGGCCAAGGTCACAATATCATTTTGAGGTCAAGGTCAGAGCTCAAGGTCAAAGATTTGATTAATGGAATATTATCGGTTCCAAATTGCTTCACTATCACAGGGCTTATGTTTTATCTTGAAGACCATGTCAACTTTAATTTCTAATCTCAAGCACAGTAGAATAAACATGGGTTACGGTTATAGAAATATTTTTGGCACTTTGTAAATGATTATGGTGTTTTATTGGGTATTTTCTCTGTTCATGTTCAAGATCTTTGGAACTGAAAAAAAAAAGTTTAAAAGTAAAAAAAAAAAAATTCAGTTTAACAGCATTGGAGTCAAATTATTTGACATGTACATTCCATTTTTTCTACTCTAAATGACTTTAAACTTATTTTTTAAAGTGTGAATGATCAGTATTTGTGTTTGCTTTTAGGGGTAGAAACTAAAAAAATGTCCAATGTTGTCCTTCTAAAAATACATGCATCACTATATAAGAATTTTGCAGTAATTTTCAGTTTTGTCCAAGTGTTTATGACTTCTTTACCAATGTATGGTATGGTATGGTATAGTTATGAATGTTGACTTGTCATTTGTAGTAAATTGGCACATTAACCAGGTTTTATTAGATTGGTAAATGTCATTTGGTTGACTGTTGAGTGTTAATAATATCTTCTGTATATAACTTGTGCATTTACCAAGTGTTTTTAACCATAACCATCACAGGATGATTATCGAAATTAAATAATTTGAAAATTTTTGGCAGAGTTATGGCCTTTCTTTTCAAAAACATCTCTGTATTATTGGTAGAAAACCTTAAAAACAAGCAAAACATTCTATCACAAAGAAATCAAAGGATAATCTAGCTTTTTAAGAAATTTTGAATTTTTGCTTTTTGTTGATGTCTTAAACAATTGTCTTTTAGAAGTTTTGTCCGATTTGTTTCGTTAATAGTCAAATAATGTATCCATTTGAGTAAACAGATTTTATTGATGTTGTATTTTCAATTATTCATCGCAAGATATAAGTTTTCATTTTCATCATTCATCTTACATTCATTTTCACAGGAACTACTTTCTTGTTCATTGCACAGGAACTACTTTAAGCCTGCTGGTGACACCTTACTCTACCCATGTGACTAACACAAACCAAGATCAGCCGGCAAATCTGTGGCATCTGATCATGGTCTGCATTGTTTGCTTTTCAGTCCGTACTTATTTTGAATTTCCTCTAACAATGATGAATGGTTTTGTCCGGATTGAATAATTAACAAGTCCAATAAATATATGAGCAGTGTCACGGCAAAACCAACATAGTGCGTTTGCGACCAGCATGGATCCAGACCAGCCTGCGCATCCGCGCAGTCTGATCAGGATCCATGCTGTTCGTTACCAACTCTCTTACAAGTGGAGAAACTGATAGCGAACAGCATGGATCCTGATCAGACTGCGCGGAAGCGCAGGCTGGTCTGAATCCATACTGGTCGCAAACCCATTACGTTGGCTTTGTCGTGACGCGGCTCATATTTAGGTGGGTAAGGTTTAGTTTAAAATCAGAGAATGCAAAAAAAAGTTCCCTAATATGGAACTTAACTGTTACTTTTTGAGAAGAATTGCATGCTGGGTTGCAAAAGAGGTTTTTTTGTCATGATATATAATTTATATGAGACATTCTATAGGATATTGGTTCATTGATGTTACCTATGAAATACCAACAAAAAATCTTTCTATTTCTGATAAAATTTAGGATTTTAAAAAAAGTAAGTTAAGTCTTTTTTGGATTAGTAGAATGAAGACAAACTATAAAATTTTATCATTTTTTAATCCCTTCTGTTAAGATTATAATTAAATCAAGGTTTTGAATAACTCTTAGCCTGCTTACAGCAACAGCTACCCATGCAACTAGTGTAGACCATGACTAGCCGGTACATCCCTGCTGTCTGATCATGGTCTGCACTATTGGCTATTCAGTTGGTACTTACTTTGAAATTCTCCCTAAAGATGATAAATGGTTATGTCCAGATAGAAAAATGGACAAGTTCATCTAAGATATTTAGCAGGTCAAGGGTTAATGACTTTTATTGTTTGAAATGCTGTTTTAATTTTATACCATATTGTGACCACTAGAAGGCAAATAAATGTTCCATCTTAAAATATGTGTTTTGTTTTGTTCTCTTTCTTGACCAGAGATTATCTTTTCAGTCAATACTCGGTTACCTCCGAAGGTCAGATTGTAACATTAAAGGGACTTCACTGAGGTGTTTTGACATGATGGGACTGCTCACGTTTAAATCATGTATATCTATCATTAGATTTGCTAAACACATCTTGCCTGCTGTGCACATCCAACATATTACTCGGACCTCTTCTATGCCACTCTGCAACTACATAGGTCATCTGATTAAACGAAATAAAGATTAAAGAAAACAATCAGGTTAGATGAATATGGTTATTGATAATAATTTTAAAGTAATATGGTTATTGATAATAATTTAAAGTATTATGGTTATTGATAATAATTTAAAAGTATTATGGTTATTGATAATAATTTAAAAGTATTATGGTTATTGATAATAATTTAAAAGTACAGTCATAATGGTCTACCAATGTTTGTAGACATGCTTGATAACTTCATGCATCTCGGATAGTACCCGTAGATGACCCCGTTCATTATGTACATTTCATGTCCATGTACACTGCCCATAATGTATACTGGGGACTGCCAGCGTTTATCTATGAAAGAAATTAAAATTTAGGCTTTTGGATCTCGGTTAAGTTCCTTGCATTAAAAGAGGCAAGTGATGTAGTGTTTGAAATTGTTATTGACTAAAGCTGAAAGAAAAGAAATCTGCAAATTTTGTAGTATGTATTTCATATTGGATTGGAACATCATGCTATACAAATGTATTATATATGAAATATAATTCTGCCAAAAAGAAATATATAAATTATATATATACGGTATAAGCTATTTTAATTTGTATTAATGACTTAAGCTTGATTTTTTTGTACGTAAAGTTTTTTTAAGCGTTGTTACTAGCTCTACAGTCTTATTTTGTTCATTTACTAGCTCCTTGCTGTAACTGCAATTAAGGCTATGATTAGTTTGAATAAACTGCTCGGCTTCTTTGACAACAGGGTCACTTAGATATATGTTAAAGCCTGCAATGAAGGGTATTATCGTCTTCACATCCGTAATTAACATGACTATTTCCCCCGTCACTTAGCTGTTCTGATTTAACACTGCCACTTTGTCCATAATCCACAGATTCAATATACTTGTGTTTTCTTTCACTTGAACTTGTATCTGCCTCTTTTGATATGTTGTTTATTGCACGTGCATAGTTTGGTTCTGTCACATTTTCATCACAGCAGTCATTTGAATGTGCTTCTAACTTTACATTGTCTGTAAGTTTAGCCCATTCCTAGAAAGAAAGTTATTCATATTATATTAATCATTATTATAAAGAGATCTTTTCACCATGGTACGTACACAATTAAGTACAAATTTCTTTTGAATTTTAACATGGCTTATAATCGTGTTCATCGATTGATTGATTGATTGATTGATTGATTGATTCTGCCTTCCAAACAAGTCAAGGACAATATCAATGTTATGAAAATAATTCAATTTTAGGTATCAGATATATTTCAAGCATAATACCTGAAGTTCTCCAGAAGCAAAAACAGCAAATATTATAGTTCCAACCACGTCGAAACCAGCACACACGTAAAATACGTTACGCCACTCGGAGGCACTTGCCTGGAATAAGTGATAAATTAGAATGACATTAATATTGATTTTTGTATTACATTTTCCCCATTATATCTTGTAGTATTTGGCTATTACAGTTTGTTTCTTGATCTACATATACCGGGGTGGTCCGGGAAATATAGCTTTGCCGGCTTCATCCTTAGCTCTGTCGGGAACGACCGGGGTGACACCGGGGAAGCACCGTAGCTCTGTCGGCACAAACCGGGGATGATCCGGGGTATGATACAGCTGGCAGAGCCCCGGTGAATGCTGGCAGAGCCCGGTGAATGCCGGCAGAGCCCCGGAGGATGACGATGGAGCTACGGTTGATCCCGGTAAAGCCCGGTTCATTTCAAAAGAATCACGACAATTTGCGATGATTGCACTTGTTTGTATTAAAACCCTTCCCATTTCCCTTCTATCCAGTCTTGCATAAGGATTTTTTAGAAAATCATCATGAATTACTGTTCTGGAACAATAGATATTATATTAAATAAAAAATATGTTTAAATGTTATCATTTTCGCGCGTTTTCAATCCACCGGGACTCTGCCTGGATCGCCCTGCATGGGCTCTGCCTGGATCGACCGGGGCTCTGCCTGGGTCAACCTGGGCTCTTCCGGCGTCAACCGGGGAAGCACCGGCATGAACCGTAGCTGCACCTGGGCTCTGCCTGGATGGTCCGGAGCGCATCCTGAGTGGTTAGTTGGAAATTACCGTAGTGCTGCCGGGGTAAGTGTGTCCGCAACAATAATTTCACCCCGGATCGTCCCGGATCATTTAGTAACTTACCGGTGTGGTCCTGGGCTCTGCCGGGAGTAAGTTAGACCGCAGCTTAACCACTGAGCATGTCCCGCCCTAGTCTGTCCCGTTTTTAATATGGTTTATATACTCGGGGAAGTGTGCGCTTGCATGTCTAGGTTACTTAGAAATTCTGTATACAAAGGCAGTACAGTGCCAAAGTTAGTGCATGTATCAATATTTACAGAAATATATTAACCATATAATGGTTGATTTGTATTGAGATTTGATAATTATCAGAAGTTTGGTTACGTGTATATAGCGGCAGGGTGTTGAGTAAAAGTTATTTTTTTTACTCGTTACGTGACCAATTATCAATATTTGATGGCTCATCTCATCTATGGATCAAGAAAAAGGTTGAAGACTGCATGGACCCTCCGCAACGTCATATGACCTTATTCCATTCAAACCTTAAAAAGTGTCCAAAGACAAATGTGTATTTACAAAAATACACAATTCTTCAACTTTTATTTTTCATCCCTCAGCTGTTTGCATGTTACAAAAAGTTCTGATAACAATAAAATTCCAATTAAGTATAAACCACCCAACAGTCAATATATTTCTGCACATTTTGATACTAAATATGCCAATAGTTTTCTTATATCAGTATACAAAATTTCCTTGTAACCAAGTGCACACTTTCTTTTACAAGTGCACGAGAAGAATATCAGGATGATACATGATTCTCAATATACTATCTTAAAATTTTTATTTCTGAAATTCTTGTGACAAGTTATTTGGCTCATTACTCCTAAATGAAATAATAAATGTAATAGATCAATTCAGGGTAATGAATTACAGTGGAAAAATGAAAAGCGGAATATGATACATACGTTTGGTGTAAGATATCCCACTAATAATGGCGCAGTCATTCCTGTCAGTGCAGCTGAAGTGTTTGTTATTCCAAACAAGACTCCCGCATACCTAGATTGATGTAAAACAAATGTATATATGCTAGCTATGGTGGCTGATTTGGTACGCTTTTGTGCGCCTAGTTGGCGCTAGCGACAACACGACAAAGCGCCAAACGGCGCGTTGTCACACTGTCGTCTTGTCGCCCTGTCGCTAGCAACAACACGCCATTTGAAGCGCTAAACGGCGCGTTGTTGCACTGTCGTCTTGTCGTCCTGTCTCTAGCGCGGCACGCCAAACGGCGCGTTGTCGTGCGGCCCCTTTTTTGCGATATCGCCCTGTCGCTTGGCTTATAAACCAATCCTTCAATTTGAATCGAGCGACAATGTGACATCGTGACAACACGCCGTTTGACGCTTCGTCGTGTTGTCGCTAACGCCAACGCTACGCACAAAAGCGTACCATATCAGCCAACATAGCTAACTGATATAATACTTTTTTTTCAAACAAATGTAAATGTTTATAGATATAATACTTTTTTTCAAATTAGAAAAGGCCAATTTCTGTTCAAACAACCAATGTTTACAGATATAATAACTTTTTCAAATGAAACGTTGTTAGGGGAATCATTTTTAATACTTGTGTGTAGTGCGATTTATTTTCTCTTCAAATACATTTTAGAGATTTAAATTTTTATATTCATGAAATCGCGCCCTCGTTGAGCCGACATCAACTTGTCATCATATAGATAACTCCAACCAATTTAGAATCAATATAGGTCTCGGCTTATCTAAAGTATACTGCCTATAATCAGTTACTTACTATTATAAAATCATAATATAATTTCTATTTAACAGATATGCCTAGGAACGTGGATAAAAGTAAATATAATGTATACTATTTTGATGTAAAAATTTAAATTAAAAATGTACGCAGGTGCAAAGTCCACGTGGTTGACCATATATCCAGCACGCCCGAGTCCCATGAAGGTCATTGCTAAAGACAACAATATTACTGCTAATGTTCTATGATCACATGCACAAAAACCTGTTCCAATTAAACATGTTGCAGCACCCATAAAACCTGAAATATATGTGAATCATTTGCTTTCCGAAACCCAAAATAAACAGATGTGCATATCCGTAACCACAGGAACTTGAAATTCTATCAATATCAACAGTTATATCCAAAAAATACAGATACAGATACAGATTTTAATACTATATAGCCCGGGGTATTTTTGGATAGTATTGTTAATTTATTGATTATTCGATAGAATTTCAAGTTCCTTCGGTAACTTTATTGAGACATCAGATAACGTTATATTTCTAATTGAATGTATCTTGATTAAAATACAAAGTTTACTTTAGCAATAAAATATTCAAGTCTGGCAGTTGAATAAAATATTTGACTTTTTTCAGACTAATATTGTGACAACTATTATGCCCTAACATGAAACAAAAATGCATTTTTATGTATACTTATACATTTGTATTCAAATAAAACATAAGCAATAATTGCATGTTTGTATATTGAATTAATCGTGAGATTTACTGAATAAAATCATTTCAACATTAAAAAACAAAAAACAAAAACAAAACAAAAAAACAGCATATACCTTACATAAATGTATTTGCAACTAAATGTGATACGATGCCAACCTTTTCATTATTATGTAAGATCATTTCAGGATGTATACTCTTTATCATAGTTCACTTACTGCATGTTTGAAAAGTCTTTCTCGTGGCAGTTGTTGATAAATATTTTCTAGATCTAAGAAAGTCAGCGAATTGGCCTGACAATATTCCTGACAAAAACTGACAAATGTAGGGTACCGCTGACAATACCCCATTCTGAAATTACAAACGAAACATGTTGCATATCATATAAAAGGTAAAGGTCTTGTTTATTATAGTGTCACCCCTACTGTAAGGGCCAGCCATTTCTGACTTATGAGACACCTTTTGCTTGCATATCATGAACCTCCCAACTCCTACCACTATGCAAGGCACCAGGCGGATAGAAATCGGTAACCATTCATTTTAAATACCTCGTGGCTCACGAAGCGGCCATTTCGGAACGAGTCCCACGAGAAACGTTCATCCTTGAATTACGCCTTAACCACTAGGCCAACAGTACCGGTTACAGTACGCCTTCATATTTGTGGACAACATTTCTACATAACATACATAAAATATCTTATTTAAAACAAGCTAGCTAGGAGATGATATTTTTAGTTAAATATTACTCATATTCCGTTTCTGTCATATCTTTGGCATGGCAACGCTGGTAAAACTCTCTTCGTCTAGATAAGTGCATACTCCAAGGCATAAACGTTGGCCAACAATGGTGGTGATCAAATCATGCCAATCGAAATGATAATTGTCGATAACTCTTTCAGGTAATCACTTCGTTTAAACAATTATATGAACTTACACTTTTTATATCAAAATGAAGAACGTCTTTCATAAATGTTGGTATATTTGTGAGCAGTGTAGCGTTCGTCCAGTTGTTACACACGTGGGCTGTCAAACAAGCGAACAGACACGGTGACTTTATTATAGACAACCAAGGCACGATGGTATACTGAAAAAAAAGCATGAAGAAAGATGAGGCGATAATCAACTAATGAATTTTATACTGAACAATTTGAATTTAAACAAAAACAAGATTGCCACTCATCCAATATTACATAATTATGAGAAACAACAAAGAGACGCTAATCTGCCAGAAAATTATCAAATTTTGAAATCTCGGCAATATTCACTTGATGAAATCCCTCGGGGAAAGGTACGAGAAAATGTGAACGCCTAGCCATCTACCGACATTCACCAATCTACCAACCACAATTTTCCGTTGGAAAAGTTTGATTATTTAATGAAAGAATTACTATTTATAAACATGTGGTTTTATAGTACCGTATTCTTTTTGCCATGACTAATACTGTCAATGATGTAGAATTTTTCAGCTGCTGTTATTCTCGGGTGTGATGCCGGGTTATTGGCAACAAATAACAGCCATAACCCCGTCCATATTATCCCGAGAGAGCCTGAAATGATGTATTTCATATGATTAAATCTTAATAAGTCTAGAAAGTTGCGTGATGCTTTGTAAAAAATATTTTAAAATGTTACATGCAAGTAAAAAAATTTCTAACTCACAATATCACCTTAATTCACTTTTAACAGTTTATCTTAATTTTGAACTTGTTCTTAAAGATAGAACTTTCTTTGAGACTATTACTGTCATAACTTATACTATAATTACTATCTTAATATACAAATATAAAATACAAAAACAAGATTGTTATATTTTTTATTTTTTTTTGTTTGGTTTTATGGCGCACCAACACAATTTAGGTCATATGGCGCCGAAAGTTTGCCTAACCTTTTACAAACTTAAATCAACACCAGGGGTCAAAACCATCTCGCCTAACTTTTTGTATCTAAATGTGTTCGCCTGATTTCATTGACGTTATATTTATAAATGTATAAAAGCATTGGGTTTGGACAATTGGTCATGATTTGTGAACTGGGTGGGCCAAATACTTTTATTCTTTTATTTATGACCTTTTTTACAGAACGATCTATGAAAAGCAACGATTTATTTTCTCCGATTTTTTATGTGAAATTTCATATTTTCACTAGTGGCTTTTATCCAATTTCGTGGAGTAAGCCAATTGCACTTTAAGTACCTGATATGAAAAAAAGGGACTCTAACAAAATAAATAGTTGCAGGGATATTGCGGTAACAAGTTTTTATTTAAATCAGTTAGTCTAGATAATTTACCTCCTAAATGGTCACAGTCTATATTTTTCAACTGATAGTCAGTACAATCATAAAGTTAGATTGTTTCGTAATTCTTACCTGTTATATAAAATATAGAGCCCCAGCCACTGTCGAATCCATAAGCACACAGTACACCGGAAGTGCTAAATGTCAAAACATTTCCAAATGTGGCGCCTTAAAATTTAATTAACAAATGACATGTATTTTTCAAAAACTCTTAGTTCCTTTATTTGGTTTAATCTAGTTGTGTTTTCTTAAAATTTGTCGATAAAAAGACACTTATTTGCTTTTGGATCGTTATAATCTTTTAGAACTTTTGCCACCTTGGCAGTCCTCAGACTTTATACAGTTGGTGCATTACTTATATATCTAAATATTGAAATTCCTCAACTGCGAATAAACTGTTAAACCCAATTTAAAATAGTGTAAATCTTAGAGCAATAAATAAAAAAAATCACCAGATAAAGGGATAAACCAGCAAGTCACGATTTTACATAATAGCATTAACTGGTTCCCTTGGGTTTGGTAACCAGTTTTCTATTAAAGTAAGCCTACAGGTTCTGAATATAATGGTTTTCCAGTTGCATGGAGTCACAAAATAGAGCACAATCTTGACTAACCTGCATAACAAAGCGCCGTGAGTTTACTTCTCTCTAAAGGCGGTGCCCACTGCCCCCACATGTCATGCATTGCAGGAAACGTCATTGCCTACATATTGTTATATGAATATATGTATGATACATACAACAAAAAGATGTTATTTGGAAAAGAATCAAAATACATGTATGTTTTTTGTTGTTTTTTCGTTGTTTTTTGTTGTTGTTTTTTTATCTATTTTACAAATGTATCTCTTTAGCTAGAACATGTATTAAGCGTTGCATTTAAAATTATAATATTATATTGAGTTTCAGTTGTAAAACTTAATTCCAAGTTATTGACGATACACTGAAGTCGATGGCATAACATCCAACTGGAGCCTCTTCACTAGATGTTTCGTTTTTTTTTATTTTACCAATTTATCTTTATAAAATTCAATTCCTAAATAAATGCTTTCTCATATGCTGTGATGGTAATTGCCTCTTTCAACCATTCATTCATTGACGATTAACAATAAACAAATGACACAGTAAATCATAAAACAGGTATATCCTTTTCAAGGAAACCTCAAACCCCTTATATTTATAAAAGTTTTAAAAAATGGAAAAAATAGTTTTGAGCTGGAAGTGTTCAGCACAAGGCAAATATTGTTCTTGTTAAAAGAAACATTCAGCTTTCATACTTACAGAAAACAAACCAATACAAACTCGGAGAGCAAACAAAAGGTAAACACTGGTACGGGAACATAATGGAACAAGTAATGTCAAAACAGATGAAGCAAATATTGAAATGAACAAAACTCTCTTCCCGCCGAACCTAGGAAACAAAACGCAAGACATTGAACTAGTGTTCAAAAGTTGTTACCTAAAATTAAAGAAGCTCCACTGAAGTCCAAAAACCAAAAAATAAAAACATACAATCAAAGTCTAACATTTTTCTGAGAAAATAAAAAGGAAGACACTAAAGAAGTATACACAGGATTAAATTGAAAAATCGAAATTTAGTGCGATTCTTGACCTGATTTTAGTTATTTAAAGCGTTGAAACGCTTTTCTTTTATAGGTCAATTTGCACAATAAAGGATATTATTTTGGAGCGAACGGTCTGACACTTTGCACATAAAGCTACAAATGGTATGAACATCTGGAAACAAAATTTACAGAAACTTCATGTCAAAAACAAACCTCAGTGGAGTCCCTTTAATTTTATCAAGGTTTTTTTATCATTATTATTAAATTTTAATATTTTTAGTTACAGCAAAAGATCAATTTGTCTTATTAATTTTACTGTTTTATTATCGCAGACAAAGTTGTCAAAAATGTATACAATTGAAATAAACAGGTGTATGTATTATATCAACTATCAACTTAACATAAAACAAACCCCCAAATATGATTGCTTCATAACTTCAAAGAATGTCATGTACAAGGATATAGATATGAAGGAAAAATTAGAAAATTATCAAAGTTGTTTGCCTCGTTGACAAAAACACAGAATAACATGCAGCACAGACCATAAGACGCTGTGACATTGTGTTTCTTACCTAAAATATTCTGTAAAATTAGAGACCAATAATGTTGCAGATCAAGACCAATTTAAAAAAGGACCATGTTGCAGTTGAAGGATTAAATATTTTTCTAAACTTTGATGGTAAACATATTTAATTTCCTTTAACATATAGCAACATAAATTGAAAACATTATGAGAGAAGTGTCCTTATCACGTACCTGTGTGCCAGCCAGCCTCCTGGAATTTGAGTTATAATATACCCGTAATAAAACGATGCCAGTATAAGTTCCTTTGTTGCCACATCCCATTCCAATTCAGCTCTCTAAATAATATAAGAACAATTGGGATACATGTATATCATAAACTGTAGTTTTTTCATTTCATTTCCAGTAGGTCTATATGAACAATCAAACATTGAATTCTTTTAACCGATCTGGAATAAGTAATCCAATGTTTTAAATTTCAACAGCAACAAACATATATAATTGTATTTTAAGAATCATTTTCGACAGTTTTGCTGAAAATCTGTTGGATTACGAATTTATACAAATACGTTTGCAATACAACCAAAGTGCTCAATTACAATGTAGCTCTGAATGTCAATCTGACTAGATTAATATATCTTAAGTAAGGTCTTTGCCCTTGAATTTTAATACTGTATGTATGCCAAAGTACCTTTGCAGTTCTTTTACAGCCATATTGATCTGTTAACTAAATATCAGAATGATTCGAATCCGTTTTAATTTTTCAGTTCCCTAAATTGTCACACTTTTGAATATATCAAATATTTGATTACAATATGTATGTAATTGCAATTTAAGACTAAGTCGATGACGTCAAAATATTTTTACGTCACTTGAATGCGATGCTTCTTCCTCTTCTTTGATACAATTCAAATCAAATCCTTTTGGCAAAACAGTCCCGTTAGTATAATTCTTCAATCCTTAAAATGAAATAGCGTTCATAAGACATATTGATAAAATATGACTAAATGACAAAAATATGACAGATAGAATTAATACAATATCATATTATTAATTGAAATCTTATAGAATCTTAAATGAAAGGGCCTATAAAAAATATGTTGACCAAAAATAGCCTTAACGCGGTGAACAAACAACGCTTTAATTCTGATTTCTAAACAAAAAAATACAACAATGCATGTAAAGCTAAGAATAACCTGTATCCAAGTATAAATATAAATATCATTTGAATACAGATTAAAATAATGATGACATTACTTATCTGTTATCTGCAAATGGAGTTTATGGTGATGGCGATTATGATATTATAAAAGTGAGACTTATATAGGAAATTGGCAAACAGACAGACATTATAGAATGTAATGGTGAATGATTACTCGATATGTTGAGGCAATACTTGTTAACGTGTTCCAGCCTAACATCGCAATATAAATATCTGCTATAGGCCTTAGATATGTATGACAAAGAGCTGGACATTATTCTTACATAAGAAGACAATATCAAAGATTGCCATAAAGGAAATAACTTTCTTTATATGAATTAAAAAAAACGTGTTTCCAATTCTGAATGTTATTTAAGTTAATAATTATATCACCTTTGATGGCATCAAAGTCTATTTTTGGAGTCTTCACCATGCAAACGACCGCTACGCTCAGATTTACTCGCAAAGAGTTGAAGACGGCGAATCCAAAAAAGCCAACGTAGGCAAGAATCCATCTCTGTGAACAACATCCGGGAACTCGAACATCTTATGGGATATTAAAAATAACAATGTCGTCAATAATACAAATATATTGCCAAAAAGAGAAAATGGGAAACCCTAAAGAAATTCTAAAACGGAAAAATTGAAAACGTTGCATGCTCGGTTTGTTTAAGCCTGTTTATGGACGATACTGTCAATTGCAAACTACCCTAGTACCGGCTTAAGTAAAATTCAACATTTAAGCACGAAAATGGTGAAGTTTTGAATTTAGAAACATCCGCAGTTGTGTTCATACGGCGGTTATCAAGGAACCTTCAATGTGACACGTTAGTGCCACATGTGCATATGAACTTGTGCACGCTTTATGGATACTAAAACCCTAATATTTTATCATATCACATTTGTAGGCATATTTTAAGGCATATTTATATAAATATATATTTTAAGTATTTTAATTTGGGAATCGAAGTGCTTTCACGTTAGCTTAAATTACTTTATTTATATACTATTTATGTTATTATCATCTAACATGCTTTCTAATTTTTTTAATCAAAAGATGATAATAATAAGAGTTGCCTCTTAAAAAGTTAAGGAAGCATATCAAAAGTAAGAGAACGAACTATCATAATATCATATATGAAGAAAGCAAAACAAAAAAAAGCGTTATTATCATTGGACCAATGTTCTCATTTCAAGATAACACAGTTAACACTATCATACGTAACCCTTGAAAATCCAGCATTTTGTCATCTTTATGTGTTTTTTGTACAAATATTTAACCATTTTTATTCGTGACTTTATATGATAGCTCGTTGACGAAGTATAAATAAAATGAATGTGTATGGTTTATTTTTGGATAACACTGTCCCTTTTCTAGGACAACGAAAGATAGAATTCATTTTATTTGTCTTATTAAATGGACGAACTATTATTTATGCTCATAACCTTGTTTTTGTCTTTGATCACGAGTAAATGATGGATATACATATATATTCATGTATTTAAGAAAATAACGTTTTTCAAAAAAAATAATCTTTTAAGTAAGTAGTTTATTTCGACACGTAAGCTGACAACATCAATTAACAACATTCAGTTTGGTTAATTTCTTCCATTCAGTTTGACAGTGACTACTGACGGCGAAAGGTGGTGTCCTTTGAAATTACAAGTACTAAGATTATTTTGCATAAACTATGAAACAATGTATATAGACGCACACACACCCGCTGAGATATTTAAATATATCTAGTTTAGTGACATTGTAATATATTTCTTTCACTTTTTTGTGGCTAAAGCAGCAATTCGCTATATTAGTTTACATATATCACATAGGTATTGTTAACAAACTACCCTATATCTTACATAAGTTGACGTAAGTCTACCACTATAATTTTAATAATTTTAATTATTCTGTTGTATTAAACGGCGAACTAACGCTTTCTTTTTATTAATTCAGACGTCCTTTTAAAATAATACTTTATCATTTATTCATATTTTTTATTTATTCTTATTCATTTTATTTTTTAATTAAAAAATACATTTGTTTTGACTTGCAGTGATTTAAAGAAGTAAAAATTTATTTTCAAATCAGGTTTATATCGTTGCAAAGAATGACTACTCCCTGAAGTTGCAATGGCAAATCAAAGCAAATGAAAACGGATTGTTTTGTTGTTGTTGTTGTTGTTGTTGTTTTTGTTGTTGTTGGTTTTTTTTTTCAAAGGAAGACTTGATATAATTATTTCATTTCCGTGTCAAATTAACCAAAATTTATATTGCCTTTATTGTAACATAATATTATTTTTGTATTAAAGCAACCGATGATCTAATGTTATTCAAGCTAGAGTCTAAGTTGTGATGGCCATTCAAAGAGAAAATGAAAAGTATCGTGTATTTGCGGCGATATAGAGAAATACTTGACATTGTTTTCCGCTTTTGTGTCAGCTCCATGCTAAATTGTTGTTATTTTACACTCGAACGAAGTTTAAAACATATATAAGCTGAAATACATTCACATTGTACTAGGTGGTGAAAGCATTTCTTAACCGTGTTAACATGCTCGCGTTGGTGTAATATTTTTGTAAACCTGCACATGGTGTCACAGGGCATTTGTCAAAATGCAAGTCCCACGGAGAATATATCTTATAAATTATCACGCGGCATTTAATATTGAAACAAACATGAATTTTCTGTTTACATCTTGCGGAGATGATGCAATTGTAATTTGTGTAAAACAAGGACAATGATCACGATCGACCTTTTTACAAAACAAGTCTTAACCAAAACAAGTCTTTACCAAAACAAGTCTTAACCAAAACAAGTCTTAACCAAAACAAGTCTTAACCAAAACAAGTCTTTTATAAAACAAGTCTCTGTTCGAGGAAAACTTCTATTTATAATACATTGCAATATGAAGTAACAGAAATACTTATAGTTTTATCCAACAAAATCACATCACATATATGAGACAAACATGAATTATTTAAAATGGATTGGATCCGAAAGTTAGCTTATAAAGGCCTAAGTACTGTGTGGCGGCTGTAATAAGTTGCTCTGTACTGCATCTCAAGGTTGTTATATTTTCTGGTCATGTGTGGCCATTTTGTGTCAAGGACTGAATTCTTCCTAGACCGGTGCTAGTGGGCGTGAGAAATGCTGGATTTTACATTATCTCTCATGAACATAATCAAACTGAGCCTGCAAGTCACTTCCTTTTTTCTCTTTCTATGGATCTCCATTTTCAAAAACTTAAATATTAGATTAAACATAAAAAAGAATCATACTAAATTAGTATTTTAGTCTGTAAGTTACTTCAATGCATATGATTAAGTAATGCTTTTATAGAGAATGCAAATGCATGCAGAAACTAATTCAATTTTAATCCTTAATCTGCTGAAACTTTGTTATTTATTCTGTCAGCTTTGAATTTGGAACAGTACATTCTAAGTTAATTGGAACTAATAATATCGAAACACAAAAACATAAGCTACCAATAGAAATGTCAAAAAGGTTACTCATAGGACAATCATCTGAACAATATTTGACTTCTGTTGATTTTTACGTACAGGTATAGTGATTGAGTATTTTTGTGATAGTCAAAATACTACTTTGTTTAAAGAAGGAACTCTTTTTTGTTTCTAAGGTATAATTAATGTGCCTTTCAGCGTAAAGATCAATTTAAAGATAAACGTATCTTTACAAAATTATGTCGAAATTCATCAGAACAAACTGAGATCTAAACACGTAGTTACAGGTATAAGTGTATTCAATATTTCATTTAGAATTATATTGATAACCTTCCTAAAGTTTTTAAAACAATCGAAATAAATTATTAATAAGTCAATCAATTATCAATCATGTGCAATTTATCTGAGGAATTGCCAATGTTATGTAAAACCGAAATTACAAAACATTAGATGATATAACATTCAAAAGAAAATCATTTCACTAAAAGACAATTTCTGAAACATTAAGTAAGGATTTTTCCCATTGTACAAATAATTGTCCTCATTTATTAAACACAAATTTAACCAAAGAAATGAAAACGACTTTTACTCTGAAGTAAAGGGAAACCTCTCTTTAATAAATGTTTTAATATGGATTTATAGCATGTCAGCACGTTACCAAATCAGTGTTAAATGTGAAATAATTGATTAACGTGAACAAAGTGGTATTTTGTCTTCTTGGCGAAAACACTAAATCGTTACAAGTTTATTAATGACCAAATGCAAAACATATTGTTCAGCTTCATAGTGCCATTCGGAAAACATAATATCAGACTGCACAGAAAAATAAAAATTGTAAACATTTTGGGGACTTAAATAGCATTTAATAATTAAAATGTTATTACATTAATTGAAACAAAAAATATAAAGCATACTTATGCAAAATAGTTAATTATTTTTTGTAATTTTATTTAATTAATTCTTTTTACCCTTTACTTAGTACTTTATATTCAACAAAATTCTGTTTCTTTTTACCGTTAATTGGCAATTTATCCTTTACACCCATTCTGTCTTTAACAAGCACTAAACGTTTAAATCCGTATACAATATGATTTAGTTGTGCAAATGTCCTTCTTCAATCTATTAAAGTTATGCTTTTATTTATGTAATGCAATTCCTTTCCAAGATGATGATTGCAAAATATATTCTTGTAGCGGAACGGACAGAAAGCATGACCGTCCAGCGGAAACGATTTTTTTCGCTGACATGTATGCGCGCTAAATATGAAAAGTGATGATTTTTTATATTAAGTTAAAAAGAATGAGTACGCTGTTTATATAAATAATAAGTGAGAAGTATTTGCATTTATTTTTATCATTCAGGCAGTAAACCAGAAACTTGACGGGACGTTTTATTTTAAGGTCACCAGGAAACTGTAATTGTGACATAATTGTCTATGTAAATTAGTTTGCTACTTTCATTTAATATAATGATAAACAACTGGTTTTAGCACGTAGATTATATTAACAGGCGGGGTGGGGGGTAGAATATAATTAATGTGAACAATTTTAAAATTAGTAATGATAAATATATGTATATTACAAAAGTCAAAAGAAAAACACTTTCTTTTGTTTTTCACCAAACCTGACTAAGTTGTTACTCTAATTCATTGTTATTGCCATTTAATACATGAATCATGTTTTATATAAATCATATATAAAACATATAAATTAATAGTAGTTTATGACGTACCTAACTCGAAAAGCACAAGAAAACTTTTGACAAGATAATTTGCCCTAGATATATGACTTTAGTTTTGTTATATTTTCTTTTCATTAAAAGATAATTGAATCAAGCACATTTAGTGTTGTAAATTGAATGCCGTATAGGCCGGTGCTAGGGGGCGTGGGGGATGTTGCAAATTTCCATTATCTCTCATAAATAGAGTCCATCAAACCGAGTCGGCAATTTTCATGTTATACTTGTTGCTTTAATTGCTACCGAGGGATTTCATTTTTCCTGATTTTTTATGTAGCTAGTAGTTGACCGATGCATCAAGTCAGTATGCATTGCTTAATAGCTTGTTATTTCGGATTCAATAAGGTTCGTTGTCATCTAAACCATAAGTGCATTAAATAATTTAAACTAATTCCGTCTTCTGCTTCCCGAAAGATTTTGATACAAAATCAACCATTCAAACCGATACTGCCATTTGTAAACTTCACATTCAATATTGGTAAAGGTAGACGCCGAATACCAGTGGTACAGAACAAGAAACATTTTGCGTGAAAAACAAAACATTCCTGAACCAAGCGGAAAAGGGCGTGTTCCCATACCAGATAAGTCATGTGGTATTGTCAGAATGTAAATATATATAGTTCAGTTTAAATGTTATCAGCAATAACAATAAAGTATTACATTTATTATACTGTATATATGTTAAATTGAGTATATCAAATAATGTGTTACTGCAACAATATCATGTTATTAATTGTTTTGCTGGTCAGTAAACAGTTATTTTTGTCGTTAATATACGCCTGAAAGACACTTCGAACATGCATTAATCGACATACATTAACATCTGTACCCAAATGTTAAATCATAATGCATGTTTTGATGCACGTGTTGGTAAAACATTCTTGTTAAACTGCAAATACTGTCATAGAAGAACAAGTGACAAACTACAAATATTAATTACCTGCACCATTTAACATCAAAATAAAAAGTTTTCTAAGTTTATTTCCTTGTTTGCATAAAAACATTATCGAGAAATTACGTCAAAATGTATTTCGAAAAAATAGTGATTTGCGATAATGAAATGTCTCATGCAGTCAAGAAATATTCATTATGTATTAATTTCAGCACATGCTCTGAAATGGAGAAAATGGGATAAATGCAAAAAACAGTAGTTTTGTCTTGGAAGTAAGACAACATGTGGTTCTTCCAATCCTATAAACAAAACTTATTTGGAGAAAGCAGAATGTCAGATTTTGAACTTAACAATATAATCATCATTCTAATCATATCTGAAACAAAATGATTAAAAATGAATAATTAACATAACATAGGGTGACATTTTCTTCAACTCTGTAATCAAACAGGTGACAGTTTTATAAATTTAAATCAACTGTAACATAAAATGTTTCACATTTTAATTCAATATACATTCCAGTTTGCAATACCATGAGATAAATAAACTCCCGTATTTAGTAAAGAATTTTTTGTTTGGCAATTAAATTTTTTAGGTATCAGTAATTATACTGGTTTCATTGCTGTTTAAGTATATTCCCCTTTGCCAAAATTTATGAAATGTTTTCATACATCCCAATTTGCAAAACCATGAGATAAATTTGCTCCCGTATTTAGTAAAGATTTTTTTTCTTGGTTATTAAATTATTTAGGAAGTAGTGATTATACGGGTTTTATTTTTGTCGAAGCATATTTCCTGTTTCCATATTTTTCGGCATGTTTTATAAAAGATGAAATGTAAAAAATTTAAATTTACTACTATCACCGCGTCCTTAATTTCACAGATGTATATGGTATGCGCGATTAATTATACTGCATGTTAAGCATTTATTAAATGAACAAAATATAAAGTGACACATTATACTGACACCACAAAATTTTGTCATTTTTCTTTCCAGAAAGCACTAAAGTGTCTTTGTGCTAGTGAATTATCTAAAAGATAACAAACAGAAGGGAGGAAATTGGATTTAAGTCTTTTCATTTCAGAATTGAACTGCATATGTTATGTAAATATAAAAACAAACGACTCATACATGCTTCTTATATAAATAATACATAAAATATATCTTTGAGTTACGATGACAAATCAAAGAGAAAATAAATTATATCGTATTCTTGAAATGAAACTTCAATCTGTATTTTTACATGTCATTCGTTTGTTTGTTATTGAATAAAAGCTTGAAGAATTGTTTTGTAAAAAAACATGCATTAGCTGAAATACATATTAATGTAATGCATTGTTAGTAGTACGTTTAATAAAATGCACGCTTTGGTGATACATTCTTTTAAAATGTAAACAGAGTCGTGGGACATATGTCATAACATGTATTACAACTGTAAATTATCACGCAGAATTTAATATCGAAACAAACATGTAATTGAGATATGATGTTTAAATAACACATTTGCAATAAAAACCACAGAGAAAGGCAGTTCTAAAATGTATGCTTCCTATACACCCCTACTAAATGGCTCTTTTACATTTTGGTGATATTTTTTATGAGAGCCCTCGACACTTCCGTCGTAAAGCCCTTGACCAAAACATAGCTAAAAAGCTTAAGTTTTCGTTAAAAATCAGTTTTATATCGTTGAAAAGGTTTCAACTCCTTGACATTGCAATGACGAGGACCTAATTATATTTAAGCTAGAGTCTGAGTTTTAATGACCATTCAAAGAGAAAATAAATAGTATCGCATATTTGGTGCGGTACTGAGAAATATCTTAATAGAAAATAACGTGTCACTCATGATATTTCGATATTTTGCCAGATCCTTTGATTGTGTAATATTACACTTAAAGGAAGTTTATAATATTTTTAAGCTGGTAAGCACTCACATAATTCTAGGTGGTGAAAGCATTTCTTAACTGTGTTAACATGCACGCGTCGATGAAATATTTTTAAACCTGAACATAGTGTCAAAGGGCATTTGTCAAAATGAAAGTCCAAGGAGAATATTACTAATAAATTATCACGCAGCATTTAATTTTAAAACAAACAGAAATTTGCTGTTAGCATCTTGCCGAGATGATGCAATTGGGATTTGTGTAAAACAAGGACAATATAATTACGATCGACCTTCTTATAAAACAAGACTTTTACAAAACCAGTCTTTTACAAAACCAGTCTCTGTTCGAGGAAAACTTCTATTTATGACACATTGCGTAAGCAGTCATATACTGTATATACGAATATATATTTATATAGTTATAAAAGCCTAATTACCGTTAGGCAGTTGAAATACGTTACTTTGTACTTCATGATTTTTATATTTTTTCCATTATTTCGATTCTTTCTGTGTCTAGGACTGGGTATTTTGTGGATCGTTGCTAGTTGGCGTGGAAAACTCTGGACTTTCAATTATCTCTCATGAACATGACCGAACTGTGCCTACAAGTTAACTTTTTTTCTCCCGGTTTATCTCCCCATTCAGAACTTAAATATAAGATTAAACTTGAAAGGGAATCATACTAAATTAGAATTTTAATCTGTCACTTTAATGCGTATCATTAAGGTATGCTTTTAAAGAGAGCGCAAATGTGCGGACACTTTTTCAGTTCTTGTCCTTTACCTTTTTGTTATTGATTCTGTCAGCTTTGACTTTGGACCAGTACATTCTAAGTCATCGTCGGATACCCACGGTTTATTAACCGTGGGTAAAGTGAATCAAATTGCATCGATATACAGCAAGAGGTGCGTAGCATATCGACCAATTAAATCATGTTTAAAATTTATATTCTTCGACAGCAAAGGTTAACAACTATCAGAAACCAAATAGCAGCGCCCACGATGTAAACCTGTTTCACATGTCTTGCCAATATAAAAGGCAAAATTATCCCCAAACTAATTTATTCTATAAGCAGAGACCGCAACAGTGATATTTTTTCAAGAATTAACGTTTCACAAAACATCATATGGAACAAGCGATTTGATCGGTTTAAATAGCCTCATGAAATCGTGAGGCAACCAATGACAAAGCTGTGTTTGACACACCTCTAATCGACTTGAAAAATCCAACGACTGATAAATGTTAATGGTTCGGCCCACGGGTATCCGACGATGATTCTAAGTAAACTGGAACTAAACATCAAAATAAAATTTTTGGCTAACAATCGTAATGATTAAAGATATAAAATTATAGTTTATGACGTACTTAACAGGACTAGCACAAGATAAACAATTCAAAACAAGAGAATTTACCCTAGATATATGCTTTCAGTTTAGGTATATTTTTCTCTTCATTAAGGATGATTTACTCAAGCACATTTAGTGATGAAGATTAAATACCAGATAAGCCGGTGCTAGGGGAGAGGAGGGATGTTGCAACTTTGCCTTATCCCTTATGAACAGAGTCAATCAAACAAAGTCTGTAATTTTCATGTACTATTAGTTTACTAAAGCATCAAATGCACTACTTAATAGCTTGTTATTTCGGATTTAAAATTTCATCGAAATCGTTGTCATCGAAACCCAATCAATATTGAAAATGTGCATTTGATCAATCTGTCTTCTGCTTGCCGAAAATTGTGACGCAAAATCAGCCATGCTTATCGATTCTGCAATTTTTGAACTGCACATTTAATATTGTCAATATTGGTAAAGGTAGACGCTAGGTCTAGTGGCTTTACTGGTACAGAACACGCACTAACATTTTGCGTGAAAAAAAACATTCCTGAACCTAGCGGAAAATAGGCGTGTTCCCATACCAGAGAAGTCACGTGGCATTGTCACATTGTAAAAGTATATAGTTGAAAATATAAATGTTATCAACAATAACAATAAAGGAAAAAAATAATAACACTGTATAATTGAGATATCATGTAAGGTGTGACTGCAACAATATCATGTTATTTATTGTTTTGCTAGTAAACTATTAATGTTGTTGATGCAAGCTTGAGAGGCTCTTCGAACATGCATTCATTGACATACATTAACATTTGTACCAAAATGTTAAATCATAATGCATGTTTTGTTGCCCACGTTGGTAAAATATTCTTGTTAAACTGCAAATGATTTCATAGAAAAACAAGTTTCAAACTACAAATATTAATTACAAAACAAACAAAACATCTTTTTTAAGTTTGTTTACTTGTTTGCATAAAAACAATAATGAGAAATTATTTCTAAATACCGGTACACACCGAATGTTTAGTTGATTTAGCGATGTCAAAATGTCTCATATAGTTGTAAAGTTTTCACCAAGAAATGTTTTTATCCAAACAGATCATGTTCCGAAATAGAAGAATTGGGATAAATGCAAGAAAGGGGAGTTTTGTCTTGGATGTAGGACAACATTTTGTTTTTCCAACCCTCAACAAAACCTCAACAAAACTTCTCGGGGGAAAGCAAAATTTGAAACTAACAGTATTGTCATCTTAAATATAATATTTTTCAAAAAAATGATAAGATTAAAAAAAAAACATAGTCTTATCATACAATCGTGACATTTCTTCAACTCTGTAATTTAACACTTGATGTCTATTTATTAAAATCAACTGTAACATTAAAATGTAAAATGTGTCACTCATTGCAAAGAAAGTGTTAAAATATACATGCGCGCTTTGTGCATTGCTACAAATATGCAGTTCAAGCGAAGATATTATTTTTGTTATATTTCTCAAACTATGAACTTTTCAAAAACATACATGAATAGCATTATCCTTGCTTTCAACTAAGGAACATTGCGCAAATTGTTTGAGATATTGTGTTAAATTTGAAATAGACATGTACTTATCAACTATTTGTTACTTATTAACTGTCCCCATTTATTTACCCATATTTCAAAAGGAATCAAAATGAATTTTTGGCATGTTTTTATGAAAGACAAACTGTAAAGATTATTAATTTAATTCAATCATCGCGTTCTACTTTTCGCAGATGTTTCTGTGCATTCGATTAAATATAACTCATTATTTATATTTGTTATATTAACCAAATTAATGACACATTATATTGCCTCTAAAAGCACATCAGGATAGAAATATCTAAAACATAACGTTATTTTTTAACAGAAAAAAAAAAATTTAATATAATTTTTCATTTCAGATTTGAACTGCAAATGTCATGTTTACATGAAAACAAACGACCTATACATGTTTGTAATGTGCATGAAACTAAATTGTCTCTTTGAGTTGCGATTACAAATCAAAGATAAGATAGATTAAATGGTAATCATGAAGCGAAGCTGTAAAGAAACTGTATTTTTACACGACATGTGTTTATTTGTTATTTAATAGAAGCTTGAAGATTTTTTAAGCATGCATTAGCAAATACATGTATATATAATGCATATGTAAAACATAATATATATGTTAGTACGTTTAATAATAAACAATTTAAAATGCACGCGTTGGTGACACATTCTTGTTAAACGTAAAGGGTCTTAGGACACATGTCATAACGTATGTAAAATGGTAAATTATCACGCAGCATTTGACGAGGGCTTGCATTATAAATATAGTTTTGTATCGGAGCACATTAAAGGGAATGCTTATAATTATAACGTTCATGGACATGCATTTTTGCTCGCATCTAAAAGAGAACGTCAAAGGTTGAATGCATATGTATTAGATAGAACTTGAATAACAAGAATCAGAAACAATACTTGTCAGTCATTTTGTTTTCGCTTGTCAGTCAACTCCTTTGATTCGCGTGGTTGTTTATACTTGAAGGAAATCATTCCTAAAAAAACACTAGTAGACATGCATTTACATATGTACAAGAATGTTAATTCGCAATTCGTGTTTATATGCGCGCTTTGTGAAATATTTTTGTAAAACTGCATACAGTGTCACAAAGCATCTGTCACATTGCATGTTCTAAGCGTGACCTTACTAATAAATTATCACGCATCATTCGATATCAAAATAAACATTATCATTTTGAAGATTATATTAGTTGGATGAGATAAATAGAACATTAATTAAAAATGAACACATAACTTTGTATACAAAGTAAATAACAACACTGTAAACTTAATCTTGTTTGTTTTGTTTTGTTTTCACTTTATACAAGCACTGTACCATATATTTGAAACACTGAAAACTTAATTCTAGTAACAACGGCAAGCTATCGTGAATTGCAGCAGTAAGATTTCTGTTTTTATGTTGAAATAAATTTCTACATAATTATGTGGTATCATACACTTTATTATTGCAGAGAGGTACGAAAATCTGCATGTACACCTCTCTTTGCTTCAGCATACAGTACCTTATTATCATTGCTGCAGATGTACTAACGCCAAATGGAGTGGTCCTTAACAGAGCCAAGGACGCTATAAGATATTGTTATTTTGCACTACGTAATTTCTAAACAACTCAATGGCTGTAGATATAAGTGCATTATTTGATCGAGAATGTGTAAAACTACTTAGCTTCCACAGTGCTTTGTTAATGTCTGTGTGAGAAAGAGTATGTCCACAGACATATTAAAAGAATATATTATCCTCACTGGAATCGTCATTCATACAATAGTTATGAAACGTTAAAACACGTCATTGACGGTATCCTCTGGATTAAGATATTTCATGAATGATTCAGGGGACACTTTTATACATTACGTAGGCACGCAGTGATGAGAACTGGATCGTTGTATTGTGTTAAACAATTTAATTCTTTCCTCTTTCTATTAAAGCTATTGTTTCGTTTTCCTTTCATAAAGATTCTTTGCTCTCTGGCATCATCGTACTTTCCTAATTCACTAGAATGCTGTTGTTCTCTCACCGCGTGTTCATTTGCTCCAAATATCACATCGTTATAACTTCCAGATAAACTTTCGCCGACATTGCTAAGTTCTTTCAAGAAATCATCATGGGGATGCCCGGGAAAATAAAAAGACACTATGCTATACGATCCTTCTATTGTTCTGTTTTGACAACCTATAAAACAGTGTATATGAAATCAGAAATTAAGAATTTTCTATAACTAATTGAAGCAAAACGATTAAAAAATGTCTTTCTCTAAATGGTAATAAAAAGATATATAAGATAATATGGGCAAATATAGTAACACGATAATATTCGGGACAATACTAAAATAAATACAAATGAAACCCTTATATGGCGTAATTTAAATAATTTCGTAACCTTATACTCAAAAGAAAAACTGATAAATGATAACAAGAAGTAAAGAATTGCCTATTAAAGTAATGTGGATTTGTATCACTAAAAGCGAAACTTGTAAAACTATTAAAAGATGCAAACTCTCAAAAAAATATAAAAAATAAATATTATGTCGTCTAAAGAAGAAAGTCTTAAACAAAGTATTAGCTACAACTCCAAAAAGATGAATCACAACGGCGCCAAATCGTTCTTCAACCAAAAAGAAAAGAACTATCATACTCGAGTGTGATTTACAATGACGTTCCTTGTAAGTATGATAAAATTTTATTAAAAACAAAAAGTATCACTTCGAAAAAAAAAGAAACACTTTTTTCTAAGAAATGAAAACATTTGTATTTCAAAACATTATTAGGTAACAAACGTATAACTTACCTTTATGTTGACAGAGAGTGTCTGTGAAGAAAACAGGAATTCCAAGTGAATCATAAAGTTGAAAAGAAAAGATAATCCATGTAATATGTCGATTGACGATCATCTTATCATATAGATGCCGATGAACAATCGGACGGACAATAAATTTTTTATATATAATTTGTGTAGCACGCAGCTTTCTAAACAAGTACTCTGACTGCTATAAGAGTGACTTTGAAATATGAATAGGGGACCACGTTTATATATAGTCAAATTGAACAAAAAAATCCAGTCAACACCTCCAGATTAAAAGGCTATGTCTGGAAGATGTCTCGGTGGAAAACTATGATAATTTTAAACAGTCAGATGTGTGTTCAGATAAATAGAAGTGAAGTGGTCTTTGTTGAAAGGCGGATTGTCTTTTTCTAATTAATTTCTACCGTAACTGAAAATACCGTCGATAATATATAGGATAAACTGATTTAAATTGTGTGCGCGTTTTTGATTGGATGGTGTCTAAAAACCTGGTTTTATTGCAATTAATTTGTATAAAAGACATCTTGATGAATAAATATCATTTATGCTTGAAACAATATGCTCTTCACATTTTGATGAACGCGACGTGATTGGGTGTTCACAAAGATAAGTAAGTAGGCACTTGGGATGACACTGGAGTCACGTGAACTATGAAATGCTATATTATCATCATTATGCTTTCATATCGCATCATATGATAATGTATCACGTCTCGAAACTTCAATGATTGCAGCATTGTTTTTACCATTGTGTGTGTGTGATCCATGAAAAGTTTTCAAAGGTTCATCAATATTATATGTCCCGTACTTAAAATCGTAGAATTATAACAACATTGTGCATGTGGGTAGCGTTTAAAATCCACGTTACTTAGGAAGCACAAATTTGTTGGTCCGGAAATTTGCATATGAAGAGAAGTAAATTCATGAATATATACGAGTGACTTTATCATCTTTTAATTTTCTTTGGTGGGGACGTGGATGTTTCGTTTTGTTCTGTATTTTTTTTTTAATTATTATTTACTTTTTGTCCATGTGCGTGCGTGCGTGCGTGTGAGCTGCTAAAGTGTTGGAAATTAGAAATATAAAACGAAAGCTAATCCAATGTTTAATTATTATATACTAGACAAATATAATATAAAAAATGCATTTACAATAGATAAAACAAGCCAGACGGGGTCCTTTATCAAATTTACGGATTATTCACTGTTTGTCGCCTTTTTTTATTATATCACTTGCTTTTTGTCAATGTCCCAATATTTAGTGACAGATTGTCTGGCAATGTTTTTTTTTTTATTACAGTTTACGGTTTGTTTGCCATAATCATATTTTTTTTCAACTGTCACAATTTACTATCAAATATTTTCAAATGTTTTCTTATGTGCTTTGGTTTTCTATTCAGCAATAAGGATTGTAAAAAACACACAAAGATTCAAACAAAGCTGGCCCTGAATCATTTGGTTAACTAATTTCATGCTTACCTTTGAAGGAGTTTAAAAAGAAGCATATAGTATTGGTGCCGTTAATCTGCCGAGAATTCGTAAGCAAACTGCTAGCCAAAATTTGCCAAAATTAATGATACTATAAATGGTAAGTCAGCAGATTTGGCAAGCTTTGGGTCCTATGTTTGTAACGGTAAAATGAAAGAGACTGCATGTCAACAAAAAGTAGTTTATTCTGAAGGGTACGCTTAATTGTCAGCAACATAAAACTAGATTTCGTCGTAAAATATCTCAAAAATAGCAACAAGTGTCCTGAAATACAGTTCCGCATTTAGTATGAAAGCTATATTCGGCGATGTGCGCTAAAGTCGGCGGTTATAGCTGACTGGAGAGTTGAGGATGAAAATATTTTCAAATTTTACAAGTAAAACCTTTGTGTTGTGACAATGTGTGTCGAAGTAGAACTAATTGGAAAAGGCAGAAGTTAGTCATACAGTGAACATGCAGTAACAGCATCGACAGCGAATATCTTTTACATAATGACAAAAGCAGACGTCTAATCGCAATATTAAAAACAATTGAAAAGCGGCCAAAAAAATAAGAAACAAACGACTGGGTGTAGTAGCATTAACGAACGACATGCGACCAAAAAGGGTCAATAAAGACGTCCGTCTGATCGCAGTTTAGTATCAAAAAAATGTTACGTGGGCTACATAAGTCATAAGGGCAATATGAAAGAAGCAACATTACAAAACCCACCAGTTAATGCAACTGATGATGGCCTAATACTTTAATACAAATAGATAAGATAAACAGTAAAATTCACAAATGTGCTTGATACATAGTTAGAAATATTATAAGGCACAAGAAGCATCCTAGTAGAGGGCCGACAAAAATGGCAGTTAGTGCATGCTGCAATGCCCAGTTGGAAGCATCGATGGCATTCGGTTTGTCGTCCAGTTTGATTGCTTTCCTCACCTGCAATAGATAAATGATGACCTTATATACTGCAATCAACAACGGTACTTTTGAGTACCATTTATTTCAGTAGTACTCTTTTATCTTATCGTAAGACAATGTGTTATTTAATAAGAACAAAACGTTCAGCCACAAAATAATTCTGTCTCACCCGCAAAAAATACATGTAATTATTTCATTTCTATAACACTATGTTCAATATCTGATATCATTAACTAATTCATGTCCTGAGGCACACAAACATTGTCTCGGTCTTTTTGGAGATTTACACGCTTTACTCGTAAAAGAAACCAAAGTATGACTTTCTGTTTCTTTTATTTTAGGCATGTGTCAACGTCCCTTGCGTGAAACCACTTTAAAAATGGAAGACAATTAAACACATTCATCTTCAAAAAAGGATGTGGATGTCCTACGTGGTCTGATTATGAGTTACACATAGAAAGTCTTAGTTCACTACGTATATGTATATGTTAGTGTTCATCCGTGCTGTTCTACTGAATTTAGAAACTTCGATAAAATATGTCTCAAACCAAATTGAGAAATTTTCGTTTCATCTAAAATGTCCTAACTATGATTCTTAATATGTTAAAACTTTTTAATTTCTGAATATAGCGATGAAGATGAACATTTACTCATTTTACATATTTTGTAACTTTTCTTAGGAGAATGACTTGAGAATGATAATAAAAGTATACAACTTTTACTAAAGATGAAATATTTATGGAAACGGTCTTGAATTAGTCCTATAGTCTGTCATAAATCCTAGGACATAGGATATACTTTGGGCTTTCTATAAAACGCAGCCCAGTACTTCAGTTGGCTCGAGATTGTTAAAAGGGGTGTGTTTCAAGAGTTCTGAGCGGTGTAAATATACTAAATATCATACTATTTTAGTGGTGATTAACTTGTAATTTTTCCTCAGCTGTAACGCACGAATGTATACACACTAGATGGAATTTTCAATTAAAATAATTAATATGAATCTTACTTTTAGACTGTTAGCAATAGCAGCAAGACCGATTGGAATGAAGATCACAAGTGACAATACTGACAGAGGAAAATAGTCCGGCACGTTGACATGTTTCTTCTGGTGTGTACTTACCTACAACGGACAGAAAATAGATATCTTAGACAAATATAGATTTCATCAAGTGAATTAACTTGTAAAATAGATATATACATACATATATACATGTACCTTCAATTATTTAAGCATAATGAAATAATATAATAGGCAGCAAGTCAGATTATTTTACTTCTTGTTGTTTTCTTTTTGTGTAGTTTCTGTTTTTTTTAATGCAAGCAGGTTCAGTAAGAATAAACCCCGATAAAAGAAATATCTGTTGATCTTTATTTATTTTCAGAGAACATTTTAAGTGCACCTACCAGTTTACATGAGCCATCGTTGTCACCAACAGATATTACGTTGCCATCCCCCGGGGAGACAACGCCTTCCTCGTTCTGATAGCTCACGTGATGGTAAACTGGAACAACAAAAATATAGAATTATTGATAGGGTTTGCAATGGCAATGTTAATTAAAGAGGTGGCTTTTGAAAATGAGACTTCGCTTGATCAAAAGGGATGTTGAAGATCATAATATATCTTTGGCTATCCTGTACATGTATATCTGCTGTTTGTATTTTTTAATTTAAAAAAGAATAATTCAAAAATGCCTTTATGATAGAAATGTGTTTTACTTTTTTCTTTAAGAGCGAATGGCACATGCACCAAAACATTGCTAAATGGTAATAACCATATTTGAAAAGCAGGATAAAATTGTGATCAGGAATATATTTTTCGGTTTACGCACACACAATTTTAATGTTTGTTAACTTACTATGTTACAATTACATGCATTTCAAACATCTATCATAAGATTAAGGAAACATCTATAAATCTTATAAAAAAAATCATGAGATATATCTTAGTTCCCTTTAATAATAATAAAATCTTACTGGATGTTTCTTATGCATTTCAATATTTTACATATAATTACAATTCATATATTGTTGATATCACATGCATATAAAACACAACAATAAGGGGTGGGAAACAAGCAATTAATAAATTCAATATATGTTGGTATTTATATTGTTATTCTACACATATTTTTTTGTAATGGGTTTGCCTTGCTTTGACTATGGAGCACTCATGATACTTCTTTTAATGCCTATCTGTAAAATGAGTAGCCAACAGTTTAGCAATCAACAGTTTAGCAAACACAAATTTAGAAGTTGTACAAATTGTACTTATATGCAAGCTGTGTTGGTTCCTAACCGGTGACAAGGGCTAATCAGATCTGATAGACTAAACAAGAGGGTAGATGGCCCTAAATCGTTCACCTGACTCATCAAACTCATCCGAGCAATTACCTAGACAAGCTTCCTGACCAAGTTTCATGAGAGGTGAGTAAAACAATGTGATTACTAGAGTGTTAACAAGGATTTTCCATATTTAAGCAGTGTGACCTAGTTTTTGACCCAAGAAAACCCATATTTAAACTTGACCTAGAAATTATCAAAACAAACTTTCAGACCAATTTCAAGGACATTTGGATCAAAACAGTAGCCACTGGAGTGTTAACAAGATTTTTCTATTCATAGCTCCTGTGACCTTGTTTTTCATCCGATATGACCAAAGTTCGAACTTATCCGAGCAATTACCGAGTCAAGAATCCTGACAAGTTTGATGACAATTGAGTCAAAAATGTGACCACTAGAGTGTCAACAAGGTTTTTTCATATTTGGGCGGTGTGACCTAGTTTTGACCCCACGTGACTTATATTCGAATTTGACTTAGAAATCATCAAAACAAACTTTCAGACCAATTTCAAGGACATTTGGATCAAGACAGTAGCCACTGGAGTGTTAACAAGATTTTTCTATTTTAGCTCCTGTGACCTAGTTTTTCATCCGAGATGGCCCATGTTCAAACTCATCCGAGCAATTACCTAGACAAGCATACTGACAAAATTTGATGACAATTGAGTCAAAAATGTGACCACTAGAGTGTCAACAAGGTTTTTACATATTTGGGCGGTGTGACCTAGTTTTGACCCCAGGTGACGTATATTCGAATTTGATTTAGAAATTATCAAAACAAACTTTCAGACCAAATTCAAGGACATTTGGATCAAAACAGTAGCCACTGGAGTGTCAACAAGATTTTTCTATTTTAGCTCCTGTGACCTAGTTTTTCATCCGAGATGACCCATGTTCAAACTCATCCGAGCAATTACCTAGGCAAGCATCCTGACAAAATTTGATGATGATTGGGCAAAAAAGTGACCGCTAGAGTGTAAACAAACAAATGTGGGCGGACAACGGGAAATCAACAATCCTAAAAGCTCACCCTGAGCTAGCTCAGGTGAGCTAATAAAACCAACTGATCTGGAAATAAAAATATCATATTTATTAAGATATCGTACAGGCATGTTTAGTAAACCTTGTAGATATTTAAACCAGAGCCTAATTGGTACAATTTTTAAATTATTCTTCTTTTTCAGGATGCAAAAAAAATGAATAGTTACCATGATTTCTTAAATCCATTTTGTTATAACATCATTCCGGTGGAGTGGTATCATTAATTGGAATGCTCCAATTTAACCAATTTAACAAATTAGAAACAGTATACATTTACAAAATCCACATGAAGATTTATTGTAGAAAAGTAGCCATATTCATTCTTGATTGTTTATACCATTTAGTGTTAAGGAGTTTGGACACTGTTTAATGAATTTAGTAAACAGAATAGTAAAACTTTACTCAATTTGTTATAAATGTTTAAACGATTTTATCATTTTACTTTATCACTCTTACATGGATGGAGATGTCATCTTATTTTATCGAGTTTGAGTAGAATAACAAAATGAATGATGCATTATATGAATGTAGATATCTCTAGGTGAGCCATTTTGTTTTTGCTGACAAAATGGCTTTTTAACACTAACTTATTTATTTTGATTGAATACTGAAATTTTGATTATTTCATCGGTAGACTCGGAATCCGTATGGTCTTTTAAATTACTTGTTCTTACTAAACAGAACATCCTCTGAATGATATTTATGTGTTTGGGTTGTCCGTTAGCCTTAAAATAAAATGTCGATATCTACCATTATCATGTCAGTTATCAAATAATAGTTACATCATGCTTTACATAAGACTTTATTTGAATGTGATATTATTGATAATATGAGTATATTATTGATAAATATATCCCGGGTATCTTATTAATGTATCTTTCAATTTTCGTCTTGCATTTTCCCGTCATACAACATTTGCTTTTTAATTTTACCCAGATAGTTTTTTATTTCAATATAGCTTCTGAAACTCAGGATAGAAATAATAATCTATAAATTAGACCTCAAATTATCCAGCGGGCGTAAGCACTTATGATTATGTCCCTGTTTTTTTATGCTCACCGAAAAATTTCGGGGGAGCATATTGTCGGCGCCTTGTCCGTCTGTCCGTCCGTTGTCTTGTCCGGAGCATAACTTGAAAACCCTTGGAGATAATTTAAATTTATTGAAACTTCATACAGTGGTAGAGGGCACATACAGTGGTAGCGGGCATTGAGGGCGAGTGCAGTGTCAAAGAACCATAACTCTATTTTGCTCGGTTTTTTGAATTATCTCCCCTTATAGAAAAATCTTGTCCGGACATAACTCTAAAACTATAAAAGATATCAACATGAAACTTTGTAGGTGAATAGATCTCAATGAGCAGATGTGCAGTGCATAAGAACAATAACTCTTTTTGTCCAAATTTTGGAGTTATTGCCCTTTGTTAATTTTAACACTTTGAACTTTGTCCGGAACATAACTCTAAAACTATAAGAGATATCAAGATGAAACATTGTAGGTAGATGGATCTCATTGAGTAGAGGAGCAGTGCAAAAGAACCATAACTCTTTAAGCCTCATTTTTGAATTATCTCCCCTTTTAGAAAAATCTTGTCCAGGACATAGCTGTAAAACTATAAGAGATATCAACATGAAACTTTGTAGGTAGATACATCTCAATGGGTAGATGTGCAGTGCACAAAAATCCTAACTCTGCCTTGCATAATTCTGGAGTTACTGCCCTTTGTTTATTTTTACTTTTTGAAGTTGTCCGGGACATAACTCGGAAATCATAAGATATATCATCAAGAAACTTTGTAGGTTGATAGATCACATTGATTAGAAGTGCAGTGCAAAGAACAGTAACTCTGCCTTGCCTAATTTTGGAATTATTGCACTTTGAACTTTTTCCAGGGACATAACTCTGAAACTACAAGAGGTGTACTTTCCTGTGTCCAAAACCTATTCGGGAAGCATCACCCGGCTCAAACCGGGCTCTTGTTCAACCTGTTTTTAATGTAACTATATTTCCCATAATGCCTTCATATACTTCGCGTTATAGTCACACAAAATAAAAAACAAAAGGGCCATAATGGTCAAATATCGCTCATCTCATTACAAAGGCTGAAAATAACATAAGAGCCTATATGGACGAAAAACAGGCATTCTGCGAAATATCAAAGTTCAAATCTGCATCAGGAATTGTGCATAATAGTAGTAATTTCATACATTAAATCTAACTACAAAACATTGGTCGCTAGGTCAAAATTTAGGTCAACTGATATCAAAGTTCAAATCGGCAACTGAATCTGTGACAGTAGTTCAAATTTCATTAGAAAAAGTTGTTCACTTGGTTCAAGTCTGCATGCATCTGTAACTGTGCACATAGTCCGATTTTCACAGTTTCAGGTCTGTTTTTAAAAAAACAGGCCACTGGGTCGAAATCTAGATCAAAATTCAATTCTGCATCAGAAAAAGTGTGAAAAGATTTCTGCATGAAATTTAATTTTTAGATAACTTTGGAAGAGCTTCGTGCAAAGAACATTCCTGCCAAGTTAAGGCATAAATATGGTCAGTTAATGAGGAGATGTTGTTTAAACCAATTTTTTGACAACGCAGTATTAATTCTGATCCTTCGGGACCTCTGATTCCCCCCTTGCACCGTCCACTGTAAGTATGAATCAAAGTCTGCATATATTCTTTAAATCTCATGCTTTGTACTTGCCTTGAGTGAATAAATCAATTTGAAATATGAATACTTTGCTTTCATTTCTCCTTAGGGAGTAACCCATTTCCAGATTTTTACTCGGAAGCGGCTTATCTTAATTAACGTATACGAACGCAATATGTATCTCACCCAAATTGTTGTATTTCAGGGAAGTATACGCTGTTGTCGTAAAGCATGCATTGCCTACTTAATTATGAGAAAATGCGACAAAATTTGAAATGACTTACCCACCGCCACGTATTTCTTCGGAACATCATCCGTTTGTTTGATTTGTTTCAATTCCTGATCAGTTTCACTCATGCTTTATATTTTATATAAATATACAGCACATGAAAACGTTCGTTCAATAAAATAATCATTTATCTCAAGTCACGTGACACACAGTAAAACATATTGCTAATTACATATAACTAGAGGACTAGAAAAGCCAGTATTTTACATATATTGACATTTTAGATAATGATACTTGCTTTGAACATATGTTACAATGTTACAAATTAAACTATATTCGACGGGGCGTAAATGTAATTAATGTTGCACTATTTTTTTCTCATTTTCACCAACAATTGTTATAAAATACTTTGATATAATATAATTCCTATTTAATATTCGGTATTAGAACCCAAGTTATGTCTTTAATGTATATGAATATTGTTCATTTATTCCAAATCTACTTGAGGAAATTAGTTGTATTAGTTGTCTTTTTTAATTAAACGTCATTCAAATGAAACACATTTTGCTGCTTGCTATAAAAAATAGGCATTCATTGTACTGAAAACTTGCCATGATTTTTATTTGTTGTTGTTGTTGGTTGTTGTTTTTTAGTCGTTGTTTTTGTTGTGTTGTTGTTTGTTGTTGGGGTTTTTTTGGTTGTTGTTGTTGTTGTTGTTTTTTGTTCTTTTTTTTTCGGGGGTGCAATATTGTTTGATTGTTTTTTTAGGGGTTTTTTTTTGTGGGGGGGGGATTCTTTTTTGGAGGCTTGTTGTTGTTTTTTTTTTATTTATTTATTTATTAATATTATCTTTTTTTGGATAAATTAAATTATAATGTCAACAAAATAATATTTCCTTTAAATAAAGTTTTCTATGCATTCATATTGCTCTGTTATTCAAAGGTAGCACTCCACAGTTAATTTCAAGTTCCTGCCGTCAATGTCCTACAAGCAATACGTCTAATAATTCTGATACCAAACTACACAACCTGGAAAAAGAAAACACATTTTGTTGAGAACATATATGACATAAGATTGCAAATCTACAAAGAAATTATCCCATCTGCAATAGGCAGGCAGTCAAAAAATTTGCAATTCATTCCGTTGAAGCCCTTCAACATATTAGACATATTAGATGTCACAAAAACAAATTTTATGCTGAAAATGCATTTTAAAGACAACCAGTCATTTAAATCCAGAATATTCACTATATCCAAGAAATCCTCCCTGGCCATTCGAAGCTGTGGCTTACATTACTGTGGTGTGCTACCAAAGAACATTCTCATCTTGTTATTATCGCCCAGCATCATAGCAGAGCTGTCGTTCGTTCCTCTCAAATAACAATGTAATAAAGAGATTAAACTTATTGCACTAGCTTAAATCTAATACATCTAGAATTGCAGGCGTGAAATACTAGTCAACTATTTTATAAACAAATTTGTCAGAGTTCTGATAATAACTCCGCCGAGAACGTTATTTCTGACAATTTACTTTAGGCTATGTAAAGATACTTTTTCTAAAGCCGATTCTTTTGCTAATTTTTCTGGAATTTTTAAGTTAATCATGTTTTAATGATTGTAACCTGTCCTGAGAAAATGTCCACATGTAAACTATATTTGGCTGTGTTGAAAATTTATGTCCAAATGCATATATGTATCATACATTTCTTAATTATTTTAATTAGTTGCTACATGTACATTGTGGGACTTACAATGTATAGACTGGTGATAATAATACAGCTACTTTTTTTAACTTTAATATTTGAAATACCAGACTGTTCGCGTATGATCTTCAAATTATATAATTACAGAAATAACTTATTATGTCATTAAGTTGACACAGAAATTGTGTTTTATGTTGTTATTGTACCAACCGTTTACTTACTTTTTGACTGTCCCTTAAAGACCCACATAATGCAAATTTAGTGTTTTTGTTGAAATATGATCCCAGTATGGGAAAATGCACAGTGGAGAAACAGCGATTAAAAGTTAGTTAGTTATTCTAACCATACAAAAATTTAAATGGCAGTGTAATAGTTACTTTCGACTCTCCTCCAAAGCCAATTGAGGCGTTAACGCGTTAAGGTCGCGGAGAAGGCGCACGGCAGATTAAAGTGAAATCATCCTAAGTACCAGGAATGATTGATATTGGCCTGTCGGGACAAACTCGGGGAGGGGGCGATAGCAGGAGTCGTTTTGTTTTAAACAACGATCCCTTAATCAGAAGTATCTCCTTATTACCACCATGGAACAACGAACAGATAAAAGGAAGGTCCAGTTTGAAAAGTCAACGCTGATGATGGTACAGCGACCGGACCAGCAAGTGCGCAGATGTTTTGGCTCATATGGTTGATTCTGGCCGCTAGTATAGATAAACTCAAAACAAACAAATTACAGCGACATATATAATAATTCTCTTTCTATTTCGATAACATGAATATTAGGTTATGTTTCCCAAAGTAAGAATTATCCTGGTAACTTGTCTTGTCCTCTTCTTGTACCTACATTTTGTAACTCTAGATAACGCCCAGAATTGTATTTAGAAAACTTTGATAAAATAATAATTCTATATCTTTAGTGCAGCATTAATTAAATTTCAATGCAATGATTGAGTATGCAACGTTAAGAATTTACCGGAAGAAGACAATATATATATATAAGTCATCCGCCAGACATTTTTCATGGTACAGTTTCAAACCAGTGAAGAGTGCTCACTAGGCAGCTGCATGTCTCGTCTCATATTCAATGTCAGTATGATGTTTGTTCTGTTCTGGTATCTTTCATTATCCAAAGTCAGAAAATCCGGCATCCAGCATAATATTGCTATTGCTACTATGTCTTATACTGGACATTTTAGTTATTACTTATTTTTGATTGGTTGATCAGTTCAGGGTCTTTCAAATAGACCCTGATCAGTTTGATTTTTTTTTTTTTTTTACTTTTTTTTTTTTTTTTTTTTTTTTTTGAAATTGTAATTTTTCAAAAATCCATATTTTACAATGCTCAAAATTTCTTATACATAAAAATTAGAGATTTGGATAGCTCTGTTATATTAGGTAATCAAAGTACGGATAATTATTTATTATCCGTATTCTAAACATTAAAATTTGCTCATCGTCATAGAACGTTTGCCATAAAGCGTCTGTAGATGAAATGTAAACCGAAAGTAGACTAATTGTCTCAAATATCGAGGACCTCAAATATCAGTAACTGTTACTTTATCTGTTTATTGCATTCAGGAAGTTTAATTTCATTGGTGGAAATAGCAGCTCTGCTTGATATAAATGATTAAATTACGTACTGTGACACAAATCTTTCGCAGGACGTCAAAAATGGCTGGATACAATGTAAGACTTCATATTTTTCATGTTTTTCACAGGAGCTTGAAATTCTATCAATAATTGCCCTAAAGTCAAATTCCCAAAAAAAATCCATACTCTATATAGCTTGAAATTCTATCAATAATTGCCCTAAAGTCAAATTCCCAAAAAAAATCCATACCCTATATATTATATATAGGGCACAGGGGGAAGACGCTGTGATCTGACATTATCCCGGCCCCCCTCCCCCCGAAGGCCCTGCTACAACCCATAAAAAATATCAATGCAAGTTGATTTGCACAATAAAAATTCATAAAAACAATATTCTGACACGTTTCGACGATTTTCATTATACCCCTATACTATATATTATAACATATAGTATAGGGGTAAAATGAAAATCGTCGAAACGTGTCAGAATATTGTTTTTATGAATTTTTATTGTGCAAATCAACTTGCATTGATATTTTTTATGGGTTGTAGCAGGGCCTTCGGGGGGAGGGGGCCCGGGATAATGTCAGATCACAGCGTCTTCCCCCTGTGATATAGGGTATGGATTTTTTTTGGGAATTTGACTTTAGGGCAATTATTGATAAAATTTCAAGCTCCTGTGTGTTTTTCTAGAATAATTATATATAGAATCTATATACTTTATAGTCTAGTCAAAATATATTGACGTGCCAAAGCTTGATTCTGAGATATTTTCGTTCTGGTGCAGAATCTCGCTTTAAGAGGCGAGATATTGCCCAGACACGAAAATAGCACAATATCTCGTCGCGCAGTAGTCAATTAGTTGGACTACTTTTTAGTCATGATGAACTCATTCTTGTCTCATCATATAATTTCTATCTTTTTACTTTACTGGAGTTGAGGTCGCAAGACATCATTTTATACCTGAGTTAGTGATTAACACTGATTAACTGTAAACTGAACTAGTTTAAACATATTTTATTGCATCACGGATTTATATTACAATATATTGTAATATAAATCCGTGATTGCATTAAATACATGTTTACAAACATATCATACAAATAATGAGTACATATCAAAATGCAAATGGGTTGGGCAACAAGTTCTTACAACATTAGATTAAGCAAATTGCCAATTCAGTCTCATTTGGTTTTCAGGGGACATCATGATTTTTTTGTAAATTCTGCCTTTTCCTATCAACATGACATTGCTTTGAGTCAGAGATTCATACATTCTTGGCAAAACATATTGCTTACCTCTAACAATATATACTAGGAACACAGAAGTTCATAACATTGCAATTGATGTAGCTGTACATCACCACAAAATACAATTAGTCAAATGGAGTGTTTCAGTCCATTGATAGTCTTAGGATTATACGAATTTTGAAAAGGTTTCAGACAGATTACAAGTTCATCAACATTGTTATTTAATACATAAGATATCTTCATCTGATTTAAAGCGTGAGTTAATGTTTCAAACTTGCACACAAATTAACACATTTGAATTCTCTAGATAACTGAGTCAAAGAGTCAATTCCATGTAGAGAGCAGTTGTAACAGATTGGAAGTGTAGTAATTATGTAATTTTATATGCAAAATCTAAATATCATATTACTTTTTAACAAACACGCTCTTCAGACAGTCATACATGTATTTTTTATGATAGACATATTCTAGCTGAGTTACTGTACAGTAACTCAGAATCTAGAAACTGTTTGGGTCATTAATGCATTCAGCCATTTTGGTTTTTGAAAAAAGAACATCAAGGAATGAATTAGGACTTGTGTTCAGATTTGTAAAAGAGAAGAGACAAAATCCTGTCCTTTGTACAGTGTGGTAATTAAACTTTTGACGATTGGCTCATATTACCTCATATGCCTAAAAAATAACAACAACACAGTACTGCATTTAAATGTATCACTATACCAAAATGTAATTAACATTCTGCCAGTCCATTTTTAAACTATTTTGAAAAATAGGATCTTTCAATAACTGTAAGGAATGGTTTTTTTTTTAAATAAAACTGAGTGTGTGTGTGTACTATATAGTATAGAAAAACAAAATATTTATTGTATGTAGAACAAAAAAAAAATAAGTTTAAACATAATTATTACATATTTCATTGAAATATCACATTAGTATTATAAAAGAAGGCTATCCCCAAAGATGTTTTATTTATACACTATATAGTCATATTAGAGTAACACTGGGTCCGTGCCCGAACTTTATTAAGAAATTATCTATAAAGCTTAGACTCAGATCACAACTAATTAATTGATTAAAAACTGATACAGAATGAACACTGATTGAATATCCTTAGATTTGAGACAGTGTTCAGCAAAAAAAAAATTAATTACCTGAGACCTGGTTTTTCCATCTTGTATTTAAAATGGATGTTTGTTTATTGAATGCACATAACTATGTACATAATGAATATAAAATGTTATAATTAGTTTATATAAAATAAATACTTTTGAGAATAAAATAGGTTTGTAGTCAAGTGAGTACTATGATAATTTAATTGTTGGGCATATTATGTATGTACCTTGAAAAATAGCCAAATCTTCCAATCAGGAAGTTTCAATTTGTTGAAATTTGATTCCTCCCTGTCTTAAAAATATATGATTTTAATCTTTCATTGGATCTTATAAATACAAAATTAGTTGGGTTTTTTGGGGTTTTTTTTTTAAAGCAGCATACCTCAAGAATGATTCATGCCAATGTTCATGAAAATTTTGAAAGCAAGTGAGCAAAAAGAAGTTTCAAGGGGTACTTAATTACACAATCAAAGTAAATAACCAAAAAAAAGTCAAAATATGCAAAAACAGCGCTTACTTGAATCTATTATGTTTTCTTAAAATCTTAATAAATTTTTATCCAGTGTAATTTTCTTGAAATAGTTTCGCTAATCTGGAGGCATTTCTGGGGTGTAATAGGCCTTTAAGATATTTATCAAGGTAAAATATATGTGTAACAGTGATAAGCACATATTTACAAAATCATTTTATGAAATTGATATCATATACATAAATTTAGTGTTTTAAATTATTTTTTGTCCAATAGGATTGTAGTATTTCAAATGAATCGTAACCCGATGCCCGACCAATTTAATTTTGTAAATACGTGCTTATAAACTTAAACCTATACTTAATAATTATAGGTTATGATTATTGCTGTTGCTTTAGATAAAAATTAAATCAATATTATTCTCAGATAAATTTTCTGAACCTTCATTTTAACTGGTTCATTTTGTGCCAAATTCCCTTCTGATTCCACCTATAAATATTTTCGCATCATTGGTTAAATATTTGTGCATGTTATTAATGTTTAATTGGTCATTAGTTTATATTTTATTATGTTCAGAATAATTTGTCTTTTTAGCTCACCTGTCACAAAGTGACAGGGTGAGCTTTTGTGATCGCTTTTCGTCCGGCGTCTGTCCGTCGTCCGTCCGTCCGTAAACTTTTGCTTTAAATGACATCTCCTCATAAACCACTGAGCCAATTTCATCCAAACTTCAGAGGAATGTTCCTTTGGTGGTCACCTTTAAAAATTGTTCAAAGAATTTAATTCCATGCAGAACTCTGGTTGCCATGGCAACCAAAAGAAAAAACTTTAAATATCTTCTTTTAAAAAACCATAAGAGCTAGAGCTTAGATATTTGGCATGAAACATCTTCTAGTGAGTGTCTACCAAGTTTGTTCAAATAAAAGCCCTGGGGTCAAAATTGGCCCCGCCCCTGGGGGGTCATTGATTTTCCCTAAATACATATAGTAAAAACTTAAAAAAATCTTCTTTTAAAGAACCCAAAGAGCTAGAGCTTAGATATTTGGCATGAAACATCTTCTAGTGAATGTCTACCAAGTTTGTTCAAATAAAAGCCCTGGGGTCAAAATTGGCCCCGAACCTAGGGGGTCATTGATTTTCCCTATATGCATATAGTAAAAACTTAAAAAATCTTCTTTTAAAGAAACCCAAAGAGCTAGAGCTAAGATATTAAGCATGAAACATCTTCTAGTGAGTGTCTACCAAGTTTGTTCAAATTTAAAGCCCTGGGGGTCAAAAATTGGCCCCGCCCCGGGGGTCATTGATTTTCCCTATATGCATATATTAAAAACTTAAAAAATCTTCTTTTAAAGAACCATAAGAGCTAGAGCTTAGATATTTGGCATGAAACATCTTCTAGTGAATGTCTACCAAGTTTGTTCAAATAAAAGCCCTGGGGTCAAAATTAACCCCGCCCCAGGGGGTCATAGATTTTCCCTATATGCATATATTAAAAACTTAAAAAATTTTCTTTTAAAGAACCCAAAGAGCTAGAGCTAAGATATTAAGCATGAAACATCTTCTAGTGAGTGTCTACCAAGTTTGTTCAAATTAAAGCCCTGGGGTCAATATTGGCCCCGCCCCGGGGATCAGTGATTTTCCCTATATGCATATGGTAAAAACTCAAAAAATCTTCTTTTAAAGAACCATAAGAGCTAGAGCTTAGATATTTGGCATGAAACATCTTCTAGTGAATATCTACCAAGTTTGTTCAAATAAAAGCCCTGGGTTCAAAATTGACCCTGCCCCAGGGGGTCATAGATTTTCCCTATATGCATATAGTAAAAACTTAAAAATTTCTTTTAAAGAACCCAAAGAGCTAGAGCTAAGATATTTAGCATGAAACATCTTCTAATGAGTGTCTACCAAGTTTGTTCAAATAAAAGCTCTGGGGTCAAAATTGGCCCAGCCCCAGGGGGTCATTGATTTTCCCTATATGCATATAGTAAAAACTTAAAAAATTTCTTTTAAAGAACTCAAAGAGCTAGAGCTAAAAATATTAAGCATGAAACATGTTCTAATGGGTGTCTTACCAAGTATGTTCAAATAAAAGCCCTGGGGTCAAAACTGGCCCCGCCCGGGGGGGAGGGGGTGTCATTGATTTTCCTTATATGTGTATAGCAAAAACTTAAAAATCTTCTTTGGAAAAACCCAAATAGCTAGAGTTTAGATATTAAGCATGAAACATCTCCTAGTAAATATCTACAAAGTTTGTTAAAATAAACGCCCGGGGTTCAAAACTGGCCCTGCCCCAGGGGTGACATTGTTTTAAACTATATGTGTATAGTAAAAACTTTAAAAATCTTCTTTTAAAAAAGCCAATGAGCTAGAACTTAGATGTTTAGCATGAAACATCTTCTTATGGGTGTGTACCAAGTCTGTTCAAATAAACAAATAAAAGCCCTTGGGTAAAAATTGGCCCGGGGGTGGGGGCCTATATACAGGTGAGCGACCTCAGGGCCATCATGGCCCTCTTGTTTTGCAAAATGTTTAGAATCATGGGTCTATTGTTTTCATAATAATACATGTACATTGTATTTATAATCATGGGTCTATCTTTGCCTAATTTTAAAATCATGGGTCTACATATTGTTTGTTTTTTTTTGCATAATATTTAGAATCATGTGTATATTTTTTGTAATGTTTAAAATCATTGTTTAAGTTTTTTGTAATGTTTAGATTCATGGGTTTACATAATGTTAGGAATTATGGGTTTATTTTTACATTACCGATATGTTTAGAATCATGGGCATATTTTTACATCATGTACAGAATCATGGGTTTATTTAATTTTGACATTATGTTTAGAATCATTGGTTTATTTTGACATTATGTTTAGAATCATGGGTTTATTTTGACATTATGTTTAGAATCATAGGTTTATTTTTGTTTAATGTCAAGAATAATTAATTCAAAGTAGTAGAAGTGTTATATTTAAAGCACAAAACTTATCATAACATTGTTTCTATGTTATATTACAATATTAAATTAATACCAGTTGGTATTACTGATAATATTACAAGGTATTTCATAAAACTTTGAAACTATTTATAGATCTACATCAAATTAAAAAAAATACAACAAAAAACAAAAAACCTAATACCTCAACATCACATACTTTTAATAAAATTTATCTTTACATATTATTTTCTCTTGCATACATGTGTATGAAAGCTACCACATATTACATGTTTCTTACCCTACGAAACATTCTGCTTCTAGTTTGTTCCTTTTACCATAGCAATAGTAGTTTCATAATGCATTGTAAATTTCATTTATTCAGCATTTAAGTCAAATTACGTGATTTAAACTTTTGATATTTCAGGCTCATAAATTCCTTTTATCTTCATTTTATAATGAAACATCAAAAACAAGTCGAGCTTGATGCAATAAAAGTGAATAATTCATCTTAACAACTGTTCTGAGCAGACTATTGTAGAGCTTTTAATTAAAATCTTTGCTTTGGAACTGCCATTGTGATTCTGTTACAATGTGTGAAATTTCAGGAACAAAAAATGCCGAGTTCTGATATGACAGCATTCCGTGACAAGTTTGACAAGGCAAAACATATAGTAGTGCTGACTGGAGCTGGTGTGAGTGCAGAAAGTGGAGTACCAACATTCAGAGGTGCCGGAGGATTTTGGAGGACATGGCAGGCTCAGGTATAGAGGCTGTGCCATACAGGATATTAAACGAGCTGCGTCACGACAAAACCAACATAGTGCGTTTGCCACCAGCATGGGTCCAGACTAGCCTGCGCATCTGCGCAGTCTGATCAGGATCCATGCTGTTCGCTTACAAACCCTATAACAAGTAGAGAAACTGATAGCCAAACAGCATGGATCCTGATCAGACTGCGCTGATGTGCAGGCTGGTCTGGATCCATGCTGGTCGCAAACCCATTATGTTGGTTTTGTCATGGCGCGGCTCAAATGAGTTAAGATTCAATACTGAATTTATTGAACGAGTTGAATAAAATTATATTATGCAAGCTCTGACAAGCATTATATTATTTTATTCAATGAGTTCAATAAATTAATTAATGAATCTACATGAATATAATATTCTATTTATCACATAACCAACATAAGAACTCTTTACCTCTTTACAGTGAAAGTAAACCTTTTTCATTCTTGACATGCCTTAATAGTGCAAATGACGTCACATCAATTTATTCCATGCTTTCCAGTATAATACTGTAATATATCAGATGATTATATTGTGATAAACCACTAGTGAAATTTATAAAATATAATCACTGTAGCCTGATCTACTAATTTTCACTGTAGCCGGACTAGATCTCAGTGCAGATGAAAAGAATATCATAACTAAATAGATTGACAGGCAAAAATAAATGCCATCATACGTAAATTTTGCTTCTTTAGGAAAAGAAAGTTGATGTCATCATATATCATGTTAAAAATGTAACAAAATTAGAGAAATTTAACAGAACTATATTTCAAAATTGATGATGTGATGATGTCATAAAGGAGAATGCGCAATGTTACACGGCAAAATTCAGTAAAAAATTCTTAAAATCACCTAAAAAGCATGAAATAAAAAGAAAATTTATTTGTTTTACATGTAAGATTTAAATATATTTCATTTGTGAACACCAACTATTCTATTTTCACTCTTGGCAACAATCTGCCTCTGGTGTTCACTCAGTGAAATATATTTCAATTTTACATGCAAAACAAACAAATAGCCTCTTTATATATGCAGGGCAGTGCCAGTTTTACATAGTAACAAAAGGGGCATGGGTATCACTATGTGATAAAAGGACATTGCATTCTATATATATTTTGAAGACAAGATGTCATGATATTGCATTATATATTTTTTAACATTTATATCATTTATAATCATGGCCTGAATAGTGGTCAGTGCTCTACATAAAGTTAAAGTAATGACAAAACCAACATAATGGGTTTGCGACCAGCATGGATCCAGACCAGCCTGCGCATCCACGCAGTCCGTTTAGGATCCATGCTGTTCGCTTACAAACCCTATTACAAGTAGAGAAACTGATAGCGAACAGCATGGATCCTGATCAGACTGTGTGGAGGCGCAGGCTGGTCTGGATCCATGCTGGTCGCAAACCCATCCATGCTGGTCGCAAAGCTCATTTGTATTTCAATAGCATTTTGGGAAAGAAAAAAAAACATGTTGAAAGTAATGTATCAAGTATTGATTAGATTTTTCTTTGTTGCTTGTCATTAACTCTTAAATTCTTTTTATTTGTTAGCAACTTGCAACTCCAGAGGCATTTGAATCCAATCCATCATTGGTGTGGGAATTCTATCATTACAGACGTGAGGTCATGGGCTCAAAACAACCAAATAAGGTACCAAGTTTTGTCTTATATCTATAACAAAACTCTACAGCTATCAAGAGAGCTTCTTATACATGTAATTGCTGGGTCTTCTAGCTGTTTGTGTTTATTTAGGTTCAGCAGTTTTCATGAAATTGTCTAATTTTTGTTCAGTAAAATAAGATGTTGTTTATTTGTAGAAATTATTTACAGTTAAAAGTTTAAATTTATAATTCCTTTTGGGTCAAAATGTCAGATTCTATGTGTTTATTGTTCAATTTGGCCAACATCATTGCTACATGTATTAGCATAAACATACATTGTATTTGTCTATTCCCCGTATAAAGCAAAGTCATTGAGGTATATTGACAGCAGTTTCAAGTTTGCTTCTCAATGTAACTAAAAAGGCCTTGTATGAGATTCCATTTATAAAACCATATTAAGACTTAAACCTCCAGTCACAGAGTAGAGAGACAGACACGTTAGCTTCCTTTTAACACAGTTTTTACCTCATTTCAGTGCAAGATGCATGTATGAAAATTCCTGTGCTTAATGCCAGTACTGAGTTAGACTAGGCTGAAGATTTGCACAGTCTGACAGTACTGTACTAAGTGTTAACTGCTTAATTATATAATAATGATTTAGATATTTCAGTCCCTAAATTTCAAATTAGGGCAGTTTCATTTAAACATATTTTGCATGGTTTGGATTAAAACACATGTGCAATCAGCAATTATTTTAATTATTTCTGGTATTTCAGGCCCATATTGCTATAGCTGAATGTGAGAAGAGGTTAAAAGGTCAAGGACGTAGGGTGGTGATTGTGACACAAAATATTGATGAACTTCATAAGCGAGCTGGCTCGGAAAATATCATAGAATTGCATGGTAATATTTTTTTAAAGCTTTCATTTTCTCCTTGTTATTTAAAGCAGCATGCCTTCAGGTCCATATTAATTTTTATGAAAATTTTGAAAATGTATTTAAATTAAAAAATTGTGAAATGAACACATTGCAACTGCAATCCATGAAAATTACCAAAAAGTGGTCAAAATATGCATAAATAGTCTTTACTGCATTAGTTACGCTGAAGAAATATGGTGATAAATACTGCAAAATCAGTCTTTAATCACACATAACATGTGAATTATAACTGGAATCTTTAATATTTTTACTTGTCTTAACATTTTATAACAGTTTTCTCAAGATGGATTTTCTTGAAATATTTTGGCTCATCTGAAGGCATGCAGCTTTAAAGGTAATTTTTAACCAATTAAAATTTAGAGGCACTTATAACAGACTTTAGCCACCAGAGTGAAAATGTTGCTTCACAACAAGAGCGCTTGGCTAGCCTGCACAGTCATGAACATGCTTTACAAAAAATTACACCTGTAACCTTTTATCTCATTATTATGCCCCCGCCATGTAATGGCCGGGGCATATAGTGTTACCCTGTTCCGTCCTTCCGTCCTTCCGTCTTTCCGTCATTCTGTCATTCCGTCATCATCAGTTTCCGTTCATTATCTAAGTAACGGTTGTACATATTCAACTCAAATTTGACATATGGATATGTCATGAGAAAATACAGGTCAAGTTCGAATTTGGTCATGGTTCGACGATTTTTGGCAGAGTTATGCCCCTTTTACTTTGAAAATAATATGAAATTTTCAGTTTCCGTTCATTATCTCCCCAACGGTACAACACATTCAACTCAAATTTGACATATGGATATGTTATGAAAAAATACAGGTCAAGTTCGAATTTGGTCATGGTTCGATGATTTTTGGCAGAGTTATGCCCCTTTTACTTTGAAAATAATTTGAAATTTTCAGTTTACGTTCATTATCTCCCCAACGGTACAACACATTCAACTCAAATTTGACATATGGATATGTCATGAGAAAATACAGGTCAAGTTCGAATTTGGTCATGGTTCAATGATTTTTGGCAGAGTTATGCCCCTTTTACTTTGAAAATAATATGAAATTTTCAGTTTCTGTTCATTATCTCCCCAACGGTACAACACATTCAACTCAAATTTGACATATGGATATGTCATGAGAAAATACAGGTCAAGTTCGAATTTGGTCATGGTTCGACGATTTTTGGCAGAGTTATGTCCCTTTTACTTTGAAAATAATATGAAATTCACAGTTTCTGTTCATTATCTACCCAACAGTGTTACATATTCAACTCAAATTTGACATATGGATATGTCAAAGGAATGGTCAGGTCAAGTTGGAATTTGGTCATGGTTCGATGATTTTTTGGCAGAGTTATGTCCCTTTCACTTTGAAAATAATATAGATACATCTTAGGAATAAGCAGTTTAAGTTTGAATTTGGTCGTGGTTCAATGATTTTGGACAAACTTATCTTTCTTGAATATTGGAAAAATTTTGAACTTTCAGTTTCAGCACTCATACACAAAAGTGGAAATGTATGTAGCCATTATTTTGGCTACAAATATGAAATTTGCTATTTTCAAAAGGTAAAGACTGAATAATTTCAGTGCCTTGAACATTTTATGAAAATGGATTGTGTTAACATTGAAAAGTTTTAAGGGCTTTGAACTTAAAATGAAAACAATAATTTGTGCAAACAAATTTGGAACTAAATATTATAACATCTGAAATTTTGGCTGCATGCGGGGGCATCCGTGGCATGATGACACATTTCTAGTCTTTTATATATATTGAAAACCATTGAATTTCTTGTGGACAGTTCCAAATTCAAAGGAAATATGAAAGAAATAGAGGATATTGAATGAGTGTGGGTTCAATAGAGTTGAATGCGAACCTCAGGCGAGCATAATATTGTTTTATTCAAAGAGTTCAATAAATTTAGTATTAATTGAATCTTCACGAATATGATATTCTATTTATCACATACCAAAAATATAACTGTTGACAGTGAAAAGGGTTCACTTTTTTCATTGACAGGCCTACAGTGTAACACTAACATTTAGTGCATCTTTACACAATGCTGGTATAATGAAAATGATGTCATGTCAATGCACAACTGTCCAATACCATTTTTACGGAGTCGCAATATCGGCATGGGTGTGTGTTGATTTAATATATTTTATCTTCATAAGGTTACTGTTTTACTGTTGTATTTTTTTTTAAAGGTAATTTATTCACAACTAGATGTACAAAGTGTGGAGATATAGCCAAGAATTATGACAGTCCAATTTGTGAGGCATTACGAGATAAAGGGTGAGAAATTTGCTGTAATCATTATATCATGCTGATATTGATAAGATGACACTACATTTTTAATCTGGTCTCCTAGTGAAACCTTGAAAGCCTACGATAAAAAAAATTAATTTGAAAAGATACTTTTATATCTTATCTTTCCTTGAAAAGAACAAATCTTCAAATGACTTTAAATTTTCACTAACACATCTGTATTTTTGTTCACACTGTTATAGCAAGCAAGTAATATTTTCAGTCATCTATTCCTTCCTATTACTTCCCCAATAAAAATGGTTTTATTTTAATATATTGGGGCCATAACAGAAACCTCTATATTAGTTTAGGCATACTTGAAGACATACTTTGAGTATATGACTAATGATAAAACGATTTTATGTGAGTGCATGGAAAAGTTAAGTGTTGACCTTTCTTTATAATTTGGATTAATAAAACTGTTTATTTAGTATCTTAATGACATGCTATAAACAACTTTGAAATGTGTTGAAACACTGTGTACACTTCCTTATTCATGTTGAATGAAACTCTATAATTCACATTGACTAAACAAACCATTTTATTGTCAGTATACTAGTATTACATGTCAAAACTATGCAGAAAAAGTGATAGTTAACTCCAGGTGCTTAACCTTGTAAATGAATCTCAGTCCAACATCAGATAATTGTATGAACAAGATATCCCAAACTTATTCATGCATTGAAGATTTGCATACCTTTCTGGTATTAATTTCTTGAAGGCTAAAATTTTATTTGAGCTAAGATGAAATTGTTTTAATATGAATTTTTAGCTCGACTATTCGATAAGAATAAGAAGAGCTATTGCAGTCACCCGAGCGTCGGCGTCGGCGTAACCACTTATGTTAAAGTTTTTGTAATAGTTCAAATATTTTCAAAGTCCATTGACATATGGCTTTGAAACTTTGCACACTTGTTCACCATCATGACCCCAACCTGTAGACAGGAGGAGGTAACTCTATCAAGCATTTTGACAGAATTATGCCCCTTTTTCGACTTAGAATTTACGTTAAAGTTTTTGTAATAGTTCAAATATTTTCAAAGTCCATAGACATATGGCTTTGAAACTTTGCACACTTGTTCACCATCATGACCCCAACCTGTAGACAGGAGGAGGTAACTCTATCAAGCATTTTGACAGAATTATGCCCCTTTTTCGACTTAGAATTTACGTTAAAGTTTTTGTAATAGTTCAAATATTTTCAAAGTACATTGACATATGGCTTTGAAACTTTGCACACTTGTTCACCATCATGACCCCAACCTGTAGACAGGAGGAGGTAACTCTATCAAGCATTTTGACAGAATTATGCCCCTTTTTCGACTTAGAATTTACGTTAAAGTTTTTGTAATAGTTCAAATATTTTCAAAGTCCATAGACATATGGCTTTGAAACTTTGCACACTTGTTCACCATCATGACCCCAACCTGTAGACAGGAGGAGGTAACTCTATCAAGCATTTTGACAGAATTATGCCCCTTTTTCGACTTAGAATTTACGTTAAAGTTTTTGTAATAGTTCAAATATTTTCAAAGTCCATTGACATATGGCTTTGAAACTTTGCACACTTGTTCACCATCATGACCCCAACCTGTAAACAGGAGGAGGTAACTGTATCAAGCATTTTTTTTTACTATCAAGCACTAAGAATAGTCGAGCGTTGCTGTCCTACCGACAGCTCTTGTTTGAATACTAAAATTTTATTTGAGCTAAGATGAAGTTGTTTTAATATTAATTTTTTGAATACTAAAATTTTATTTGAGCTGAGATGTAGTTGATTTTATTGGTTATAATTTGATAGAATTATCGTGTTGATGTCTTTATTGGTTTTCTTTTGTTTTAATTCTCCGTCAATTCAGCATAATTGTTTTCAGTTATGCCAATAATTTAATGATAAGATTATAGTTTGTGAAACTATTGATACAGAATTAATCGAATACAGTTGAACCCTGAGATATTGAATCTTTGACACCATTATACCCTATGAAAGAATTATATATGAAAGTTGTTTACAAGTGTGAGATACATGAATTAATATTACATATATTCATATAGCAGATAATGAATTGTTCTAGAACAAACATTTTTATTTATCATATTTAAATGTTCAAACTGAATCATATATAGAACTTTATCAATAATTTTTTTCAAGCAATATTTAATTTTTATAAGAATATTCATTTTCATATGATACTTTACAAATATGTACTTTTTTATCTAATGAATAATTATGATGTGATATCATCATAATTATGTACTAAAAAAAAAATATTGACCAAGGTCAATATTAATTTTTCAGTACATATCACATCATATTTACCAGCTAAAAAGTACATATCCGTTTTATTATGTAATTCATAAATAGCTTTGATATGGCTTATCAAACCTGCCATTGAAATATGACGGAAATTGACATTTCTTCAGCTCATTTATTTTTTTTTTTTTTTCGTTATCATTATTAAACCCAATATTTCAGAAAGGCACATGGGAAAGCTAAATTCATAATTGTTTTAAAATGTAAAGATAGGAACTAAAATAGACTAATTTGACATTTATTTGTGAGTTGTCTAACAATTCTCGGAATAATAACAATTAATTTGGCGTGACGTCACATCATACGGTTACCCTTACGTCTTTCCAGACAGGGGGGAAGGGTCGGGGCATTGGATATACTCTGTAAAACTATTTTTAAAGGAAAAAAACAGTGAAAATAATCTGATATTGACCTGTTAGTTTTATGAAAAAAATAAGTTACTTCTTGGCCAATCAGAAAACGCATTTCAAAGCTATTTATAGATCATATAATAGACTTCTATATTTTTCAATAATATTAAATTCCAAATTTTGGAAAACTTATGGAAAATATGCCCCTTGAAGACCCAATCACTTTAAGGTAATTAAATACGAAACTACATGTAACATTATTATAACACATGGTCACAATTGCAGAGCGCCAGATGAATTTGCTGAAGATGCCAGAATAAAAGAAGAAGATCTTCCAAGGTAACACATTATCATGATCAGCAGCATATAAAGTGTATACATGTAGTATTACATCTCCTGTATGAAAAAATTACCTGAGCAATTTTGGTAGATGGTAAATATGCATTTCAAGTATCAAGGAAGTGTCATTTTATCCAAGTTTTTGCCGAAAAAATTTAAAGGAACTCCACAGAGGTCTAAAAGTTAAAAATAAATAATCAAAGATAAACTAGGTCACTTAAAACAGAAATATATTTGCAAAAGATAATGATGATATTTTCTCAAAAATAAAATGAAAAACCTATTTTTGTGCTATTCTTAGCCCATTTTGAGTGAAAACAATGCTTTCACATGAAATAATTATGCTAGAAAAATTGTGAAAGCAAATGATCCGAATTTTTGCACAGAATGTCTAGACTTACATCAAATGGAACATTTATCTAAAAAAAATTCCCAGTCAAAAAACCTCAAGGGAGTCCCTTTAACAGATTACTTACATGTACATGTATATGCTTCATGTAAAAATGAATAATCATAATAGTAGAAGAATTTATTTATTTATTTATTTAAAAATAGACTTAAAGATCTGATTGGAAACAATATACAGTATATAATATTAGTCATCAAGAAAATGTGCAACTGTCTGGTTAGGTCAATAGGTAGAGTGTTGGACTATGAATCTAGCGACCCAGATGTTGCAGGTCACTTTCATTGTGGTTATATCAAGAATACTTTGTAGGGTCATTCACACTGTACCTCTGCTCTGGTATGTACAGAAGTTACACAGTTCATTGTGCAAGTAGGGCAACTTAGTACTGGTAAACTGCTTGACAGTGACTGCCCAGGAACATTGCAGTAGTTAAATTGTGCTATTGTAAATTTAATGTGACTTACTGCTGTGATCAGAAGGATAAACTACCAACACAACCACCACCACCACCAAAAAAATGTGTCTGTTATACAGATGGCTACTAACATTACACAGTCAATGAAATGCAGCTTTAAAGTTTTCCAGACCTAAAATTGAGCTAGTTCTAAATAATGTATTCCATGGATTTGAAGCTTATTTTTTATGTTGGTCAAATCTATTATATATTTGCTTTGTCTGACAAAACTGAAAAAAATAAAAATGTACAGCTGTCATCAGTAGAAACAATATTGTTGATACATGTATTTTTGTCAATCAATTTCAAAAAATCAATAATTTTGACTACTGTAATTAATTGAATGACTAGAAGTTATGAAAAATTCACCAGATCCATGTCTTAGACATTATGCTGTTGTCAATATTGCATCATGACCAAAAAAAAAGAATGGTCTGGAAAAAAAATTCTTACAAGACAGACAAGTTAATTATAGGTTATAGTCTGATTTTATTGACCTGTCAATTATGAATACATTACAGGACTCATTTAAATATTCGATCCCACTTCGGTTTGGTCTGTGTTGTTTACGAGAATTAATGTGGAGAATATTAGTCATGAATTGTTAGTCACGCAAGATTAATGTTAAGGTTTTCGTTAATTCACAATAGGAAAGTCGGTAAAGAGAATGCCTGATAATTGAGAGGTCTGTGGTTCGATCCTTACTGTTGCCATATTTTTAGTACTCTTTCTTTATTTTTGCAGCATATTTTTATGGAACAGATATGTAGTGTGTTTTACGGCATTGAAAAGACATTTATTGATTTTAATCCGTTTTAATTTTAAACATGAATTCTTAAAAACATGTTATTTAAAAAGAGTATATACATAACTAAATTAAGTAAAACATAATAAAAAACGAACAACATAAAATAATCATAATTATATAGATTCAATAATGTTGAAAGTATTAAGAAAAAAACATGGACCAACGCGGCCTCGAACTTTTAAAAAACACGTGTGGCGCATAGATTATAAACTCGTGATTTACCCTATTACGCTATAACGCTGACTACACTTATCTTAGAGATACAAATTAAATTAAATTCGATCGTACAGCGTACATCTCACGGAACTTACCGAACATCTACCGAAGATTAATATACTGTGTGCATCGTCCGTGTAATCAGTATGTAATTGACAGGTTAATAAAACCAAACAATATTATCGATATATTGGTGTAACGTTGATAAGCTTTGCACTGAAGCATTATAACAGCTCTATAAAAATGCCAAGTCTTTCAACGACTGACTGAAATTGAGCAACTGTCAGTACAAAGCCCGGTCATACTGCATGCAAGTCCATTCCAACTAGTATTGAAAATAATTATGGCAATAATCCCTTATTCTTCCTTCAGATGTAAAAAAGATTCCTGTGGTGGATTACTAAGACCCCATGTTGTATGGTTTGGGGAGGGATTATTCCCGGAGGTACTGACCGCTGCAGACAATGAACTTACAGCTTGTGATCTTTGTCTTGTGGTAAGAATACTGTGAAATCCTATATTTTTGTGTGTTGCTTAATTTTCGTACCTGAAAAGACTTAAATGTAGTCTTAAATAATTATCATAAACCCGTGGCACTTTCATGACTGTGTAAAAATGGTAATGAACGGCAGTGCATATGAGCTGTGTAATGACAAAACCAACATAGTGCGTTTGCGACCAGCATGGATCCAGACCAGCCTGCGCATCCACGCAGTCTGATCATGATACATGCTGTTCGCTATCAGTTTCTCGACTTGTTAAAAGGTTTAAAAGCGAACAGCACGGATCCTGATCAGACTGCGCAGATGCGCAGGCTGGTCTGGATGCATGCTGGTCGCAAACCCATTATTTTGGTTTTGTCATGACACGGTGCATATATTTTGATGTGAAGTCATACAAATATTCTGTTAAGAAGCACTAAATGTTTACGTTACACAGTGAGCGCATCGATGGACAAGATCCACCACAAAAGTTAACACATCAGAGGAAGATTATTACATGTGCATGCTTGTACCTACAAAACTTTTTAGCTCACCTGTCACAAAGTGACAGGGTGAGCTTTTGTGATCGCTTTTCGTCCGGCGTCCGTCATCCGTCCGGCATCCGTAAACTTTTACTTTAAATGACATCTCCTCATAAACCACTAGGCCAATTTCATCCAAACTTCACAGGAATGTTCCTTTGGTGGTCACCTTTAAAAATTGTTCAAAGAATTTAATTCCATGCAGAACTCTGGTTGCCATGGCAACCGAAAGAAAAAACTTTAAATATCTTCTTTTAAATAACCATAAAAGCTAGAGCTTAGATATTTGGCATGAAACATCTTCTAGTGAGTGTCTACCAAGTTTGTTCAAATAAAAGCCCTGGGGTCAAAATTGGCCCGGCCCCGGGGGGTCATTGATTTTCCTTATATGTGTATAGCAAAAACTTAAAATCTTCTTTGAAAAAACCCAAATAGCTAGAGTTTAGATATTAAGCATGTAACATCTTCTAGTAAGTGTCTACAAAGTTTGTTCAAATAAAAGCCCTAGGGTCAAAACTGGCCCCGCCCCAGGGGTATCATTGTTTTTAACTATATGTGTATAGTAAAAACTTAAAAAAATCTTCTTTTAAAAAGCCCAATGAGCTAGAGCTTAGATGTTTAGCATGAAACATCTTCTTATGGGTGTCTACCAAGTTTGTTCAAATAAAAGCCCTGGGGTCAAAATTGGCCCCGCCCCAGGGGGTCATTGATTTTCCCTATATGCATATAGTAAAAACTTAAAAAATCTTCTTTTAAAGAACTCAAAGAGCTAGAGCTAAGATATTTAGCATCAAACATGTTCTAATAGGTGTCTACCAAGTTTGTTCAAATAAAAGCCCTGGGGTCAAAATTGGCCCCGCCCCGGGGGTCATTGATTTTCCTTATATGTGTATAGTAAAAACTTAAAAAATCTTCTTTGAAAAAACCCAAATAGCTAGAGTTTAGATATTAAGCATGAAACATCTTCTAGTGAGTGTCTACAAAGTTTGTTCAAATAAAAGCCCTGGGGTCAAAATTGGCTCGCCCCAGGGGGTCATTGATTTTCCTTATATGTGTATAGCAAAAACTAAAATATCTTCTTTGAAAAAACCCAGATAGCTAGAGTTTAGATATTAAGCATGAAACTTCTTCTAGTGAGTGTCTACAAAGTTTGTTCAAATAAAAGCCCTGGGGTCAAAATTGGCTTGCCCCAGGGGGTCATTGATTTTCCTTATATGTGTATAGCAAAAACTAAAAAATCTTTGAAAAACCCAAATAGCTAGAGTTTAGATATTAAGCATGAAACTTCTTCTAGTAAGTGTCTTCAAAGTTTGTTCAAATAAAAGCCCTGGGGTCAAAACTGGTCCCGCCCCAGGGGTGTCATTGTATTTAACTATATGTGTATAGTAAAAACTTAAAAAAATCTTCTTTTAAAAAACCCAATGAGCTAGAGCTTAGATGTTCAGCATGAAACATCTTCTTATGGGTGTCTACCAAGTTTGTTCAAATAAAAGCCTTTGGATTAAAATTGGCCCTGCCAGGGGGATGGGGGTGGGAAGGTCATTGTTTTTCATTATATGTGTGTAGTAAAAACTTAACATCATGAAACATCTTCTAATGGGTGTCTTCCAAGTTTGTTCAAATAAAAGCCCTGGGGTTTAAACTGGCCCCGCTCCGGGGGCCTATATACAGGTGAGCGACCTCAGGGCCATCATGGCCCTCTTGTTTAAGACAATATAGTTTAAAATTATTACATCTTACACCATTGATATTTCATCCCAGATTCAAATTAGTGGCAGCATGGCCGAGTGATAAACTCTGTGAACTACTAGTCTAAGGATTGCTGGTCCTGTATAAAGTGTTCCTGTAAGCTTATAGCTTCCAACACAATCAAACTAAAATGAATTTTGTATAATCTAAATAATTCATGAGGTGAAGTTGACAGAGAAACAGATAATAACTGGTGCAGAATCAAGGATTGTATTTTTAAAGGGACTCCACTGAGGTTTTTTAACATGATGGGACTGAAAATATTTTTTTCCAGATAAATGAACCCTTTGATGTAGGTTTAGAACACTAATCTTTGTGCAAAAATTCAGATCATTCGCACACTTTGATTTTCCAGAATAATTATTCAAATTGTAAAAACATGAGCCAAAAAATGAAAAGCGTTTAAACGCTTTTCGCTCAAATCGGGCTAAGAAACGCATAAAAATACGATTTTCAATTTATTTCAAAGTAATTTTCTCAACTATCTTTGCATATATTTCTGTTTAAAGTGCACCAGCTCATTTATGTAAGAAATTCAAATGTTATGTTTTAGGCTTTTTAACCTCAGTGGAGTCCCTTTAAGGTGGTTGCAACTAGTAAAATTGGAACTAATTCTTATCCTGCAAAATTATTTGTTTGTAATGGTTTTTTTTCCCCTTTTCAATTCAGAACTGACCTTTTTTTAGTGTGAGGGATTCAAAAAATAATAAAAAAGAGCAAGTTACAGTACATTGATTGGTTTGACTGCATGAGTGAGAATGTTAACCTAGATATATATACTGATGTCATAAGCTTGTTGTAAATTCTATTTTTAGGTAGGAACATCATCTGTCGTGTATCCTGCAGCCATGTACGCCCCCATGGTTGCATCTAGAGGTGTGCCAGTGGCGGAATTTAACATTGAAGAAACTCCTGCTACAACAGGATTTGGGTAATAATTTATCTCTTTTTATGCATAATTTCAAAAAAGTTTTATTAAAAGTTATAAATTTCATTAAACTAGTATAAACAATTCTTAAAACCAAGGTCAAATCAAAGGCAATATTTGTGATTATGGTTTTCTATGTATATTTTTCAGATTTCACTTTCAAGGACCCTGTGGAAGCACCGTACCTGTGGCACTAGCGCCAACGGAGTCAGAATCCTCAACTAATTGATAATTTCATGCAGGATTGAAAAACAAATATAAGTTCTTAAAAGTGCTATAAAATACTGTGAAATTTATTTAGATTTTAATATTATTTTGATATTTCTTGTGCAAAATATATATACATGTGATTTCATATTGATTTATCACATTTCATGTACCAAGGGTTGACGCAAAACTGTTGTATCTTTCTTACTTGTACACACCCACCTCTTAGGTCATTCCTGATCATCTCAGCTATCAAATCTTTAATCGTAGTGCATTTATCTCATTGGATGTAATAGTAGGGTGCATCATCAATGACAAAGACACATCTTTGATGTAGAGATGCAATATGCACTTTTAAGCAAATATCAATAATTTGACCTGTATTATTGAGTTGTTTTGGTGTTTATTCCCAACTTCTTGTTGTTCTGATTAATATATTTCCAAATAGTAATAAATTATAATGATTCTTGTTAAGAAAGTTCTGACTTAGGAAATTTACAAGAATTGCCATAAGGCCAAATAAAAATAGAAATACATTAGAGATAGGAGTCTTTTTACATTATTTTGTAACTGTTAATATTCCCGGCCAATGTCTTTACCATATGATTTTTGTGATCTCTGTTGGTAAGAAAATTTCATGTAAGTGGTAAAGATTGTTGATTTCAAACCACTTGGCACATACTGTTGTAGGTTGGAACAGCACAAGAATAATCAGATTCTACTTGTGAGAAAGCTATCCAGCTAGCTTACCCAATGTTGGTGGTTCTACTCGGGTAGCTTGTTTGTGCCTGAAATAATGTACAAAGGGCACCTGAGGTCTTCCTCTACAAGTAAATCTGGAAAGTCGCCAATTTACCTATACTGTGTTGGTGCAAGTTAAAAAACCCAACCAAAAAAAATTGCATTAGTTGAAAAATTGATTGTTTATTTTTGTTTGTTTTTTTGTTTTGGGGGGGGGGGGGGGGGGGGGGTTCTCGTTAAGAGAAACTGTGAGCATTTCATCAGTGATAATTTTATTGAGGATAATAGAGGATGTTGATAATAAACATAGGATATATGTTACAGTATTATTTGGTAGACATTTTTATCTTTATCACAATTACTTTTATTGATACATGTACAGTCAAACTTGTGAACAAAGCCCATCTAAAGGGGAGTGTAAATATGGCATTTAAAGACGAGTGGTCCTTATTTGGAGGTAACTCCATCTAATAAATGGAGGTCACAGAAAAAATGCCATGTTTTACAGGGTGCTCTGTATATGGATGTGGTCTTTAAACACAGGTTTTACTGTATTTGCTAACTTTTGATATTGTTATATATTGGTAAAGGCTAGGGAATTTTTCTGTGATTTGATATAAACAGTTGTACATTGTTTTTCGACTTATTATATTGTATATATTCTTTGAATTATTAAACTGGAGAAAGAACAAAATTGTTTTAAGTCAAAGGTTAAATTTCTTAGTTTTACCATTGTTGTTTTGGTTCATTATTATATACTTGATTCATTTAAACCTTTAAAACTGTTGCCTTGGCCAAAACAAATTTTGACTCGGAAACAATTGACACATTACTTGTAATATATTCTTTTATTAGCATACATAGCTACAGTTAAGGCAGTTTTGTACAATTTGTTCATATATACATGTATATATATATTTGAACAGAAACACCAAGAAACATAGATACATGTAAATTATCACATGCATGAAGAAATTATCATTTTCTGTTACATACAGACACTTACATTCATCATCACACACAATCAAAATTAAATTTACACAATGAAAGAATCTAAGACAGAACTCCTAAGATACGCAAACATTCAAAATGACCATGAATATCACAGGATAGATAGAAATAATCAGAAAAAAAGCATTTAAAATACAATGTATATAACAAACAAGGGCTATCTGTTCAATGTTCATGCCCTCTTTGATGCACACTTAGCAGGTAACAATTTAAAGATATGCAATTATAATTGTGTCCCCTAAAATGGCTTTCCTCAACTGACAAAGTAACACCATTTTAAAGGTAAAAAATTCTATAACCTAAAAATTATAACATTGATCTAGTGAAGCACTTTCATGAAAAAAAAATCAAAGCGAAATAAAGAAATTTACTCTGAATTAAACAGAACATCAATTTTTTTATGTGATTTTTTAGCCCGATTTGACTGAAAAGCATTGCAAAACTTCATATTTGCGTCATTTTGCACAACAAAAATGATTGCAGGAAAATGGAAGGAGAGAACGATCGGAAATTTTGCACACATGTTATTGGTATAGACCTACATCAAATGGTAGACAAATCTCAGAGAAAGATTTCCAGTTCCCATCATGTCAAAAAACCTCAATCAAGTATGAACACTGCATGTGCAAAAGTTCCCTAATTTGCACGATGAAAACCATGACATCTTCTAAGTAAAACATGATTGAAAATATATCGATTTTAACATATATATGTAACATACAAAACTAATTATAATTTAAATGTTTTTTTGCTTTTCAAGATTCAAAGATATGTTAAACTTATCTTAATACATTCTGTGCATACATGCCCCCATGAACATCGTGGTTACCATTTAGAAAAATTAAATAGAATTATGATATTAGTGTAAAGCACCAAGACTTCATAGGTGTAAAATAAATCTTCCAAAAAAAGGCACATGTAAGAAAATAAATCTATAATTTTAGAAATGTATAAAAATTGAAACTTTAAATGTACACGTATTATGTAAAATATGCAAGAATTTACTCATTTCATCAACAACAGTATCTGGGTAAGAGAAAAATGCAAATTTTGTTCAATGTAATGTCCATGTATAGTAATTACCGTATTAGTCAGTGCCTCAAGCTACATTAATCACTTAAGTACACTTAATGCCATTTTGACTCATTAGATCAAATTTTAAATTTCTATTGCAATTCTCACAAATCTGAAGGTATGCAGCTTTAAATAATTACAAAATACAGTTGCTTCAAGGCAGACCAGTGAATCGTTACAATCTATACAGAAATACTGCCTTCCCTAAAATTTGTTTTTCCTATTAAAGCATTGACTAGTACACTGTCCCCATTTCTACTAAGTTTAATGGCCTCTTCCAGAACCTCTTTGATTTTATCATCTTTACTACGATCCAATCTGAGGCCCCTACCTCCATATCCTATGGCAACTGTCTCATAGTCAGTGAACTGAAAAAAAGAAAAAAAAATGTTGAATGTTATTTTGCATATATAATATATGCTAAACAAAACAAAATAGTTTGTGTTCCTTTCACAAAACATAGGTTCACTGAAGTTACCTCTAGTTAATTTTGATGGATTTTGTGTTTATTTTAACCTTTCAACACCAGCGCTGCAATTCTATCTTATTTTGTTACTTCTGCAAAAAAAAAACTGGGAAAATGCTCTTAAACCCAGAAACTCCAGAGACAGTATAAATGTTACATATACAAATACCATACTGTGAGTCGTAAAATGTACGCATCTTCTTACAAGTGAAAAGGATAACAGTATTTTTAAGTAATGCAATAGCAGATGATTATGAAATACTTCAGAATACTGTTTCAGTAGAAACTAGTTTTTGCCAACTGATTTGGAACAGGAAGTGGATGAAAATGAAATTAAACATTGTATCAATCAAATCCTCAAAAATAACATATACCATGTTAAGCACTGAAATTGACCAACCGCAAAATATCGTACTGATCTTAATTATACAGATGGTTTAACACAATGAATAGGATTTGAAACATGTAGTGCATTTATTAGATACAAAACAATGTACTCACAGCTAACTGACAAGCCACATTACTTCCAAACATTGGCACTTGTTCCCTTGATATCTGTGTCCAACCAGCATCATTACCTACCAGGGCAATCACCGGGGTCTGTAATCAAAAAGAAAATTTTACTTTTTCGTTTACTTTGTTGATACCTTAATAGTTACAATTTTACCATTAACCTGCTAAATTTCTTGAATTAATTTGTAGAGCTTCCACTGTTGAAATTTGTCCATTAACAATTCAGGGATGAAAAATTTGAAAGTTGGTCAGCCAACAGTACAGAGTCTGGTCTGACCAAATGATGTGCAAGCAAATCTTACTCTGTACTTGCAGGAAAAGCTGATCACTTTTGGTACAGTGAAATCATTGGAAAATCATCAAAGAAAGGATCTACCCAAAAGAAAAATCTTCTTCACGCATTATCACTGCTTGACTCAATGTCTCCTTGCTGGTCTTAGGTAGTCTCTGATAACAAGAAATTACTTGATTTGGTGCTGCTAACTCAAATCATATGACACATTACATATTCTCTTGACATTTCATTTTTGTTGTATTCTAATTCACATTGTAAAATGTCACTGTAAATGTCATGTGGCAACTTTTCAGCTTTACTGATGGAGGAAGGCCTCAGGTGACCCTTTGTGCGTTATTTCAGGCACAAGCAGGCAACAGTAGAGAACAATCTGTCAGCTAGATGGATATTTTCCTCACATAAAAGAGTCCGAGGTCCTTGACTGGATTCAAACCAACGGTAGTAAGGGGCTAAAACTTTGAAGTTAACCACTCCACCACGGAGGTCTTCTTCCCTATGATCATTGCTAGAGATGGTTGTCATGCACAAAATCATGCACAAAACTTTCAATACTAAAATATGTTGTTTTGTTTATTTACAAGGGACCAATTACCTTATGTCTTGTGAAGGTATCAAACTCTGCCACACTGTAACCAAGTGACCCATCACCATAAATAATCCAAACATCACTTTCTGGCCTGCAAAGTTTCGCTCCCAATGCAAACCCACCACCTACACCTAGTGTGCCAAATGCTCCAGGATCCAGCCATCTCAGAGGTCCTCTTGGCCTACAAGAGTGAGCATATTCAATATGTGATGTAGTGAATAATGATGATATAACTGAACTAGAACTGCCACTGTCATGGCGTGAATACCCCCACATACCACTTTGTCAGAATCAACAGTGGCCATTTAGAGCTCAAAAACAACCTCCCTGCCAAATCTGAGGTAACTAAGCCAGTGCATTGCTAAGTTATGTATTCTAAATGCTTCAAATGTGAAAATGTCAAATTCAATAAACTGTGGATGGGCATTCTTAAGCATTTGAGCAGACAAACTCATTATAGTAAAAATCCCTGTGACCTTGACCTTTGACACAGTCAACTAAAAATCAATAGTGGCCATCTACTAGTCATAAACAACCTCAATACCAAAAATGAAGACTGTTGACCAAAGCATTCTTTAGCAATTTGAGGCGAAAAGCTTTTTTTAGTAAAGGTCCCTGTGACCTTGATCTTTGACCAGTGACCTCAAAATCAATAGGGGTCACCTAATGGTCATGACCAATCTCATGCCAAATATGAAGACTGTGGGTCAAAGGTTTCTCAAGTTATTGGGCGGACAAACTTTTTGAAGTCAAAGTCCCTGTGACCTTGACCTTTGACCCAGTGATCTCAAAATCAAAAGGGGTCATCTACTAATCATGACTAACCTCCATGCCAAATATGAAGCCTGTGGGTCAAAGGAATCTTAAGTTATTGGGCGGAAAAGCTTTTTTTAGTCAAGGCCCCTGTGACCTTGACCTTTGACCCAGTGACCTAAAAATCTAAAGGGTCACCTATTAATCATGACTAACCTCCATGCCAAATATTAATACTGTGAGTCAGAGGAATCTTAAGTTATTGGGCGGACAAGCTTTTTATTGTCAAGGCCCCTGTGACCTTGACCTTTGATCCAGTGACCTCAAAATCAATAGGGGTCATCTACTAATCATGACAAAACTCCATGCCAAATATGAAGACTGTGGGTCAAAGGAATCTTAAGTTATTGGGCGGACTAGCTTTTTCTAGTCAAGGCCCCTGTGACCTTGACCTTTGACCCAGTGACCTCAAAATCAATAGGGATCATCTACTAGTCATGACTAATCTCCATGCCAAATATGAAGATTGTGGGTCAAAAGAATCTTAAGTATTGGGCGGACAAGCTTTTTCTAGTCAAGACCCCTGTGACCTTGACCTTTGACCCAGTGACCTCAAAATCAATAGGGGTCATCTACTAGTCATGACTAACCTCCATGCCAAATATGAAGATTGTGGGTCAAAAGAATCTTAAGTTGTTGGGAGGACAAGCTTTTTCTAGTCAAGGCCCCTGTGACCTTGACCTTTGACCCAGTGACCTCAAAATCAATAGGGTCATCTACTAATCATGACTAACCTCCATGCCAAATATGAAGTCTGTGGGTCAAAGAAATCTTAAGTTAATGGGCGGACAAGGAAAACCGACGGACGGCCGGCCGGCCGGCCGGACAGACGACGTCCGGACAGACAAGCTGATTCCAGTATATCCCCCTTACAACTTTGTTGTGGGGGGGTATAAATATTGTCTCGAAATGCTACATATCTGTAATTGTGCCAGTGTTAGACATTAGCCAGTTCAATCCATATTCCAACAGCTAAGAGAACAGTTTTTCTAACAATGTATATAAAACAAGATGTGCTTACAAAAAGCGAGTGCATCTATCTCAAAACAGTAAACAAATAATTGTGAAATATCCTAAATTTTATATATAGCTGAAACAAATATTCCTGTATCTCCATATGTACTTTTTTTAGAAATCTTAGAAGTATACCTAGATGAATTTGAAAACAAACCTAAATCTTAAGAAGTATACTGAGACGAATATACTGAACTAAATGTTAAGAAGTACACTGAGACAAATTTCAAAATTAATATTTACCTCATGATATAAGCTGCGGTACCAACAAAGTCACCGCCGTCTGCCACCATGATAGTGTCTTCTGACATCACTTCCTCTGCTGTATGTAAAACTTTCACTGGATTCAAATGTATGTCTGTGACCTCACTGCATTTATCCCTAAAAAGGTAGAAAACGGTCAAAACTGTTGTACTATTTTGCTACCTATAACTTAACAAATATGTAAAAACCTTAATATGGATATTAAGTCATGAACAAATTTGTTTTATAACATTGGCAAAAAAGCCAGCTAGTCTATTTAAGGCTGGTGTCCTCTTGTAATTAAAATAAAGAGATCATTCCCCATCAGCAAAGTTAGAGCCATATTTCATGACCTTTGCTATGTCAATATTACTTAAAACCGAACAACTGTAAAAAGACAAAAGCAAGAGCAGTATTGTAATTAAAGCATTAAAGTAAACCCTTTATATATAAAGTGGCAACCTATAACGCCAAGTTAGATATAAAGATCATCAGACTGTTTACTAATTCCTGAAAAAAATCTTTTTTCAAGATCATTTTCAGATTTCACTATTATTTCTCCATATAGGGTCCTCAATTAGTAAATTAGTGATTTGATTTAACAAAATAAAGAAAAACTCCCTTTGTTGGTACCTGTTAGCCTTTTCTTTCTCTGTATCCTTGCTTCTCAGCATGTTAAGCCATTCCTGGTCACACTTGTAACCTTTCATACCCTCTGCTAACTTAACCATAAAACTGCCCACATCCCCCTGTATTGCCACAGTAGGCTTCCAAAACATGTCTGTATTCTATGTGACAATATGGAATGTTAGGTTAATCATTGCTTATTTCAATTCTGCTACAACTTATGGTTCAATAGTTAAGTCTATGAAATTTTTAAATAATTGGATATTACTGGAAACTCTTTCAGATTTTGTTCTATCATCTTGACCAACTGAGTTTTAACAAGTTTTAAATATTTAATAACAAGTTTTCAATATTTCCCATAAATTACAGGTCTAAAGGAATATTTTTTTTTTAATTTTCACTACCTTATAAAGTTGTTCCTTGTTTCTATTTACAGCAATTATTTTGGATCTTCTATTCAGGACTCTTCCATAACCTAACCTAAAGTCACACACGGTTCCTGAAAAATACAATAATTAACACTTCACCTACTGAATTTATGTGATTGAAGAATGAAAGGAAACTATAATTTTTTGTGCATGCATTTTTCAGGTACGAATGGGCACCCCGAGTAGAACCACCAATGTTCCATTACCTACCTGGATAGCTTCCTCACTTGAATCCAAAGACCCTGTCAGGATCTGTACACAATAGGAGCAAGTGGTTTAAAGTCAACCACCTAAACCATTAGCCCATGCACACCCCTAAAATAAATATGTATGAGATGACAATATTTACCTGCTAAGATCACTACATCTGCCTCTTTCAGAGCTTCACCACGTTTCTGTCTAATTTGAAGCTCGCTGTATCTACCTAGTAAACCTCTTGCCATACCACCAAGGAAACATGGGATACCCATACTCTGAAAATAAAATGATATCAATTTCATAACCTCACTTGCAATACAAAATTTAGTCAGGCTGATTGACATGCCAGTTACTTCCTACTTATCAAACAAATCAGGTTAAACATTTTAGGTTGTATCTTACATGGATATGTATGCTGTCAGTCTTGTGAATAATTTCTGAAATTTCCTGTAGAACAGTATTCACAACTCTGGTGAATACCAAAAGCCACAAAACAAATTAGATTTAAAGAATCATATTAATTGTTCCATTAGCCTGCTGATTCTAACCATGATACAATGCACATTTGGTCCTTTCATAGTCAGTATTACTTGCTATTCATCAACACTTATTTTGCAATTTTTCCTTAAAATGGACGAAATGGTTTTGTCCAGAATTGTAGACGAACAAGTTGATGTAAGACATTTAGTGGGGAGTACGGGTTAATTTGACTTACTTCACAAGCCTTTCTGAGATCATCAACTGGCGTGGGAGGAAGTGTGGACTGAGATCCAAGAAGTATCAGAGGCTTTTTGGCTCGCGACAACAGTTCAATACTCTTCTGGACTGAAAAATAATAACAGCAAATATTCACATAAGACATGCAAAAACTGAAGAATTTTTTCATTTAGTTATGAATTGCTGAAAAGTAAAAAACAAGTATTTAACACAGACTTCCTGTACAAACTGGTACATCTTGCCTTGTTAAACATACCAAGAGCCTAGATATCCATACTGGTGACAAGATTTTTCTATTGCATATTACATATAAAAAAAAAAAATTAAATAAATTTTGACATATATTTTTTTCAAGCACTTTTTTCTTATAGTAGCATAATTATAATCTTATAACTTCATCAAGACATAATCCTATGCATTTTGAATTTTGATTTTGAATTCCCTATATAACTTCAAATGGACTGTTCCAAATTCAAAGCAGGCCAAATCTATTTCAGAAGTTCAGTAGGTTATGAGTTTACAAGGGAGCTGATCAAAACTCCAGGTAATATTATCTTTCCTGACTTACTTTGATCATTGCTTGCAGTAGGTAATTGAGCAGGAAGTGGAGTTACATCCCTTTTCTCCCATGCCCCTGCAAATAAATCATTCACATAGTTCTGCAGATACCTGAAAATGGAAGAAAAAGATGCTGTGTTATTCAAATAATCAAATTATCCTCAAATAGCTTACATGTAATGACTATAAATTCAATGTAAAAGAGTATCTCGTGCTTGTTTCTTTTTGTTTCAATGACACTTAATCATTAATCTTCTATCTTTAATTGGAGATTAATAACAAAATCAATACATAACATCATCATTACATTCTTCCAATGCATGTGCAACTTCCAGAACATATCATGAAAATTCATACAACTAATTACATATTGTATACAAAGGTAGATAATTCAAAAATTCATACCATAAAATCTATATTAAGTACCTTATACAAAGACATGACAATTTTTAGAACAGAGGTATTTATCACCCATGTCACCCATCCTCTTGTCAGTTTACAGTATTTTGAACAAGGGAAGTTTTGTGGTAAAAACTATACAGCCCCTCCCCTTCCCTATCTTATTACATCTTTACTATATTTTAAACAAGGGCCATTTATAATGGGTTTTCTGATAAACAGTCACCCCTTTACTCTTACCAGTTTACAGTATTTTGAGCAAGGGGCATTTACTATAGATTTTGTGGTAAACAGTCCCCAATCTTCTTACCAGTTTACAATATTTTGAACGAGTCCTTTGCCTTTATTTTTGGCTCCAACCTCTTTGTTTACCATTTCATATGGGTAGAGTGTGTCAATAGGAAATTCCACAAAAACTGGCCCTAGAAAAAAAATGTTAAAATATATACAGAGAAAGAAAATGTTCTTAATAAAGGGGCTAGAATGTAAATTATGTAAAAACTGATGAGCTTAAATGATTCTACAGAAATTAACTTCAAATGAAAGAAAACATCTATGTGTTACCTATTCCAACAGCATTATGTTTAGAGCTTGGTCAAACTGCAAAGTGGTTGCTTAATTTTACCATTTTGATATCAAATCACTTTCAGCACAATACACAGCTGCTGAATTTGTTCACTGGATTTGCTCTACTTTGAAATTGAAGCAGTCTTTATGAAATTTAAGGGATTTCAATATCAAAATTCAAAACTGTAGCTGTCAACAGTATAGGGCTTATTCAGATGGCACAAATGTGCAGACTGGTCTGGCTCTATACTTGTTTATCTGCACAGTCTGAGTAACTGGTGGCAAAGACTTAGTAGACTTTACTGCTGGCAAAGACTTATCACTTTTAGTTCCAATAGGTTATTGGTCAATATCAAGCAAATCCTGTCATAAAGATGACGTTATGGCAGGCAGACAATGTTACGTTGGTGGGAAGAAGAGTTTATCTGATGTCATTTCCCTTGTATTGTTATTTTATCGATAATAAACATTATTATTTTAGACACAATGCAAAGTATTTATTTCATTATTCACTGACCACATTACATATCCATTACACATCTGTAGCAATAGAAAGGATAACAATTATCATACTAACCCGGTGTTCCAGACTGGGCCATCTGTAACGCTTTCCTAAGTGTTGGTGCTATATCTCGTACCTTGGTTACTGTAGCACAATACTTACACAGGGGCTTGAACAATGACATCTGATCAATATCCTGTAGAGCACCACGTCCCTGTGAAATAAACATAAAAATTAACTTCTAACTCTTTTTGTACTGACGGCAACAAATTCTACCCATGTGACCAGTGCAAACACTTTGGTAGAACAAATGACCTTCAATAAGTTATCCTAAATTACTTTTCCATATAGAAATGTCACTTGTTCGACAAAATTCATTAAATAGAAAACTGAAGAAGGGCAAGGATAATAACTAATTTGAAACTGTTGACAGATGAATTATGTATAAATTTCATAAGCTTCAAGAAAAGTTGGAAAGCCTACAAAAGGACATTTCCTTTAACAGCAATATTTCCAGCATGGACAAAAATGAGAGGCAATGTTTCAAACTTACTTTGAGGAGTGAAGCAGCTGCACCACCCATCAGAAGAACAGGGGACTCTGCCATCTGTGCATTTTTCACTGCAGTCACTGTATTTGTCAGTCCAGGACCAGCTGTGACAGCAGCCACGCCAACCGTCCCTGACATCCTAGCAACAGCATCGGCCGCAAATACTGCAGTGACCTGTTGCAGAAAATATACTTAATTTTCATTTTTCAAATGAATTGAAGGATGGTCAAAGGTACAAAATATAATCTTTCACATAAAGCAGATTAATTCTTTGAATGCCAATTGGCAATAACAACCAGTGGCACAGTATAAGCAAGGTCAGCCTGAACAAACATGTGGTTTAGTTTAAAGATTTTTTGTTTATCTAAGCGTAGGGACTAATAGAATGGAAAGCACAGAAATTAAGAGTAGCTTATCTGAAATATTCTTGTGTTCACTTCCTGGAACTAACCAGTACTGTGTCATATGAGGAGTCATGAATGTGACTCTAGTAAGGCTTGAAACCACAAACCCTTTGTTGAAAGGCACACATCTTAACCAAAAGGCCACCTCTTTCCTAGTTTGACTAGTCTTTACTATTGGCCGCTGAATATATAAACTACCCAAACTTAGCAATGATTAATTACAATTTCAAAGCAGGATAATTTCATAATACAAATAAAGCCTATAACAAGAGCGATCAGTGATCACATGTGTCGCCTCATGATGGCCAATTTCATGTTGGGACAAGTTTTGTGACAGATGGAGAAGTGATCGGAGTAGTGGCGTCATAAATTCCTGTAAAGTTGGGATAAAATTGCCCCAGTAGTTTATGAGGAGTAGTAGGGACAAGTTTTGTGACAGACGGACAGATAGACAGACAGACAGACAGACAGACAGACAGACAGACAGACAGACAGACAGTGCACAACTAGACTTGGTACTGATCATTCCTGTAAAGTTTGGATAAAATTGCACCAGTAGTTTATGAGGAGTAGTCCGGACAAGCTTTTGTGTATCTGGCAACACACAGAAAAAAACGCCTTTATATCAAAGGGCCATAACTTGGCCAAAAATCATTCAACCGGAAAACCCGTGTAATAAGCGCAAGGACTTGAGCTAAAGATCAATCCTGTAAAGTTTCATTGAAATTGCATTAGTGGTATAAGAGAAGTAGTCCGAACAAACTTTAAAAATAAAAATTATTAAAGGGCCATAACTCTTACAAAAATCATTGAACAGGAAAATGCTGACAATATGCACAACTAGACTTGGTACTGATCATTCCTGTAAAGTTTGGATGAAATTGCACCAGTAGTTTATGAGGAGTAGTCCGGACAAGTTTTGTGATGGACGGACAGACGGACGTTCTCACAGGACAGTAATCATGTGGCTACTCTATTGTTCTCTCTATTGTTCTTTTTAGCCACACAAAAGAAAATAGCCACATAAAAGCATTACGGAATGAATGACATCAAAGAGAAGAACAGTTACCTATTATGTCCCTCTAGCCACATAATTACTGTCCTGTGAGTGCGGACAGACAGACGGACAGACAGATGACGGAGAAGTGATCCCTATATGTCGCCACTACTCTGTAGACTGTAGAGGCGACACAAAAAGATTTAAAGTCAAATTTCAAACAAAATATCTCTGAAAATGATTAAGAAAAGTTTGTTTCAAATTTAAAATGTTGTGTTTACAATGTATATTAAGTTTTATAACATATGACAAAATTTTCTATATTAAACTTTATAACATTTGCCAAAATTTCAATTTCATGTATAAGAATTGAAAAACAGAATATATTCCTTATTACATGTACATCAAAAATGTTCAGTACTGAGTAGGCTAACATCAATATAAAATCAAAAAAATTCCTAATTCTGGGAGTCAAATGAAAATAATATGCAAAAACAAGTTTGAAATGATGTCCATTAGAGGTGTGCTACCTTAAAGCAGCCTATGACTCAGTCAATAACTTTACCCACTTAGCTACAGGAGCCATATTAAATACCTAAAGCAATACAAACCTCATGTCTTGTGTCCACTACTCTAATGCCAAGTTTTTCACAGGCAACAAGTATAGGTGAGATATGGCCACCAACAAGTGTAAAAATATTGTTCACGCCATGAGCCTGCAATATCAAAACATATTCTACAAGCCAATGGTTTAACACAATATGGTCTTAAACCTTGCCCTGCGAGAACCGAAAATGATAAGCAATTGTCAAGAGTATAGAGCCTGGCCAGAATGCATGGATGTGGGGGCTCTCCTAGCTCTATACTGTTGGCTGACTTTAACTTCAATGTTTCATCTTATTAAATATCCCTTAAATTCATAATAGTGATTTCTGAAAAATGAAGCTGGGCAAGTCCATTTTATGAAACCCAATATGTTACAGGTTAATTATTAATTACAGATCATCTAAAACTTTCTGCTCTAAAATTGTTTCATTGATATTGTCATTAATCATTCTTTATCATTCTTTATATTTTAGAAATACAAAATTTGGGTATATTATGAATTAAGTAAGTAAAATATTGATTCTTCATAATAAACACAAAGAAATGTAAACACCATAAAGCCCACAACTGTGTTTATTATGAACAGTCAAACATGCATTTGACATGCAAAATATTCATGTATTTTCAAACTGGTACGCCATCAATAATCATAATCCTCCTGCTTTATATTGAATATCTTAAGTAATTGTGTCCGCATTATACATTGTATTTTAAAATATACCATATTCACTAGTAAGTAAAGAGCATATGATACCTTCAAAACCTCTGCCACAATCTCACCACCATGTCTTTTAGATTCTCTCTCAACCTAAAAGTATCCAATTCAATAGTGTTATACAGTGCATGAACAATTTTACTTAGAATCATTTCGCCCAAAACTTGAATAAATCAATAAAATCAAAAGTTTGTACATCTAAATGTCTTGAAAATGAAAGAACAGTTTGACAACATTTTGGGACTGGTTTTTTATTGGTTTAAAGACTTTCCATGTGGCACCATCAAACTGTATAAACAATTTAACCATGCGGTTACCACACAGTTATGGTAACCAGCCTTGTTATCCCAACTGTTAGCGATAGTATACAAAACATCAAAGGCACTTCCCAAACTATAATTTACAATTAATTATGAAGGACATAGTCCTGTCTTGGTGGTGTTTAGCAATAAATAAATAAAAAAAACATAGTTGTATGAAATGGTACAAATATAGTAAACTGGTGATCAGATATTTCACCTACTTTAATTAACTTCCTGCCTAGAAGTTTTGCTCTTGAATTCATAAAATTATGAAAGGAAGTTGACAGGAAGGGAAGAAACAGGACTATTCACTTGTAATTATTCGATATTATACAACAGCTTACAATTACAATACACTATATTATAATATCAAGCTACTTTAAGCTAAAAACCATATTTTTACAACTGCTTGTATGTGTATTACACAGATGGCTTAATCCATTTTATTTTCCCGAAATTTTAAAGAAAATTTTTTGATTTATATTCTTCAAAATTTTATTTATTTTATCTGTTGACTTATACATTGTATTCTATTTTATTTATTTTATTCAGTACTGAAAAATAAAAAAAGTAAATAAAAATGAAATCTTGCATAATTATTTTGAGTAATGAAATCATGTCATGTCAAACAAAGATGGTTTAAATATATACTGTGCTCCTCTTAGTTCATGGTGCTTAACACTTTGAAACAAAAAGGAAAACAATGAACTTTGGGTACAAAAAAATATTCTTAAGCTGAAAATTTAAATATTTCCTGCTGTATGACCCATGGAAACATCAACATATTCAATCAAAATCAGATTTAATTGGTCAGACGTAGACCATAGGTCGGCCATTTTGAAAACAGTATGTCATCATTTAAATCTCGGTAAATGGTGTTACACTCTAGTTTTTCATTTTTCGGTAAAAATTACTTACTGTTATATTGCTCAATTTAAAATAATAAAATCATCTTTACTTTGTAAGTCAAAATGAATATTTTTAACAAACAGGAACATTTAGAAAGATAATGAGCAGAAACCATTCTAACATTTAAGGACCAAATGACCTTAACCTAGTGACCAAAGAATCAATAGAGGTCATCTTCTAGTTATGACCAATCAGTATGTGAAATATGAAGACTTTGTGATGAATAGTTTTCAAGATAATGAGCAGAAACCATTCTTACATTTAAGGCCCCTGTGACCTTGAACTTTGACCTACTGACCACAAAATCAATAGAGGTCATCTACTAGTTTAATAAGCAATCAGTATGTGAAATATAAAGACTTTATGATAAATACTTTTGAAGATTATAAGCGGAAACCATGTGGTCTACTAACGGGCAGACAGATTTAAGGTCTCTGTGACCTTGACCTTTACCTAAAGACCCCAAAATTGATAGGTGTCATCTAATAGTTATGACCAATCAATATGTGAAATATGAAGATTTGGTAACTAATTGGTGTAAAGAGTATAAGAGGAAACCATTTTAACATTCAAGGTTATTGTGACCTTGACCTTTGACCTATTTACCTAAAAATCAATAGGGGTCATCTACAAATGTGTTTGGGGGGGGGGGGGATTTACCCCTATTTTTGAATTTCTATAACAGACACTGATTATTATTGTGACTTTTTGCAGAAATAAGTATAATGTTGTTGTTGTTGTTTTTTTTAAAAAAATCTACAGATTTAAAATAGTTTGCACATAAACTTTGTTGTTTAGGTGAACTGTGCAAATATGTCAATTCAATTTTGACCACCTGATATTAACATTGGTCATATTGCAATATGCCATATCCGTGAAATTAGTGATGATAAGAAACTAGAGATGTAATTGACTTTAGTAAATGCATGTACTCTAATTGGATCCCTCGAATTATGTCCAACAATGTCTTGCTCAACTCCTAAATGTCATGGTTGACATCAGCCAGTTTAATTGATGTTTTGCAGTATGATATGCAATTTTATTGACAGTATTAATATTTTAATAAGCGAAAGTCAAAGGCTTTGACTTGCCCAGCTGTATACATATTTAAAAGTAATTCAAATATAGATTTCTATAGCTTTCAGTGAATTTTACAGTGTCATTTCCAGTTGGGCGTAACCATTTTTAATGTAAATCAATGAAAATCGGCAAGCTTCTCCATCATAACAGAACACTCGCAACTTCTCCACTTAAGAATGGTCTTGAAGGTGTTCTGAATGAAAACAGAAGCAATGCATGAAATATCAAATGACACTTGACATCTGACTTCCCCGTTCATAGGCTTTGCCTACTTTCATACTATAATTCAACAAGAGCCAGTTGAACCGGGTGATGCTCCCCAAATAGGTTTTGGACACAGGAAGGTATACCTCTTGTAGTGTCACAGTTATGTCACAGACAAAGTTCAAAGTGTAAAAACAACCAGAATGTTGCGTACAACACATCGTCTCAATATGGTGATCATTTCTGTGAAATAGTTGTAAAATCAGACTTCAAATAAAGAAGTTTGGGCCCGGAACGATTTTTCTGCAAGGTCATGCTGTGACCTTGACCTTCAAGGTAGCGAGCCAAATGTTGCGCGCGACACGTCGTCTCAATATGGTGATAATTTCTATAAAACAGTTGTAAAATCCACTTCAAATAACAAAGTTATGGGCCGGCCAGCGACTATATGCTCCCCCGAAATTTTTCAGGGAGCATAATAAAACTGGTAGAGGGGGACTTAGAGAAACCACAAGTCATGTCACCAACTAATAGATTGAGATAATAATTCAAATAGTCTAGAACGAAATGATTGAAATGATATTTTTATCAGCATATATTGCACAATAATTAATTTGGAAAAAGATATTTGCAAACTAAAACAAGGTTTCACCAATGTGTCTTATTGACCTTTTCGAAAACCTAGCTAAACACCGTTTTCCGGTATGTTACCGTTTTAGCTCTGGGGAATTACACCAAATGAAGTACATAACACAATTACGTGATATTTCTATTTTTCTATCATTATTTAACCGTTTCAGGTGAAAAAAATTGATGTGTTTGAACATTATCAATATTCCTTTAATATTTATTGCAAATTATTCAAAAAAAATAAATTATTTATAATGAAAATCAATAAAATTCAAACAGACGTCGTGGAATCTTCCATAATAAAAAAGGTTATTTCTGCGTAAACTTGTGTTATTTACTTTATTTTTTGTATGGAATTATTCATACAATGATATTTAATTATTTTCTTATAAAGAAATAACTGTTTTATTTCAATTTAATTTAAAAAAAAGGTCGAAAACATTGAGTTCGCTATTACACTTCATTAGGTGAATTCTTCAGAGCTATGTACAGAAAGTACCGCAAAACGGCGTTTAGCTAGGTTTTCGAATTCGTGAATTCCTGTAAGGTTTCATGACGGGTCTGATCCAAAACTTTAATGCCGCATCAGACGAAAGAAACATGTTAAAAAAGCTTCTTATAAAATTTTTGGAAGCCAGAACTGAGAGTAGGTTATATGCCTGCACAGTGCTTGAATGTCTTAATGTTAATAATTTAGCCTGTTTCGCTTGTCCCTATATGCAAGGCCGTCGTCGATGGTCCGGCCGGTCCGGCCTTGGCCTGACCAATATTTTGGCCAAAAATGAGTAAAAAAAAAAAACAAGAAAAAAAAAAAAAAAAAAAAAAAAAAAAAAAAAAAACACGCATCGCTGATAAGCAATTTGACCCTTAACTGCAATACGCGGTAACATACAAACATGACGCGAAGAAACAACTGGACACCCCCAGTCACTCAGTCAGTTTTAAGTTTATTTATACTCGCGCCGGACCGCGCGCCGGAATAACCATATGTCCGAGATTATAGCATCCTTGCCGGTCCACTATGGTAGTCTCATCGGGACGTCTTTGTCAAGCTGAATCTTCCTGGTAGCCCATTCTTCGTTCGTTGGTGGTAGAGGAGACGACACTACTGTCAAGGCATCATATTCCTGACTGACGATAACAAAAACGGCTCTCATTAGCGCCAACCCTCCAGAGTGAGTCACGACAGGTTAACCAATCACCTCTGGTACTTAAGATGACTTGACCTTGACCTGCCGTGTGCCTTCTCCGCGACGTGCACGCCTCTGGAGGGATTTGGAGAAGAACTGGACACTGTTAATTGACCAGGTATAGGTGTAGGGGAAATCGACGTGGCTTCGGACAGTTCACCGTATATATTATGAATATCTTAAACTAGTATGCATGAATTCTCCGAGAACTTGATAACATTTTATTGATTGTACACGGTAACCATTCAAAAGTCATATTTTTATCACATATCCGTGCCGTTTTTGCGACTCCGTGAAATGGAATTGCACGGCCGTGCATGTATTTTGACGTCATTTGCGTTATACACAATAAATGTTAGCGTTTTTCTATGGGCGTCAATGAAAAATGGTTCTTTTTCACTTCAAAAGGTACTTATTTTTGGTATGTAATAAACAGAATATTAAATTCGTGTAAGTTCATTACTGAATTTATTGAACTCGATGAATAAAATATTATACTCGACAGAGGTCCGCATAATATATTTTCATTCAACTTCTGAAATAAATTCAGAAAAAAACAAGGGCATGTTCCGGCCTTAGTACTTTGAAGAAATCGATCTTGCCATGGCCAGTGTTACAACCGGGATATCGCGTACTTCAAAACGTGGAGGATTTATTTATTAAGGCCGCACAAACTTTGAAGACCGAGTACGCTAGAAAACTTGGTTTTGTTTGTGATTTCTATGGCAACGATATTTACCAAGACATCTTAGAAATGCAGCTTCAGCTGCTACGTTCACATTTGACAAATCAGAAAATAGTACTGTTACTCTACCTGACGCTTTGAAATTTGTGTCAAAACAGTCGGTGCTAGAACGAGCACTGTTCTCTGTTATAGATTTTGTTAGTAATGCCTGCTACTATAATGCTACCAGTGAAAGGACATTCTCGACAATAATCCACGCATTGTAATATTCCTTGCATTTGTTTTACAATAATTATCAGATAAAAATGCATCTAAAGAAATATAACAACATCAGTTATTGTTTATTTTTCATTTGCCAAATATCAATTACATGTATTCATCTTTTATGTACACCTGCCCGTCCGTTATGCAAAACTTAAATTTCACCACTTAAATTAAATCTGTAAAAAATGGCTGACATTTTACTATAAAGTGTACTAGCGACAGGCTGTAAACTGTGCCAAATATACGGTAAAACGCCCCTGAGAGCATCCTAGAATACAAAATTTTCCGGGGGAGCATGCCCCCGTACCCTCCTAGATTCTGCCTAAAACATACCAAATTCGCCGCACCAATCACAAAATCGTGACGACGGGCCTGATATGCCTTGGCATTGTCTTTACCCGACCAGTTCTTTTAACTTATATCACGCGTGTTACTCGAGTAGCTCATCAGAAAACACTCCTCATTTCTGTGTCAATGATAATAAAGGCCCAGGGAATGACTTTTTTTTCTATAAAAAAAGAAGGATAGAAACCTTGTGCGACCACTGGTAAATTATCCCAAATTTCCTCAAAAAGAAAATTAAACCAAAAGCAGCAGTTGACACGCCAGCTGGTATAGCAAATTTCAAAAAATTTGACTGAAACTGGCCCCAGACAGTCTTGTCTTCCATTGTGGAGAACTTTGATCTTCACCGGTAGGTTGAATACTGCTAAATGCCTCCACTGGGCGAGCGAATACCGCTAAAGTATTTTCACTGAGGTTTTGCGGTACTAACATATAATTTGTTTTGTCATCTCACAGTGAATATACGCTATATCCAGTAACGCCGGAATGTGAAAATAACGCACGATTCGTGCAACAAGTAACGCAGAATTGTGCAATAAATGGCGGATACCTGACAGGATTTCCAACGCGGTAAAAATACTGGCCAATTTATTTTTTATTTAACCAAACTGAAAAAAAAATCAAAAGCCGCATACGGCTGCGAAGACATATTTTTTTATCCCTCATCAAGATTATTTCCACGAAATTGTTTACTTTTCAAGATCATTCGTGAAAATGATGACCGTTTTGAGCGAGATTTTGGCTTTTTGTCGGCTATTACAAGTACAACATTGCATATTATAACGTATAATTTCGATTTCGGTAGGCAAGTGACATAAACTTAACTTCTTGTGATATAGAAACTTTAAAATAAACTGATAAAATGTGATTCAAGCCATTTTATGAGGTAACGCCGATGTACGTGAATTGTGCCTCGCGGTAACGCCGGAAAATGTGATTTGTTTTCTTATATGGTACATGTTTAACGCCTTTTATCGGCGAATATTATATCAAGTTATTTGCGACCCATAGCCAATGTATTTTCTTCGTAACTTATTAAGAAATACATGTATACGATAATTAGATCTTGACAAACTTTCAAGATTTTTATTGCATATTGTAACTTAGTACAATTTGACAATTGTTTCCTGAAATAAAATTATTATTTGTGAACATGCTGCCCACGTCTGATCTTGAAAGAAAATAAGAACAATAAACTTAGTTTGCAAATAAATTGAATATAAAAATAATAGAAAACAATCAAGAGAAGTCTGTATATTTTATGCCTGGAATTATGCACCCGTAAAGCTTGAAAGTCTCCATATGTCCTTTATTATGTTGGCGTGATGTGAAACCCAGCCAAAACAAATATTTGGCTGTAGCAATTTGCCTGGTGAACTTCTGACAAAATGGATTATTTATTTAATTATTTTTTCTCTCATACTTCTAAGTAACTTGTATTCAAAAGATATTTTACTTAGAAACTATAATGCCCAAAAGTCTTTTAAAAGCATAACCTTATTGTCATCTCCTAAAGTTAAATAAATTATAACCCGTGGGCTACTCTTAGGGTTTCTTATTATAATGTTAACCTTGTATGGGAAAAACATATGCATCTACCGTAAGAGTTTATACTAGGCATTACTATAGACTTTTACAACAGGACTAATGACCCTAAAAGAGGCCACCAGTACAGAGCCAGGTCACATCCATACGAGTGACCATTTGCTCACACAGGTAACTCATTTGTACAAATACATTAAATATCTAATAGCAATCTCTCAGACTTTGAATGAACTGTTCCAAGTTCATAGCTGAGCAAAATCATTTCATAAATTTACCAGGTAAAGGGTGACATAGACTAAAGATAGGTTGAATATATTTTGGTTACTTACTCAATATACATGCATATGGAGAGCTACTATAGATGTGTTTGTGGAAGATTTCATCTATCCATGCCATGAAGGTCTAAAAGTGGGCTTCTTCATGTCTAATAATTAATAAAGAGTTAGAACAATGAAACATTCTACAATTGAACAAAGCTCATTTTCATAACTACCATCTCAATAGGTTTTGAGAAAATGCTACCCCGTTGCTACCCCGTTCTTTCCTTGAGTAAGTAAAATTTTCATGCATTGCTTTGTACTCTCTTTAACAAAGACTTACATTAGGAAGCTTATAGCTCTGTGGTTTCATGGACGGATTCGAAACTGTGTCTTTTTTCTACTCAATCAAACTACATGTAAAATAAATTATGTATAAAATGAGTTAAAGTTTCCCCACAAAAATATATTTGAAAAGTTCTGATATTCGCCGATTAATGGCGTTAAACATGTATAACAGTTCAGTGCCATATATGAAAAATTCACATTTTCCGGCGTTACCGCGAAGCACTATTCACGTACATCTGCGTTACCTCATAAAAACGACTTAAAACCCATTTCATCAACTTACGTCAATTTTCTATATCACCAGAATTTTATTAAATGTCACTTGCCTACTTAAAATCGAAATTATACGCTGTAATATGAATTGTTGTACTTATAATAGCCTACAAAAAGCCAAAATCTCGCTCAAAACGATAGTCAAGTCATCATTTTCACGAACGATCTTGAAAAGTGAACAATTTCGTGGAAATAATCTTGATGATGGATAAAGAGTAATGTCTTTGCAGCCATATGCAGCTATACATTTTTTTCAGTTCGGTTAAATAAAAATATTTTTGCCAGATTACTTACCGCGTCGGAAATCCTGTCAGTTATCCGCCATTTATTGCACAATTCTGCGTTACTTATTGCACGAATCGTGCGTTATTTTCACATTCCGGTGGTACTGGATATACACGGTGCATTTGCCCAGTCAAATTTCGTTCTAAAGTAAATCAAACACATTTTAGGTTTAATATAGTGTGGGACCAAAAAGTTTTGACTCGGCCTCTGGATTTCACTTTTCTTGGTGAATTATATACAATGTCTTCAACTTTAAACAGCAACACTGAATAAGTCAAATGAGGCCGTAATATGATATGTTAGCCATCTACTTTTTTTAGAAATCTTCATAACGTTGTGACGCTGTTTAAATTGACCACTTTTAAACTACCGTCTCCTTGCGAGTAGTGCATCTTTAATCCTTTCCAAAGAAATGAGGTCCTGGGGTATACACAATAAACACTTTAAACGTCATTATATTACACACAAAACTACACAGATGCAATAAATACACTTCTATAATGACCAATCAAACTAGAGATCGCTGCTTAATGTTGTCTAGACTACAGTGTGTTGTTCTAATTCCGTATCGGAGTGACACCTTTTGTGGAAGCGTTTGCATAAGCCTTTGACAAATTTATTTTTATATAAGATTTTTATATAGGACCCATCGTCCCCTCCTGTATCTTTGGACCTTTCACTCCATACTAATATAAATGTTGCCGCATACATTAGTTTAAAATATAAGCCCACAGAAATTAAGAAAGGGTTAATTTTGAAATGTTTTTAGTTAAAATTTAACATTTATGCTTTCGTATTTATGTTAATCAAATATTTCAACAGTAATCCATTAGTTGCGTTTACATGTAGTTCACCATTATCATATTCAAGGGGCTATTTTTAATTCTTCCGCAGATTTGTTTGTTTTTGAGTATATTTTACTCGGCGCCGGAATTAACCATATGTCCGAGAATTTAACACCCTTGCCGGTCCACTATAGTAGTCTCATCGGGGACGTCTTTTTCATGCTGAATCTTCTGGTAGCCCGTTCTTCGTTCAATGGTAGTGAAGAAGTCGACAAAACTGTCAAGGCACTTGGGGTGTGGAGCTCAAAACGCCTTTAAAATCCAAATAAACTGCATATTTGTCAAGCCATGTACTGATCATATGTATCAAAAAAAAACTGAATATAAGCCGTTTTGAAAAAAAATCATATTTCAACGTCTATAATAATAATTATTATTATAGACGTTGAAATATGATTAACCAATAAGTTTTCGTGTTAACACGATAAATAACAGGTAATAATTAGACTGGCTAGATATTTTTTCTGTTACATACATGTAGATAAATAACGAGTAAGTATCTTATTTCCAAAATCACTAAAAAATGCCTATTACTGCCAACACTTACCAGTTAAATGAAAGATAATTATTTGTTTGTTTGTTTTTTTTTATTTCTCTCTTATTTATTTCTAGAGTAGTCTTTTGGTAACATATCCGTCTGGTCCTTGTTGTACCATCTCTCAGTGATGTAGGCCCTATGTTTGACATTTTCATTTGTAGTGATGGCATTATAGTTTACGGTCAATCGCAGACTTTAAAATACAATCAATTAAGTCCGTGAGTTAATGTAGCCTAGTTTTCTGCATGCATTTTTTGTAACTCTATGCGTATTTCAAAGTTGAGGAATCAGCTGTGTTTACGAAATAAATCATTTATATCTTCAAATTAAAATTCCAAACCATCCAATTAGCAATAATCAGTGAACACGTTAAAATAAAATTAACTTGGCATTTCTTCATAATTGTATTCATTTATATATTTTATTTTGAAAATAAAATCAATAATCTACTTAAACAACAGAAAATCGTAAAAATTTCGTTTGGATTACATTGGCAGTCTTTTGGATATCGTTTTTATATTGTATCATGAACATTTTTTATTATCAATTATCAGATTATTATTAGACAATCACTATTATAATACTCAATCTTTGAAATGCATTACTAATTCGACTTTACGTTCAAGCGAAAAAAATATCAATTCTATTTTATTTCTGATTTAGTACTGCGTAACCAAAACATCCCGTTTAGGACGGAATTAAGTCTATTTAAAATGCTACGATTTCGTAAGCGGCTTGAGAAAACTTCCGGTGATTGAGAAGAGTAAACTTTGGTATTTTTCTTAGGATATATTTTCTTGAAATCATATCATTTCAGCCGTTTTGAATGTGATAAATGAGAATAAGAATTTTATCGAGACTTATAAATCTAGCTATATGGCCAAATAATCCTCGCCGTTATTGTAAAAAACGGAAATTTGCACGATTATAAATAATTTAATGATTTTTACACACATGATCAGATGGCTATTAGGTCTGGCCCCATCCCGTCTTGGTCTGCACCTTTGTGACTAAAATTTGTTTAAAAGTTATTTTTATGAAGTGCCATTTATCTTTAAGCTGTAATCTACATCAGCAGCTGTCGACCACGTCTGATATTTTCAATTAATTTGATTTAAACAGTATTTGGCTACAGTAGGCTTTACTCCTTTAGAATCTGTCCGCAGCTGTTTTTTAACATTATGATTTTACCCTATCTATCTCTGAGTACTGCCAACCCATCTCGCGAGTGTTATAGGCAGGAAATTGTGCGCGTTGGGTGTGTTAGTAAAAGGTGTGAGAGAAAGTAAAAACCTGAAAATGAACATGATCAGGACAGTGAGAGACATTGAAAACTAGTCATTGTTACAATGTTTTTATTAGTAAGGGTGAAAGAAAGATTTAAAAGTTAAAACACAATATTATTTCTTCAATATTTATGTTTCTACAAAATCACTCAGATTACTTCTAGGGTTAGTGTTTTTGATAAGGGTTAGGTTTAGAGGGTTGGAATTTTAAAATATAGATTTTGATGTGGACAGATTCTAAAAGCTCCCAGTATTTATTTCAGTTCTACTGTGTAGGAATCTGTAAGCTTATTATGCCTTATAGACACACTTTCAAATCTGTTCACGGAACCAACCAGAACTCAGTGTGTTGTTGTTAATAATAGTAAATCTGACTAGATTGTAGTGTAACAAGTGGTGTTCCACAGGGAAGTGTTTTAGGACCAATATTGTTTCTTATATTCATTAATGACATTGAAAGTCAAATTAAAAGTACCTTACGTCTCTTTGCGGATGACACCAAATTATTTAACCTGGCAAATGTAAATGAAGACTTTAACCAAATACAAAATGACAATGATGTTTGTTAACAGTGTTTGTTCCCACACAGCTAGGGACATTGATAGATTATAGTCTGACATGACAACCACTTGGCCATGCTGCCACCGATGACATTTTGCATCTGGCTTCCACCAATATAGTACCTTTTTTTCACTTAATTTAATGATTCCTTGGTGACAAAGGCTTTAAAAATTACTCTTTCGGTTCCAGCAGAGTAAACTTGAGTTTAAAACTCCATTCATTATAAATTAAATTATATAGTTTGCAAGTTGGATATTATGTTTTATGACACATTAGCATCACTTCACCCTAAATTTCAAAACTTCCTCTGTTTTTTCTTCAAGGCTGATATCGCTTTCCCAATCATTTAGTCCAAGGTAGTCTGACAGTGAAAAGATAACACACCCTTGTAGTGTTTTCATTAATAAAGAAAAAGAACACTACTTGCTTTGTAAAGTATGTGTCCAGCCGTAATAAACATGGGCACTGGGACGCCGAAATAAGCATCACCAAGAACCCTGCTTGGGATTCAACCTGCTGCCCCCATTGGCCAAATTGGATTGAGGCCGTGGTTGCAATGTGGTCACATGTCTTTTAACATAAAACTTGTTTTGTGCTATTTCAACAGTTTAACACTTTCTGTGCTTGCTGTTCCCATTCACAGTAACATATATTTGCTGACAAGAGGTTATATTCTGCTTTAATGATTTATTTTTTGTAAACACCCTTGTTAATTTAAATTTTAATTCATGTAAGCTATTATGACACTTTACATGTGTATTTTAGATTTTTGATGCAGTAGCAAGTTAATAAAGTCATGGGGCTTGCGGAGGAAGAGGTATTGATAAGGGATGACTCTGGTCTCTTGCTAGATGTTGGTGAAACAAGGGTACCAAAGTCACAAGAATGGTCGAAAAAACTCATGAAAACATGCTGTCTCTCACTAGGATTCTTAGCTTTGGTAAATGACTTATAATCTTTGAACTACACTTATAGATTTTATTATAACATTCAACTGTTTTTAGCTGACATCTGATCATAAAGTGCTCAAGGTGAGCTTTTGTTATAGTATGGTGTCTGTTGCTATCCAAAATTTATCAATAAATTTTGAAAAAATTAACAGGAGTGAACCTTTGGTGGCCTTCCCATAAAGTTCCATAAATGGTTCCAATCTTATGCATATGTTATGTACATAAAAGGAGCCAGTCTATTGATAGACCAAAAATGAAATTTTTAATAATCTTCTCAAAAAGAATTTTGCACATAACTAAGATATTCAGCCTTGTGATCCTCTACATAAGATTATATAGAGCATGCCCTCAGGAAGTCATAGTTAAAGTTACATACAAAAACACATCAACATAGTGAGATTAAATTCTCTGAAACACCACATTTCCTAGAGCTTACATTTTTGCCCTACTGGAAATAATATACAAAATTTATACAAATCATGCTCCTAGCATTAAAAAGTGGCCCTGTCCTTGCGGAAACTTTAGTCACATTGACTTTGTATAAGAAAATGTCAACTTTCTAACAACAATGCTTAGCATAAGAGGTTAGATCTATATAATTTGTCATATGACTTCTGCATTCACTTAATCTTCTTGTGTGAAACAGTATCGCTTATAGCTAAGATTTTTTGTGTGTAATATTACCTAGAAGTCCTGTGCTAAAGTAATATATTAGAATCCAAAAATAGATCAGCCCTAGGTTCATATTTGTGACATTAAATTTCATAGAAAAGTAACATTTTAAAACGTATTCTGCTCAGAGACAATGATTCAGAGGGCTTACAATTACATATTTGATTTGTAGCTTATTTTTCATTCAAAACATTGTTCTTATTTAATATTATTAATGGGGAATGGTGTGTATTATGAAGATGTTTAAATTTGTTATTTTGTACATGAAATAAAGTGTTGCTGATTATTCACAGTTGTCAATATGCTTTGAGATAGACATTTCTCATGATAAATTAGATACTCATTTGTGTTTCAGGGTTTATGTGTGTCAATTCCTGGCCCAACATTACTTGACCTTGAGGACCAGGTCAAGGCCACAACATTTCAGATGATGGTTATATTTGTTTCAAGGTCAATAGGTTATCTCCTAGGAGCGTTGCTAGGTGGAGTTCTGTTTGATTGCTTTGATAAACAACTCCTGATGTTCTGCACTTTACTCCTTGCGTCTGTAGCAACTGTTGCTATTCCATGGAGTCTTACTATGGTTGTCATGGCAACAATGTTTGCCCTGCAAGGGGTTACCATGGGAGCACTTGACACAGGTAAGAATAGTTGAATGAAATAGTTTATTACTTTATTCTTGAGTCATATTAAGAACACTGTCAAATTATCTGCAAATAAATGCAGTCTTGAATATAAAATTCACTGTATTCAGCCGTTTGAAAACATGAAATCCTAGAAAGCAGGTAGTAAAGTAAATTGGTGTGTATGTGTACCAAACTAATTAAAAAAAGTAATCCTTGTAAGTTATGTTCTGCAATTAGATACTTATACATTTATTATCACATATATGTTATATTGCAGGAGGCAATGTGTTCTGTATTCAGCTATGGGGAAAGAAGAATCCACCTTTCATGCAGACTTTACACTTCGCATTTGGAATCGGAGCATTTGTAGCCCCACTTCTGGCGAAACCATTCCTATCTCATGTAGATATGCAACGCAATGCCACCAGTATTGTTCAAGGAAATATTCCTGTAGCCCCTTTCCTGACAAATAATTTGCATGCAAATATTACCTTGAGGTCCCTGGATTCATTACAGGCAGAATTCAATAGACCTGTAAGAGATTTTTTTGAAAGTCCTAACAGATTGAAACAAAAACAAAAAAGAGATACCTTCTCTGAAAGAGGCTCTTTGAAACTCATGGATAGTTTTCAGTACTTGCAACCACATGGAGGTTTGCCTGAACAGTTAGGCGGTAGATTGAAAAGGGATTCGGGAAATGATGAAGATGAAAATACTGGAATGTGGAGATGGAAGAGACAACATCAGTTATCAAGGCGACAAGTGACCGGTCAAAATGAGAGCGGACCTAATGCAGGCACAACAACAACAACAAATTCAAATATAAATACAAAACTAGTAGACAATTCGAATGCAGAAAAAGCTAATGAGACTGAAAAATTAGGCACAGAATCTACTAAAGGTGATACAGTTAGCCCTGAAAACTCAGAAGAGAATAAAGTAAAAGAATCTGACAAGCTGGTTCAAGTCAATCTTACAGATGTTAAATCAAGTACAGATAAAACTATTACTCAGAATGCAAACATCTCGTTAGCATCTAAAGTCAAAAGTAATGTCACAGTTACAGTAAATAGAACTGATAGTAATACAAGTACCAGTGTGACTACATTGCTAACTACACCACCGACAACCACCGAAGTGAAAAGCGAAGAGCAAGTTCATAAACCAAGTGCTGCCACTGATAGTAATAGAAAACCCGATACAGCTGATGGTAAACCTATTGCTAAACATTTAGATGAGCATAAAATACCTGTACCTGTTAATGAAGATGAAGATGATGAAAATGCTCCTAGTACGACTAAGAAAGAACTGACAAGCACAAAGCTGCCTGATTTAGACAAAGATAAAACAGTCAATGAATCCGCACTGGTTGGTAATCATACTTCTACAGACCAAATTAATGCTACTAGTGGAAATAATTCTGGTGAAGCGAATATTACCCAAGCTTCCAGTGAAACAAATACATTTAACACAAGTAATCATGAGAGTGTAACAAGTACTGTGTCTACATTAAAACAAACGGAGGTCTCTGAACCAGCAATAGAAAAAGAAAAAGAGTCACTTGGTCCCCAGTCTAATATGAAACTAAATACAACTACCGCAAAACCTACAACAACATCAAGTACAAAGAAGCTAACGACTACTACCTTACCGCCAACTACAACAACAACTACAGAAAAGACAACTACAACAAAGAAGGCTACAACAACAACAACAATAAAAGCTACAACAACAACAAGTAAGAAAACTACAACAGAGAAAATAACAAACATCAGAAAAGGTTAAGACAACGATGAAATTAACACCAGCGCCAACAACAACAACAAAATCAACAGAGCCAAGTACAAGAAAAATAACACCAGCAACAAAACAACCAACTACGTTGAAGACTGTTCAACCTGATGTGAAAATTACGCCAACACCGGAAATATTCAGTACTAATTCAACTGTTAATGTTCTATCAATCACAAACGCTTCGATCCCAAATGATAAAGTGAGTACAACTGAAGTATCAAAGAAGCCCCAATCTGCTGTCGACAGTTTCCTGCATAATGCAATACATGCTGTGAAAAATATATCCAGAATTCAGTTTGCTTACTTAAGTATCGGCATTGCATTATTTCTAATTGCCATTTTATTTCTAGTGTTATACTGCACGGATAAGAGACGTCTAACCCCCGACAGAGACTTTGATGAACTGGAGCGATTCAAAGCCTCGGTTACATGTTCCAAAGCCAGCTTGATCTTTTTATTAGGGGTTTTCTTTTTCTGTTACATGGGATTAGAGGTAACATTTGGTGCTTTAGTAACAACATTTGCTGTAGACTTTAACAAATGGCCTAAGGAGCAGGGTGCAATGGCAGCTGCAATATTTTGGGGTTCGCTTGCAACAGGAAGAGGACTTTCAATCTTTTTCTCGAGATGTTGCGGTCCCACTGTCATGTTGGTGTTTGACATGATATTTATGATTATTGGAGGACTAGTGCTTTCAATAGGGATTCATTTCTATGATAAACTTCTGTGGCTAGGAACACTGATTCTCGGCCTCGGAATGTCATCAGCTTTTCCAGCAGGAATTTCATGGGCGCAGAAATATTTTCACCTTACTGGAAAATCCACAGCCGTTTTTGTGATAGGTTCTGCACTGGGACAAATGATTGTCCCAGTTATTACAGGGTACTTTTATGAATACAAGGGTTCAATTATTTTAATGTACACTACTTTAGCTTTAAGCATAATGATTTTAGTAATTTTCATTCTCATGCAATGTGTTGCAAGAAAAAGGGGAGTAACTCTGAAGGTGAATGAGAGAAATGGATTCCTTCCCCTTGAAGATGTTGATGATGAAAATGATGAAACTTTAGAGATGGATGATTTAATTCATTTTGACAAGTCACAAGCAAGGAAGAGGCGTGATAAAAGAGGGGGAGGTGATGCAGAATATCATACCCTGATATCTGACCTCGATGATGACTAAACTTTTGATGACTTTTTGTCACAATTGTACATAATATGTTGTTATTGTTGTTACGCAATCTTTACGCAATTTGTAAATTTTATTTTGTTTTTAAAGCATTTGTTTATGATCGAGTTCTGTTATGAAATTTTGAACACGTGGTCTTTGTGCAAATTATGTTGTGTTGGTCAAAATAAAGCAAAAAAGATGTTGTCCTAGCTTAGACCAAATAGTGATTATTTAGTTTTGTGTATGTTAAAAAATAATATTTTTTCAACCTTTACCTTCACAATGTCATGGGATAAAAAAAAGTTAATAATTTTGAAATGAAATTTTGGGAATTTTGAGATAGAAATATTATATACCTTTACCCTCACAATGTCATGTAGTTATAAATTATGATGTGAAATACAGAAGTACATAGTAACATTTATTATATACTTAGAAATGAAATATTGAGAAATATTGATGAAATAAAATGCATACTTTCATTTTCCGTATTTTCACTGTAAAAATTTATTTTTCACTGCAGTGAAACATATTTTCCGTATTTTCACTGGTGTCTTGCCGGACTACTTTCTTTTAAATTCTGCCAGTACACAAAATTTAAGGGAAAGTCTTTCAAATTTTAATGTCAAAAAAGAGGAAAATGTATATAATAAACAGAAAATTCAAGTTTTTTCTATAAATACATGATTTATTTTCATCTTGTGGCATGAAATTTCATATTTCACTCGTGGCTACTGCCACTCATGAAATATTTATTTTCATGCCACTCGATGAAAATAAATCATGTATTTATAGACAAAACTTGAATATCCTCTATATATTTTGAGATATAATTTATATAAGTTCATGTTAGTTACTCTTTAAGTTGTATTTTACATTTTTGCCATAGTTACATGTAGCAAGACACTGGAATAAGATGTTTTCATTTCTTAAAGCTGCACACCTCCAGATGAGCAAAAATATTTTTAAAAATTCAATCTTAAGAAGAAAATGTATTAAGATCTTAAGAAAAGTAAAAAGATTCAATATTTAAATAATTATTCACATGTAATGTGCGATTAATGACTGATTTTGCAGTATCAATTACTATAAATCTACTGCGTTACTAATGCAGTAAGAGGTATTTATGTATATTTTGACCTCTTTTTTTGGTAATTTACGTGGATTGTAAGTGCCTTTTACAATGTGTTAATTACTTTCTTTGTTCACTAAACAATATTTTACTTTTAAATACATTTTCAAAATTTTCATGAAAATTTACATGAATCTGGAGGCATGCTGCTTTAAGCCTTCTACTGTTTCATCTTGAAGCATCATTTATGTGACTCGGTGAATAACAGTGAGAAGACTGTTGCTTTTATGTTTCGATGATATTTAGATATCAAAAAACAAGTTAACGAGATATATTTTGATATTCATTCAACTCAATGAGATATATTTTGTAATTCACTCAAATCAATCAAAAAAATATTCTGTCTAGGCTTATAACATAGTAGGTTTTATTAGTTTATTATTTTAGTTATATGGAAAACTAGAAGTAAAGAAAATATTGAACTTTTTATCATTATGTAGTTGTTTTTCCATTTAGTTATATGGAAAACTAGAAGTAAAGAAAATATTGAACTTTTTATCATTATGTAGTTGTTTTTCCATTTAGTTATATGGAAAACTAGAAGTAAAGAAGAGATTGATCTTTTTATCAATTTTCCATTATTTTCTTTCAGTATCTTGTAAATATTTCATGAAAGTAGTTGTAAGTAATTAAATAACCCATTACCTGCTGGCACTAGAAAACAGTTAGCCTCAAGTATAGAGAAAGACAGCACTGCACTTTTGTGAAGTCTGACTAGGCTTTATACTGTTGGTAGATTTATTTTGTTCAATTTTGTTATTGAAATCCATAAAAATTGAATTTAGCAGTGTCAATTCAAAGCAAGGCAAATCAGTAACACAAATTTAGCAGTTTAAGGGTTGAAAGTTTTGTTGTTTTTTTTTTCTCTGAGGATTATTTATGGTTGATACTTTAAATGTATAAGATTTGTGCGTGCTTATCAGGAGCTATTGTATATACATATTGCTTTCATTTCTGCAAGCTTTGCAGTAAATATATTTTTGTACCAATATTATTTTGTACCAATATTATTTTTGTGTTCAGATGATTATTTTATTTTAGCAATCTAAATTTTTATTCTTTTGAGTTTGTACATAACGTAATAACAGAGGCAATATACAATATATATTTTTTGAGTTTCAATGTTTAAATGATAGACAAATTTTGTTTTCTTTGTATAATTATAAAATCATTTGAGATGTATATAAAAAAGGTTTTTTAAATACTTTGTTATTGTTAATATGTTTTTTTTTCTCTTTAAAGTTACACAAGTTTTGTTTTGTTTCTTTAACAGTTCACTGTGGGTGCTACAGAATGCTTTTATATATACAATTAGCTAGTCTTTGAAGTTATAGTGTTTCATTGCTCAATGCTATGATTATAGTAAACAGCTTTAAAGGGACTCCACTCAGGTTTTTTGACATGACAGGACTGGAAATATTTTTCTGAGATTTTTATACCAGTTAATGTAGGTCTGGGCTAATTATTTGTGTGCACATTTCCAGCTCATTTCCTCTCTCCGTATTTCCAGAATGATCATTTTTATAGTGCAAAAAGACCCAAAAATGAAAAGTGTTGCAATGCTTTTCACTCGAATCAGGCTAGGAATAGCACAAAAAAATGATTTCTAATTTAATTCTAAGTATATTTCTTTGTTATCCTTTGCAGAATTTTCCATTTAAAATGCTTCACTGGATATTTGTTTGATTTGAAATTTTTTTTTTTTAGGCCTTTGGACCTCAGTGGAGTTCCTTTAAGACCTCACTATTAGAGTTTATGTCACATTGACATTAATTATTCATGTTTCTGTCAGTTGTATTTTTTATGTCAGTTATATTTTTACAATCATATATTTCTTTATGCTCGATATTGAAACAATGTTTTTTCAACTTGAATGAATCCTTTTGGAGTCTATTTCCATAGCAGAGCACAGCTGAGGAATAATGTCATATTGATAGATAGATAGTCATGGTTCTATTTTTTTTCATGTAAAAAAAGGACGTGTTCATGCAATATGTATACCTTTAAACTTTTGTTATATACAAGTAACATGTTATTTTCTGCTCTGCATTTGACTTCAGGGTCAAATATAAAATACCCGGTATATACTGCCAACATTATAAAGTACAGTCAGATTTTTAAGTTAAAAGCATGTGATATGCATCTATGTTCAAAGATATTTATTTCTTGTCAGATCCTGATGTAAGTCCTAAATAAAAGTTGGTCCAGTGGATAAGGTGTCAGCCTTTCAACCTAGGAATCTTGGGTTTGAGTCCCATTAGGGTCATGATCATGTTTCCTCGTATATCGCCAGTACCAGTTACAGTACAACTTCTGTAGAACAACATCCATGAGGGCATGTTGCAGAAAGGTTGTTGCTGTAGGGAGGTTAAACATATTGTGAAGTCTTGCAGTTTAAAGAATCGGCATGGTTGTGGTAAAGAGGTTTTTGTTCTGCACTGTAGTTTCAGGTAACAGACTTAATGGTGGAACAAATAAACTTTCAAACTTTGAACATTATACATTATTATTACGTTATTACATATATACTTAAAAATTATCCTTAAACTGGGCAGATATACCTTTGATGTATATTATTCATTTCGTAAAATTGGGACAACCCTTTTGTTTTGGCACTATATGTCTGGGCAGACTTATAGTACCTAAAGAGAAAGAAATTTGCACAGAATAACGATCAGACTGGTTTATAGTATATACACATGTATATGTTTAAACTCAGGCCTCGACATTAGCGGTGGTCCATTGGTCCGAGACCACCTGATTTTGGCAAGGACCACCTAATTTTACAGGCAACTGGTCCGTTAGACCACTTGAATTTTCCAAATGGTGCAGGGCCATCTGGGAGAATGGTTATTTGGTCGAAAAACGTGTTCTATAATTGTTGTTTAAAACCATTTCTCCGATGTACAGGTATATGTTCATTCATCTCATTAGTTCAAAAAGATCTTAAAACATCAATAACTTTTTATTAACTCGCTAACAGTGTAATTAAAAAAGTAGAAAATTATTTTTGTAAATTAAAATATAAAATTCATTCAAATGTCTCTAGTACTGCATTGAATTTGTAACATTGTATCACACATGAATAATGAATAATAAAGTGAAAATTAAATATCTAGTAATCTTTGGCTACTTTTTTAAACGATCAGAGATCCATTTTTTCTTATTTAAAGTACTTTAAAGGGTTATAAATACTTTGTCAAAAATAAATAAATTTCAACAAACAATGTATAATAAATCTGTGAGGAAGATAAGCTCAATTATAATGTAGGAATTTTTCTGTTTATCATTAATATTTCATTGTTTCAAAGACAAGAATATAATAACTTAATAGTTTAATTAAAAATGGTAATCTATAAAAAGCAATTATTATTCTTATAAGATGTACCAGGAAACAGCAATGAGTATTTGAATAACAGTAAGGAAATAAGTCATTCACAAATGGTTTCACTATTCCCTAACTTGAGTTGCGGAAGAAGTCACTTAACCAAAGTATGAGTACTGTCATGTATTTTTCAATGAGATAATAAATACTAAATAGGATTACAATGACTTACTATCTGATTAGATTGAAATAGAAAAAATACATGTTTTCTTCAGTTGTTATAAATCTAATAATAAATGTGTCTCTGTCACCAATTTTAAGTGTAGTTCTTCTAAATCTGAAGTTTCCTTAAAACAAATGAGTAAAAAAAAAGATGGACCACCTGTGTTCAGAAAGGACCACCTGAATTTTGAATCCAGTGGTCCGGCATACCACCTGCTGAAAAAGTTAGTGTCGAGACCTGTAAACTAAAGCATTTGAGTTATTATTCCAGTTGACATATTGTGTATTAGCTGACAGATATCATATGTTACAATGCGCTGTAGAGTTGTTACACCTCACTGGTTTGTTTATGTTCTTTAACGAGCATTATCAGATAAGCTTTTCATTGTAACAACTGCAACATCTGCCTGCTACTGTTAAGTGTAATAAAAAAAAAATGAAGTGATTTTCTTTTTACAAAATCAATGAATTTGATTTAAGACTTCTTAGGCTTTTGTATTCATTTTATTCAATTGTAAATTTTACTTTTATCTTTTTGTTCAATTATTCAAAGATAATATGGCTGTCCTACTTAACCTATGCATCGGCATAACACTTACCTCTCAAACCTGAATTTTGACTTGATTATGCCCCTTTTCAAACTTTCGAAAAACTTTATATTTAAATGACCACTAGAGATAGTCACTTTTAACTTGACACATGTCTTTTAAGGATTATGTTTGATACATCTAGGACACAAAG